GTGTAAATCAACTCTTTACCCCCATTTCAGGTTGTTTTTGGCTGCAAAAAAGGAGTTTTTCTAGATAACAATTTTGGTAAAAAAGGCAAGGCTATAGGCTTACCAAAATATCCGATTTGTGACCCAGAATTTCTTCATCCAAAACTTGACCAAATATAATCGTAATAAGCAGTAAAGACGTGTAAATCAACTCTTGACCCCATTTCAGGTTGTTTTTGGCTGCAAAATAGGAGTTTTTCTAGATAACAACTTTGGTAAAAAAGACAAGGCTATACGCTTACCAAAATATCCGATTTGTGACCCAGAATTTCTTCATCCAAAACTTGACCAAATATAATCGTAATAAGCAGTAATGACGTGTAAATCAACTCTTGACCCCATTTCAGGTTGTTTTTGGCTGCAAAATAGGAATTTTTCTAGATAACAATTTTGGTAAAAAAAGCAAGGCTATAGCCTAAGGTCATTTTCAAAAAATCTGTGACCCTGGACCTGTAATAAATGTTCGAAAATGTGAAAATTTTGCATAAAAAGTTTTTACTCAAAACGACCTGATATTTTCCAGGAAAATACTTTTCAAACACAATCCGCCGTGTTTTTGATGAATTTCTTGGTCATATGTGGAAAAAACGAAGTCATTTTTCAAAAAATCTGTGACCCTGGACCTGTAATAAATGTTCGAAAATGTGAAAATTTTGCAAAAAAACATTCTCTCGCAAAACAACCTGAAATGCTTTAAAAAGTATTTCGAACACCATCCGGTGTTTTTTCGATGAAGTTTTAAATCATTTGGAAGAAAGAACTGAGTCATTTTTTAAAAAATCTATGACCCTGGACCTGTAAAAAATGTCCAAAAATCTGTATATTTTGCAAAAACATTTTTCACTTGAAACGACGTGATATGCCTGAAATTAGGTTTTGAACACCATTCTGAGTGTATTCGATGAATTTCTAGGTCGTATAAGCAAAAAAAGAAGAAAGACATTTTTCAAACAATTTATGAACCTGGGACCTGTAAAAAACGTCAAAAAGTTGAAAATTTTGCAAAAACTTTTTTCACTCGAAACACCCTGAAGTGCTTGACAACATGTTTAGAATACCATCCGGAGTTTATTCGATGAATTTCTAGATCATAAGTGGGAAAAAAGTACAAAGTCATTTTTCAAAGAATCTTTGACCCTGGACCTGAAAAAAAATTCAAAAATCTGGGCACTTTGCACAAATTTTTTTACAATGAAAACCACCTGATATGCTTGAAAACACATCTAGAACACCATCCGGAGTGCTTTAGATGAATTTCTAGATCATATGTGCATATTGGCCTAGTTTTGAACATTTGATACCTCGCTAGAAAGCAACTGCAGTTTCTTTATCGATAACGAGGCAAAGTTGCCATTTACCTGGCTTAAATCTAAAACAAATTCCATAAAAGAAAAATCAGGAAAAAGCGGGAAATTGCTTCCTACTTTATCTGACTGCACCAAGGCAACGAATAAGTAGCACAGAACGGAAAATTATTGCATCAAAACAAACCCCAAAATCTACAAAAAAGGCTACAACTTGAGTTCAATTTGAAAGCTCTCTTAAAATTTTGTTTAGGTTGCGAAAATTGGAATTTCAATCGTTAATACCACCAATAAACAAAACTTAAGATGCTGATCACATTCATAGCGAGGAATAGTTGAAAGAACGGCTGCTCGAGAGGGCAAAATACACAGCCCAAGTCATGAAATTTCAAACAATTAAACTTATTTATCCGTGTTGGTTATAGAAAAAAAATAGTAGAGTTAAACAGCCGTAAATAAATGCTACTAATGAAATTTTGACGGTGAAATGATTGTAGAACTATAGGTAGAATTAACTGCAATTACATTATGAGCGAGGAAGTCCATGAAAAAGCCGGAGCACGAGGTGACAACAAATTTTCTTCGATCGATCTTTGAACGCTCCAAATCATATAAATATCAACACCAAAACACAAAAGCAACATTCAAAATAGCTCGAAAACATACCTGGTCTATCAGTAGCGGAACGCATCCCTGGCGAGTCACCATTTGAAACATTTGGTAACTAATTCTCATTTAGACGCCATGTACAAAATAAACCGCCTACTTGAACTGAGGCTGTACCAAGCAAGGTGAGACCCACGCCATGCCAAAACGACAGTTACCCCTAGATAAACCAAGGGATTGAAAACGCCACGACACACACATCTTACCTAGTTAGGCCGAAAGACTTCCCGCATTGTCAACAAACTAGTAGAGCAGATACAAGAAAACGCGAGGAAACGTGGCCCAAGAGACCATAACGAATAAAAAAGAACAACAATCTCAATCTCGAAAGCTCCTGTGAAATTAACTCTTATTAAATTTGATTAAATCACCATTAGAACAACCTGACATTGGCTCAAGAGTGGATTTACACATTTTTGGCTTACTTAGAGAATATTTAATCAAGTTTTGGAAGATAAAATTTTTGGTCCAAAAACGGATATTTTGGTAAGCCTATAGCCCAGGGGTCGGCAACCTTTATAAAACAGGGGGCCAAAGTTGATTTCTGAAATGCATACCAGGGCCGCAACTCAGAGTACAGTATAATTTTAATATATACCAATTCTACCTAACTGCTGATCTAATCAATAAAATTGTATTTATCGGTAAATTTTCTGTAACGTGGAAGCTGTACGTAAAAACAAACATAGATGTGAAGTACATGTTCACTGGTCAGTATATTACAAGAAGCTAATGTGCAAGTTGGTGCTGCATGTCCTTGTCGAACTTCTCAATATTTGGCAGAATTGTTGATGTTGGCAGCCGCAAGTTGCCTTCAAGGTGCTGATCAATCATTCGAGATCGCAGTCGACTCTTCGCATACTTCATATTTGAGAAGAGACTTTCGCAAAGGTAAATACTTCCAAACATGCAACACATCTTCTTGGCATATTGCACCAGACCTGGATATGAACCATCATCCACCATGGAGATACTTAATATAAAACAGAGTTTCCTTGTATTTCTGTTTCAATTCACTGGTACCCTGCAGCTCGATCAACTCCATTTGAAGATGGAAAGTGAACCAAGTTCCATTGATTCAGCTGAGTTTTACAAAGATGTTGCATAAGCAGGAACGTGACAACATGTTCATACATGACATTCACAAATTGACCATGGCCTTGAAGCTTCTTGTTCAGCTTGTTCGAGTGACTAGTAATGACAACGAGGAATGCTAATCTAGACAAGAATCTAGGATCACTGAATCCGAGCCGACACTCGTGCATTGGGCCAAATTATTTACAGGTTAACAGGGGCCTTCCGGGCCACACAAAAGTACCTTGCGGGCCGCGGGTTGCCGACCCCTACTATAGCCTTTTTTTTTACGAAAATCTTTAACCAATCAAACCTTTTTGACAGCAACAACCTGAAATAGAGTCGACAGAAACTTTACACGCTTTTATTTCTTGTTTAGAGTATATTTAGACAAGATTTGGAAGAAAAAACACTTGGTCAAAAATCGGATAATTTGGTAAGCCTTTAGCATTGCCTTTTTACGAAAAATCGTTAACAAAAATAACTCATAATTCATAGATTAAAACAACATGAAATAGTATTGAGAGAGGATTTAAGAGGGGAAATTTTTCTGTAAAAAGGTGAGGCTTAGAACAACCGTCTAATTTTGTTCGGAGAATGTTTTTCTTCTAAGAACAATTTTATTGGCTTCTGCGTGGTTTGAAATAACGATAAGTGAAGTTAGTATTTGAAAAAAGTCCATTATTGAGAAAATAGCGACTTAAAAAAAAGTATAGGCTTAGAAAAGTTGTCGAGTTTTTTGAAAATTCATTTTTCTTAAAAAAAAGTTTATCAGCTTCCGCAAGGTTCCGAGAGAACTAGAATTGTGCTTAGTTTTTTTGAATAAACTTGATTTACCGAAAAATGAGAAAGTAGGTGCTTGAGAAAGACAGTGCTTGAAAAAGACAGTGCTGGAGAAAGACGTGACTGGAGAAGGACGTTGCTTGAGAAAGACTGTGCCGTGCATCATCGATAGGTTTGCAGAAAACTAGGGGGGTAATAGCAGCAATGTGCAGAAACAGTGAAAGATATATGTTAGAAAACATAAAATATAAAAGAAAAAAAGTTGTAAAATTGAGTGTTTGGACACTTTTGCTGAAGAAGGTATAGGCTTAGGATATCCAGGTGTTTTTAAGTTACAGAGCTTTTTCTTTGCTAAATATGCATTCTAAATAAACTAGATGACTTTTGTCAAGTTTCGATATCTTAACATGACCATTTTTCATCCAGTATTTGGAAATTTTTAAGTGCAAAAAACATCATAGTATGAAGATTGTGTTTTAAGGTCATGGATTGTAACACTGATATTCTTTAGTAATCTACAAAACAGTGGTGTTTTGACACAAAAGCAGTTTTGCAGTTTGTTGAATTTCAAATATTGAATGACTTTATTCTCTTCTAAACAAAATTTAGCCTGTAGTCAAAATCCAAACATCGCACTTACTCGAAATAGCGCACACGCTACCCTCTCGCAAGGAAGACCAGAGTGCGCTTATTCGAGAAAATGCGGTAACTATAAATAAAATATTTTCTTAATTTCCGTTTATGGTACAAAAATTGTGGTACAAAGGTTTTACGGTACGAACCCTGATGATGAATTTTCCTTCAGCATCGTTGATGTATTTTGACTGTCTTTTGGAAGAAATAACCATTGTAAAAAGACTAAAGACTTGTCATTTACCAGTCTGGTTTATGGAAGTATTGGATTGTTTATGGAAGAAATGAAAGAGGAAATGTAAATAAGGATTGCAAAATTGATAAAATATATAGGAGAAAGAAGGAAGGAAAAGTAGAAAATTTAAAGGAGATATGGCAATCCCAGTTAAGAAATGAACGTTATGGTAGCATCTGCAACATGACAAATATAAAGAATAAATTGAATGACAAAACTAGGGAGAAACAATTATCATAGCTTTACAGTGAAGTTAGCAAAAGAGATTAGCAAGCGTGCTGCGGTACTCTTTATTATATTCAGTGATACTAAAATGGTTGAATATATTTGAAAATTTTAGTTACATCTTCATATGCATTTTAAAATTACAATTTCACATGTTCGTGTAAAATTAGCTACAGAAAATTCAAGCTAATCAAATATAAGAAATTATTCGACCTTTTTTTCCTAAAATACATATCTGACAATATTAACATAACTAACAAACAAGCTACTGTTTTAGTGTGCAGTATAATTTAAAAACATACAAATACAGCTTGAGGTGAAAATCATCTTTAATTATATGGGTTTTGTATTTGCTAATTACATCTGAGAGTTAATTTCATATTTATGTAAAGCAGGGCTCGATGAAAAAGTTGGACATGAATGCAAAGGAAGTGAAAAGCCTAGAGGAGGCAATAGTAGCAGAATTTTGTTTTACTATACCTTAAACTCAAAGTTGAAATGTTGTTTTAGTGAAAAAACAAGAGAATGCTATAATTTTGTTTTGTACTTTTTGTAATTTGTCCACACTTAGTGTATACTGAACATGGCAGCAATCAATCCAACCGTTACCTAAATATTAAATTCGTTTCTGAAAGAGCAGCTATATTTTCTTGAAAAATGTTTGAAAGGATAACTTTTAGTTGCTGGTAAGGTATATACACCAGCATCACACCAAAGTCCTAGCCATAGTACTATAAAGTATCGCCAGGCTTTCAACACAATAATTATTATGATGATAAAATGGGTGCAATTCTTTCCCTATTGGTTGTTTTACGATAAGATATATATTAATAGTATCTTGATAGTATGTTGCCACTTTTTTTCTCGAAAATGTTCAAATTTTATCGGTGATGTGCATGGAAAAATAACAGTAGGTGCAGTATCTATTTACAAATTAGCCTGTGCAAATCTACTCTTAATTGTCCAGCTGACAAAGCATGGCGGCTCCCCCCTGTATCCAATGACCTTCTGGCTTTTCTGAAGGCAGATCTATTGTAAGTACATAGTTGGTTGAGAGACCTGTCGTTGACAAAACACCTCGTCGAGCACTCGTTTTGTAAACTGAAAACACAACAAAATAATTTGATTATGTAAAATGGCACTATCATCGAAAGAAATTCTAAAGAGCTGGAAATTAAAACACAAGCTTAGGTAAGCTGCTATATCAAGAATCACATCTTTGCCGATTTTGTTATTACCACAAATATTCACAAGCAGATACCAGAAACACTATTGCTTTCGAAAACTTCCTCTTGTGTAACTGAGGACTCGCGAAGTTGAATACAGATGCACAAGACTTAATCTAATTCCTATTCAAATAAAAAACGAACAACTTTCGTGCTACAGTTTTTGTTACCCTTTGGTAGTAAAAAATTCAAATGACATTGGAAAAAGAAAAAATTTTGAAATAAATTCAAGCCTTTCGTTTGACACCCTACAGAGTATTATTAAACGTCAAAATAATGATGGAAAATGTTGAAGACCCGTTGCTAACAATGAGCCTTTGCGAGCGTGGCTAATCTGTCACGATGGCAGGACAGTTCTATGGATTAACTAAAATGGATTTCAGACTGTCTAAAAAAGCAATGAGTCTTTAAGTTAGGAACTATATAGCCAGTTGTTAATCGAGATAGGCCAGTGAAAAATATGTAAATGACTGCGCGGCTCCTCGATATTAGATAAAACCAATGAAGTATAAGGTTCTCAAAACACTAACTCTTTATGTATATACAAAGCAATAAAATTTCGCTACATTCAATTTGACATCAATTCTACAACTTCAAAAAGGCATGACCATCCTGCTCTGCAAATAATCCAAACCATTACAGTTTTGGCACAATTTGTTTGGTTGTTGCACAAGACACAAGTTTTGGTTGTTTTTCTTGTTATCGAAGGAGGGGCAGATATATAAGACACCCGAGTCAAACATGTACTTGCTACTTTCGTGCCACATTAATTAATCTTGGCAATAATAACCTATGCCAGATTCTACTAGAGGGGAGTTAAACAGAAAATGAGCAGTAACATACCTGGACACGCGTATGTAGATGTTCTCGAAACTTCAGCCAGAGGTGTAGGCTTTAACCAAATCTAAACTTCGTCAAGGATGTAACTGTAAAGCTTTTTCTTATAAAAAAAGAGCTGAAGTATCGAGTTATATATTTTTGAAACATGTAATATGTTTACCGCAAATAAAATTAATCTTAGATGCTGGAAATAATAATCTTCAAAAACCCAGTATTTAATTACATTAACAGCATCAAAAGCATTACCAGAAACTAGATAGAAACACTGAAACCACTCAGAAATGAAGGAGGCAGAGACTTTAAGCTATTTGCAAATCTATTAAAGTAGGCGTAAAACATGGTTAGATGTTCCTCACGAGAATTCATAAGGGGCAAAACACGAAAGAGGATGCATAATACGAAATCGGGCTATTTAGAAGAGGAAATACCGCAGAATGTATTCTAATCTTGTTTCACAAAAATTGTAGCGGATAAATTGCTGTACTGCAACAAAAAAAGCAGAATTGATTTTCTGCTTTTGGCTCTTCAAACATTATACGCTGGCATGAGGTAGAATGAGAATAGGAGTACAAAATCGAAAAAAATTCAAGTTGTGATGTATGTTACAAAATGGTTGTTCTCGAAAGAGTAAAGTATAGAATTCTGCATTAAATGCTAATTTTTTATTTAGAACTTAAGGTCAGCCATTAGGATACAATTGGCACCAGATCGAAGAGAGTCTTTGGCAGTGACTCACTAATGACCTAAAATGTGATAAGGCCAAATCATTAGAAAAGTTTAGGCATCTTGGTGGAATATTAATTCGTATTGAATGTCAAACAACAAGAAGTTAGATTACAGCAAAGTAAACGACAGAAATGAAATGACAGAGACAACTGATAGAAAAAATTGGAAGATAAATTTGGGAGGTAGCTTTCAAAATAGGAAATGAACAAAAATAAAGATCAAGAGAATAGTTTCATATACAGGCTACTGACGATATACTTTGGATAAAATTTTTGGCAAATGATTTATGTTTAAAGCAGGAATGATGCACTTTGGGAAATAAAAATGATATTTTGAAAATATTGTCTACCTATTTCAAGTTTCCAAATGTTCTTAATAATTTATTTATTCTAAATTCATTCATTCTGTGTCATTCCAAAGTAAAACGATAAACATAAGTTGCCCCATAATTACATTAACCGTGGCAACTTAGAATTGCCCCGTTCTATACACCAAAGCGTGTACAGCTAGCTTTCATAACAATAAATCACAAACGTAAAATGCGTATCCAACTTGTCAAACAATAATTGTCTCATATCTTAGGAAGCTTCCTACCTTCTTCTCCTTGTCCCATCGGGCGCCTTCCATGTACAGCCCATTTACATAAGATCCATCCTCCTAAAAAGTCATTAAAACAATAGATAAAGAAATCCAATGATTATCAAGAATGAAAAAGCTGCAAAGAATTCTTGTTAAAGTAACAATCTTCCTCCAATTGGGCTACATTCATTCTTTTGTTTTATCAATATTCCGACAGTTACAGATTTCTAATATCATTCCATATAAAGAAACACGTAACAATAATGCTTCAAAGAATAAAAAGAAGTTTTCTATATTTTATAATCAATATATGTTGGATTAATAGTTTGACATAGTTAACTTAGCAAATTGTTACGCACAGGCTTCTGGTCGATGTCATTGTATGAATCAGTGACTTTGAACTCATATCCAAGCAGATCAATTGGAATTCTATGTTTTCTTGAAAAATTCTGTAATGTTCCTGGAAAAATGAAAAAGATAAGTAACGGTTGTGGCAAAGATTAAATGTGGAAAGACGCATAGAAACTCTTAAAATACGAAGGCAGAAGATATCTTTCAAGCATTTATGCAAGAAATCGGTAAAAATAGTCAGTTAAGTCCTGTCTTGAAGGAAAGGATTCAAAATCGCTACCAAAGTGTAAAATTGAAGACAGTTTGTTTATACCTGTTAAAAATGACTGTGTGAAATAGAAGCCAGACAGCCAGTACACAGTTGGTGATCCAGAATCGATCCATTTCTAAAAGCGATAGAAAGGATCGAAAAATATGCTGCATTCATACAAGATTGTTTGAATATAAATTTAGCACTATGATAACTTTTAGCTTTACGCAGTTAGCTATAATTACATAGTGGTAATTTCGACAGAGACAAAACAGAAAAGACCACTTCTTACCTCCTAAACTATACAGAAAAATATGCTTCATTCATTGATCTATTAGTCTAGAAGGATTTGCAATACACAAGAATAGATGTTTGATGTAGAATAGAATTCTTTACATACCTGAAAAAATGTCAGCCTCTCTACCAGATCATTAATGTAACTGCCAAGGGGTTTGAGTGATGGGTAGGATTTGCTAGCCCACATGGATGGGACCTACGGTAGAAAAATATATCAACACTTGTACTATTGAAAGACTGACCTAGTCCTTTAGGTAGCTATAAAGTCAATTTTTTATTATTCTTGTGAACTCACTTTCGATACGCGACATCAAAAAAATCAGTCGATAACCTACAAAAAAAGAATATATTTACTTTGCCAACTAGCATGCTCCCAAACACGTTTTCAAGCTCAGCTGACATGACAACAAGCCCCTTTGTTGCTTTCTTCAGATTCAATAAGCTTGTGCGAATGACATCCACCAATCGATTGAATCTGAAAGCAAGAAACGAGCTATCCATTTCAAAAAGGCTATTTAGAGGCAAACAACAAGAGGTACTGCATTTGACAAAATCGATGCAATTTTAAAGATAAATTCCTATAAATATGAAACAAACGGAGGATTGATCGGGCTACGCTAGGACAGCTTCAAGCTGCCAAATCACTGCACAGCAGACTATTCTTGCACCAAATGTGAGGAGATATGGTTTTTAAAAACCTTTATATTGACTACGAAAGCAAATGTCAACGATGTAATTCAGAAGCTTCGTTCGCAGAATAGGCTCTCTTCAAAATATTTGCAAGCAGAAAAGATTAACTGTTGCCCAAAAATACAGATGGTGAGCTTTGCTAGGAAGGCTGAACTTAACAGCCAGGCTAAGTTCATCGCTTTCACAATTGTTGCAGAGGAGCCACAAAAGCGACATTAAGCAAGAAAGATAGAATTCAGGATATCATATAAAACATTACGCAGCAGTTATCCGGGTCGTTTCAAAAACGTAAATCCAAAAAACTTTGAGCCATAATTGATCCTGTATAAATTTCCCACAGGTGTTATGTTATCCATGAAGGACAAGGAGCCTCATGTCCAAAGGCCTACATACCTAATGAGTTCTTGCAGCAAAACCGTATTCATTGATTCCTCGTATTGAACTGGGTATTTTTCCTGAAAAGTTGAGAATAATTGCTAGCAAAGCACTTAACTGTATATCTTTTCCTGTGTTTCACACCAAAACCTTCGTTTCTAATCACAAATACACGTGATATCACTTGTTGTAATGATTTAGATAATTGGTAGTGTATTCACGTATAAATATTAGAAATGTCATAACGAAAAAGAAGAAAAAAGCTGGGACCCTATATGAGAAGATTTGGGAAATTTTGAAAGTCATAAGTGCCACTTTGTGATACTCAAATTGATAAAAGAAACTAAGGAACCGAGAAATCTTAAATTATTCACCAATCCAACTTCTAAATTATACGATGTTATCAGAAAATAAGTAAAACAAAACTTGAATGACTGAGTCATAAAACAAACTCCGTTTTCTCCGAAACTGTTTTCCTGATTTCTGATCAACTTAATTATCAACTTAGTAATTTTGACATCGCACCTTAATATATAAAATTTGAAAAACAAAGCAAAAATTATCTTATTATCAAAATGAGTGAGAATACCTGCACTGCTTCAATGTCAAATCCATTTGGGAGTTTAGAAAGTATGTCAACCGACAACTCTTCAACGATGTCTTGTGAAGATTTTCCTCCACTAGCAGACTATTAAAAGGGGAAAAATTCAAAGATGAATTCACGTTACTTTACAGTTTTAATATATTAACCAAGTAATGCTATCATAAGATGTCATAAATCTATAATCTAAACAATTTTGGATCATTCACTTAGGCACTATTTGATAAATATGAGATTGCAAATAATTTTTCATCAATAACAACTTTTCCTTTTACGGTTAAGTCTTTGACATATACCCTTTGAAGATGGTTGTTAATAAGACCAAAAGAGACTAGTCTACAGTTTTTGCCATTCATTGATAGCATAACATCGTTTATACCACAAATATTCGTATTATAATCATTATAATTATCATCATTATATGTTAGAACACGAAGTTCCATTATCAATAGCAACTTATGGCCCGTAATGAGTTTTTGAGCAATGTTCCTCAAGCTCCAAGTGACTAAAGCTCCAAGTTGCTAATGATAACAACATTTTACCATTAACGTCAAACAATATTCTACACTTAAAATAACATACATGAATACAATGTTTTCATGAAAAGAATTTTTACTAGTTAGGATACTTACCTGTCTTGGTAAGGTAAGGAGAATGCCATCAAATAATTGCTGGGTTTCTTTCTGATCTTTAGTGATATCAGCATTTTCATGAAATCCAAATACCTAGATAAAAGGTACATTGTCAGAGAAAAAGTAAAAGAAATTGTTTAATGCAGGATTTTGTTCTTATTAAACTTTTTATCAAAGTTTGGTGAATTGATCGAAGTAAACATTTAATTCGCTTTGTTTTGAACTCTAGACGATCTTACGAATGCAGGAAAAAATAGTAAAATACGAATTTGCAAACCTCAGGCTTTGCTTTCTGCGGTAAACCCTTTATCTTATCCAAGAATGCATTGTAATCTCCCTGAAAATTAAGAAATTTCTGTTATACAGTGTGATTTTTAAAGAAGAATGTACAAAAAAATGAAGTTTATAAAATATACTACAAGAGACTTTTCTAATCGGGATTCCTGTATGAGGAACGGGAAAAGCTCCAACTTCGTCCTTTTTTCTAACTGGAAAGCCACTGGTATAAGTAGGAGTGAAAAAATAGAAAATATTGTTTTTGAAAATTAATTTACAAAAAAACATCTCAAGATTGAATCACCCCACAGCATTTCAAGGTAACATCAAGATTCACTCCACGGCCCCTGCTTTGTACCTCCAGTAACAAACAATGAAACTTTCAAACAAAAAGTTTGTAAGAAGAAGGCCAAGGGGGGGTTAAAAAGTATACATCAGTACAAAATTTGATAGAAAATAGAATAAAACTTTGCCTATATAACGCAACACGAAACTCACCCTGCCATCGATAACGTAATCGCCGCTCTCAGATAACGAATACTCATCTTTCGTTACTATATCAGGGCAGTAGAACGTTGATAATATACTCGTTATGCTTCTCCTGTTAAAAAATGAAAATCTCCCGTTTATCATCTAAATGCATTGCCCTCGAATAATTTTTAGTGCACATAAAAGGTAACAATGTATTCCAACGTGTTCCTAACGAGTTGCTCAACATGCTGTCAGTCTTAGCATAAGTAATGAAATCTTTGTCTTCACTGACAAGCGCAAGGAAATGAGAGGCTTTTGTCTCCTAGAAATGTATCAGAACATTAAAAAAATCTAAGTAACAAAGTCGCAAGAAACTTTCCAAAGAGACGTGACATTTCTTTTCCAAGGAGGTCAAAATCTGTCCCGTAATAGGCTTGCCTAATATATTGCAAAAATCCAATAATTCAATTGCCTTACATATACGGAAATTTCTGTTCGAGCAAAAAGGTTTGATTTTCAAAACCCTGTTTAGGCCTTACTTTCGATGATTTTAACATGTTGCTTTCCTTTGAAAATTCCTTTAATCGCATATTGACTATATTCGTGTAAATAAATGATCAAGTTTACAAGAAACCAAAATTGAGTAACCCGTTGCAAGGGAAGATTGAAATGCGAATATTTAGGCTTAGGCGTTAAACAATTTATCACAAGATGATTTCTTTTGCTAGATAGAATATCAAAAAGCCCACTGTCCTTCTTTGAGCACATATTTTGAAAAACCTACCCATGACCTTCACTTCATTAAGGAGATTACAGTGTCAAATTTAAGGCACCAATACGAAACATTCTACGTTGTCATACCTATCAAAGTCATCTGTCACTCGTCCTCCATAATTGCATTGTCCTGTGAGGTATCGCAGTGCATCAAAAGGCACTTCTTTATAGTCGTTTAGCAACATCTGTATGGAAAAGTTTCCCAGTTACAAAAAAGATAATACATTGTTCTGTTTTTCAAAACAAAAGTTTCGTTTTGTCAGTTTTGAAAACAAAACATACAAAGAAAAATTAGGTAACATATTAGAAAGGCTGAACAAGGAGAAACAACAATTTACTAGAGCAGAAAAAGACTTCGCCAGATTTCAACTGTAATTACATGGATATAGATGAGATAACAACAACATGTGAAATTATTTGCTAGCAACATTAACAAAATTATGGAGAGTGCTTTCAGCTAAAAATATTTGAGAATTATGATTTAATAAATTGGAAAATAATGCTTCATAAATATTGCAGCATAAACTGACTTTCTAAGCAAGGTCCGAGGAATATTCGCTTACCCATCTTGACACTAATAATGATGAAGTTAACACCAACCTGCAGTTGCCTAACACTGATTCTTAGGTCTGACTCGTTGAATTCATAGGGAATGTTCCAGCCAAGTGATCCGAACTGGCGCCTCTCTTGAACAATGGCATGAAAAAAGCAGAGACCAAAGAGAAGTCGCTTCCATTTCTAAAACGAGGCACATGCAAATCATACGCTTGTCTTTTAGAGCAAAACAACACACAATGACTTTGAAATTCAAACTGTAACATGCGGTTCTGAATATTTTACATACTCTTGATCTATCAGCTTACAGATTTGCGAACAGAAAATAAAAATATACATACCTCTGGTTTATTACATCCGTCAAAGAAGGCTGGATCTGAGATAGGATCGCTTAAGTATGATCTAAGCAAATTTGCACGCAAACCTTTAGGAGGCTCATTTGTCATCTTCACACCTAAAGACAAAAATCAATTTTGAAAGTAAAATCAATTTTATATAAATTTCAACCATAAATTACACCAAAACATCTTAGAAAAAGTCTGTGGAAAATAGCAATTTTGTCGACTGGAAAAACTTGCTCTTAGTTGTCGAAAAACTGGCTCTTAAAAGAGGCTACATGGAATTGCATCATCAATCTATGACATTACACATTTTTCAATTGTGATATTACATAATACTCTCAATGTTTTGGTTATATAAAATTAAAGACATTCTACTCCATGTTGATAGTTGAAATTAAGTTGAGTCGTAAAGCAATCAGATACCTCTGTGCCACAAAATAAACTAGATGGTTTCAGATTGATCATTTGAGATTGTAAATTAATATTAATACCACACAAAGATAAGCAGCAAAAAAAACAAATTAAGATACCATTTTGAAGAACAGTGACAGGAAAGTGTGGAGATGGGTAGCTGGTTAGCCATAATCTGAAATCCTTGTGCGTTTTGTCTGGTGTGATTAACTAAAAACAATCATGAATTGTTGAATCATACACAATTAATAGATATCGCAAAACTCGACTACATTTAAAACAAAAGAATATGCTTATTCTGTGTCCTCGGATTATACACTCATTTCAGTAACAAAATTCAGATAGCAAGAAAACATTTTGAATTCAATCGTACTAGGAAAGTATTTAAGTACCAACAGCTTCAAATATTTTTATTCAAAGCAAATCAGATTTAAGTTTTCCCGACCTTCTTTAATCTATTTTATTTGCGTCTTATCCCATGTAATTAGTTAGAAAAAAAGTGAAAAAATAGTTCAAGGATATTGACGAAATACGCAGACGTATTTTTCTAGAAAGGTGAAATTGTAGCATAATTGAACAGTCAATAATATATCAAAATAATAGCTATCATACCTAAAGGATAATTAAATAATTTCATTCGTTACATTTTCTCCATCTGTACTGTGATATACTTTTAAAAATATAATAATAAACCGCTTTAGAATTTGATACCTCCTCGCAGAGCTTTTCTAGCGTAGGCAGCCATGATGTTGCAACGTGACAATTTTGCAGAACAACCCAAGTGCCATCAATAATTGCCTGGACAATAAGAGAAAAATGAAAATATTTGCAAAGTGACGTACATGTTAACAAAACACCAATTCTATTCATTTAGATTTAGATTTTTACCATTTGCGATTTGAATGAGAAACAATTGAACCATAATAGCAATTTTCGCACTTTTGACGTCGACAAATTTTTTTGTCAGCTAACTTTGAGCAGCAGTTACCCATGTCGATTAAAATCTGAACAAGAGATACAGAAGAAATCACTAAAGCCATTTTTTGGAGACCTTACTTCCAAAAAACTCGGTAGGCAAGAGACAGAACATATTGGTAATTAGCACCAATGACGTGGTATCTAATATGGGTCTGTTTGCACCTTAATGTCACACTGACAGCTATATTTGTCTGCTGAATCACAGTATTCCTGCTTTCAATCTAGTCATTGCATCACCCTACACTTATACATATTATTGTCACAAGAACCTCAAAGAATAGCTGAAAACTAAACGAACGAAAATAACAATTTTAGATGGTTGCGAGCGTCTGTATGAAATTTTGCTCTAAAGATTATACGTTTAAATTTGCTCTACTATATTTTGCTTCTTAATAAGTTACCAGGCACTTCTATACCTCTTCCACATCAACCTCTATTTTCTATGGTTTCATTCCTGATAGGTCCACTTGACAACTATAAAAGGTTAAATGTAGCCAGAGCTAACTAACCTAGCACCGAGCTTGGGCATGTTATCGTATTGTGAGCAGGACTATTGGCAAACAATGATTGTCGTTTGATAGCGGTTGAAAAAGTGATCATAACGGAAATACGTAAATGAAACCCATATATAGTTAAACAAAACTCCATAATTAATATAAGACTATATATAGAATCAGTGAATTCACCCCAATTTCTAACACATGACTTATTTTGGTATAATAAATGTGCGAACATGTAATGCAAACACCGACATGAGCCAAATATACAATTCTTAAGCTTCGTAATATCAGGAATCAAACTCCAGGAATACTTTAATCCGTACGTAATTCACTATGAAATCATAGATCACTTCTGTAATGAAAAACACTAGATATGATACAAGTTCGAGCATACCAACTCCTACAATTGTGTCTAAAATAGACATAAAAGCACACTGCCTGATGCACGGTGGTGGTTAATCAATAATGTAATTACCTTTTCGATTGTTTTGTAAGCGATGGGCCCCTGGCCTTGCCCGAGGGAAATCGTCTGACATTTATTTCCATTCATACCTAAAAAAGGGCATAGACATAAATGGCATCATAGGAACATCTCGAGTGGTCAAAAATTTACCATAGCTAGCACTTTGCAGTATCAATAGAATGTCACTGGGATTTTGCTTCCAGAGTGTCACTGGGAAAAAATCTGTAGCTTGGATTTTATGAAAAGTCACGATTCTTTAAAAATCTTAGCAACTATATGTTGCCCTGAAACTGCACTGTGATAATAGTTAAACAAAGTATTTTTACGCCTTCAAGCTAAACAGTGTCACTGTCATTAAATAAGCCAATAAATGGGAAAAGAGGGTGCAATGTGGTGTTTTTGAGCCTCATTTCATGATGAAAATTGATTGAATTAACAGTGGGCCACAAGCACCCACAATTAGCTGCGGTTAAAAAGGAAAAAGTTCATGGTCTGCAGTCTGGAGGGAGAAAAACCTTTTTTCAACAGACAAAATACTAAAGACATTCTATTGTGTTGGAAATTTAGAAAAGAAATTTTGAATTCAATTGAACGATATCAATATCAAAAATTGTTATAATTAGAAGAATCCAAAGTTGTTCGATATATTTTCCTTAGTATCCTTGAGTGGGAGGGGATAAAGGACCAGGATAAAATTATAACAGAAACGATTGTTGTTGACAAAAGGGGTCATGTTTGCAAAGGAACGTATTGAAAGCCATGCTGGATCTTTGGCAGTTAAACGAGATTTATCAAGGATGCATCAAAACAAGAAGCATTTGTTTGAGACTGTTTTGCAGTTTGCTACATCCAACCAACTTTGCTTATTAAGACAAAGGGATTTCACTGGATGATGTTGCTAATTACACTAACCCATATCTTCAGAGAATTTGATGAGTTGAGCCATTGGATCAACTCCTGGTGACAGCAGAAAGATCAAAGGGAGACAACAGTTTGAGTCCTGGTAGCACTTTCGCAGATCAAATGGCGGTGGCTCCGTGTACTCCTTGCCCATAATGCTGACTATGAAATCTTGAACAGCCAGACTTATCTATAAAAAAACATACCTCAGCATTGAATGAAATTTCTATACAAAATTTGTTTCATCTAACTGAAACATTTTTCTACAGTCAAAAACAAAGTGTTTCTTTCTTGCTATGTAATAAATGCAGGCCCAGTCAGGAAATTCATGAAGGATGGATGTACCTTTAGTTAGGCCTACTGGAGGGATAGCGTATGTTAAATATGACACCTTAATTTTGAAAAGATCGACTTCTAGCAGTTAGATAGTACTATACCTTTTGAATCAACAAGAGGCATATCGTTTATGAAACAAGTCTATAATTATAGGTAGCAATAATAAAAGATGAACTTTGTTTTTCTTACATTCCGTTGATTGAAGCCCTGTATTTTTGTCGAATATATAACGAATATTTTATTGTCTTTGATATGGTGAAACCTGATTTAAAAATAAGTAGAAATCGACATATTTACTTGTTGGGGAGACGAGCATTTTTTAAGTCCTTTAGTTTTTAAAATTTTGCATCATATGCAAAAGGGAAGTTAAAATCGACGACGTTATTTTCACATCGCAAATGGTATTCTGTGGTAAGACTATTCGCGACTCTTGTAAGATAGAGCCATTATTAAGTCGAACGAAAACTAAGAAAGAAGGTTGTCACAAGAAAGTGAGAATGAAACACCGGTTAAGATAAAGCAACTATGACATATCATAGGTTTGATTGAATGCTGTCCTCTGAAACAAAACGAGACGTGAAATTTGCCAACAAGCCTTTACCCTAGTGCGCATGCATATATTATGCTCTTTCTCGTTGGTTCAGATTATTAAACAGAATGATCATAGAATGATAGAATGATAATAAACAATAGAAATTTAGACTCCCCAGCAATTACACTTTGCATAGACAGCAAAAGTAAAATTGGAAAGTAGAAAATTAGGAATTTACAGCGTATAAACAGAGATCTGCTAGAATATCATCATTCTATATTATGATGTTAGAAAGCAAGTACCTTTTGAGAAACTTTTAGGAGTCAGGACCTTTGACGGCAAATTAATTACCACTTACCAAAGCTAAATGAAGTTTTAAGATTTCGCGACCTAGCATTAACGCAAGGAGCACATATCATTTCTATTCTCGGGTAAATTTCATACTCTGAGACAATTCAAAATATTTTCGAGTAGCAAAACTTGCGTTAACTCTTCAAAGCATGATTGCCAGGATTTTCTCTCTGCTCTGCCCATATGTATAAGCTCAAGTGGTAAACGTTATTTGTAAATCAATTTAAAGCAATGTAAAGATTTTTTTATGGTAACGTAGTTCTCATAGTTTTGGATAACTAGCTTTTTCCCATGGAAACTAAATAAAAGAGTAGTTGATCGATAGCAACGATATCCCTATGCTAGCATTAGCCGTCTGGCTGCATGACGAAAACTAAGAGTTAACTCTGACCGCATTATTTACCTTTGGCATTCATCTTACAAAAACATAGACTTACGTATAAATCATTCATTTACTTAAAATATCCAAACATGATTAATCTTATAACTTCATTAATGATTTTCCCAATTCCTTCATGTCTTTAAGCGCAATACATTTCACCTAAAGAAAAGCTTGAAGAAAATCGTTGAGCTGTCGCCATCCGAAAAATAGTATCAGTTTCAAACGCCTCGGAGAAATTTCAACTGTGTATCTGCATTTGCTATTCCTGCTTTATAATTATTGAGATGAAATTGAAAGGGGAACTTGAAGACACTTTTCTGTCTTGTAGTTGGGGACGATATCATTATTGAATTTATTCTATTCTACTCAACAACCCTCAATTCTACGTTTATCAATATCAATTCCTTCTACCTTATTTAACATATATTCTTCAATTTTTATAGAGTTTGGTTTGTCAAAAACTAGATACAAAGTAAAAAAGAGATAGTAGTCTGTATGACAAAGCTTTCATATGTTTATACCTTCATATAATTATGGATATTAGAATATTTGCTTGTAAGGATTGAGATAAATGAATTCATCAAGGTGTAGACGGTAAACGCGAAGCAATACGCAGAAGCACCTAGGACTACGGGCTCAAATACGATACACGAAAAACGGCCTACGGAGAGGAGGGGAAGAACACAGTTCACTGCATCACTGTTAGAATAATATTTATCAAGCAGTTCCTTTAATTTATAAGTTAAAAAATAGGTGTCTAAGACCTGGTGGTAGGGGAAGGATTTAAAATCTACCCCTTCTCTGATAAATTCCGTCCCTCTGTCTCGTCCATTCAGATTCCCAACCTCAAATTTCACCCAGTTTTAATATTCAAAAATTTTCGACTCCTTTATTCTATTTTATCTCCACACTATTTCGATGAATGTTTCCAAATGACTTGATTATGTTGCCTAGCAACAATGTAACATTTGACAGTGGCTAAATATTTAGGGCTGTCTTATCGGGCCTCAAATAGCCCTGAGGCAAATAGCCAAATATATGTTACAATAATGCCATTGACTACCATTTTGGTGATTAAGCCAGTAATCGTTTGTATAGCCATTAATCTGCTTTGTGCAAATAAATCATCGAAGTAACACCACGGATAAAAAACGTTTCTCTCAAAACAATTTTTCGCACATTCTGTAAGACAACAATATTGTAAGAGATGTCTTAATTCGGATCGAAAATCTTTACGAAAACCAATATTGATTTATATAAACATGGGAAACTCAGAACGTTCAGTCAGAACGTTTAAAAACAATATTAAACCTTTGCCATAGAGCTTCTTGATAGAGTAACAGAGCTTGCTACGAAACAACATAATGGTATTATTCAAGTAATACACATACTGCCTAAACTTTGATATGGGCTATCCTTAAAAAACGTGAACCTCCTTTAATAACTACAGGTCAACTTTGAACATAAAGTAAGGTTTCTGACAAGTTACTTCGAGAGACCATGGTTCTTGAAAATGATTCCTCACTTACCTATTTATCACTTACCTGAACAGAGAGAAAGGTTGGTAGTAAAAAACTGAAAAAAGGAAACGTCAAGGCAAAGACAAACAAATAGGGTCAGTGATAAACAGACGCCATTTGCTTCAAATATTTGCCCCATTTCATCATCATGATAACATTTACTGAAACTTGAATTTGCCGTACCTTGTCTGGCCGAAGGCACCGCAATATAGCAAGCTTTTGTAAATCCATTAATTTTTCTTCCCAGGGTTGGGGCAAAGGTGCAATGTGGGGTGACGCTGAGCTGTAATACTTGTACCATTCTTCTACCTGAAATTGTAACAAAGCTTGAAGACATATTTAATATGAAAACATCGTTACACACAACAAGAACACAACAAGAATTCAGACACTAAAGTATTGTCTTAATGGATTGTTATATCCATAAAAGTTTCTTTTGTACAAAAATATCAAAAAATTGCAAACCTGTATTTCAAAATCATCTTTTAGGCCATTGAAAGCAGGGAGATCTGAGCATCTGACAACTTCATCCCATGACTTGCTTGTAAGCCATTCTGGGGCTGGATTCTTGTGGATGTTGTCCAAGGCAATCCCTCCTGTTAGTAAAAATCTCCATTCTTCTTCATTTACGTCGCCCCTTTAAAAAAATGTGTGCCACTAGAAAACAAGCTAAAAATACATTTTGGCGTAAAAAAGACTGGTCCTTTTTACAAAGGCTTCGTTATTTCTCTAACACTCACATGCAAGATTCAATGATAGGACAATGAATAAAGAAGGTAAGAATGTTGGATGTGAAATAAATGACGATTAGAGCAGATTATTTTTTAAAGCTGGGAGAATTTTTTATACCATTTACATCAAAAGTGATATCTCAAAATAATGTTTTCAATAACACTGAGAAAGTTTGCCATTGCAATTAGAATCTTCAAACTCACAGATAGGTATGACTTCGAAACAGTTATATGGACTCGCCATTAAGAGCACAGGGATAATATGCTCAGAAATGTCAAACAATACCTAAACACACACTGAACTGCTACAACGTAGTACCCTTGACTGAATGGAGAAAAAGGTGAATGAGGGAATCAATGGGAAGTTATTGCTAAAAGAAATTGCAACAAAGACTAACTGTTTAATCCATGTATAGACGACATCATAAAGATAACGCGTAGAAAAACAAGTTCGATTCGAGGGAATGTTTAAAAAGGATTGGCTACGTAAATAATCGCCTGATGAGATAGATATCCACGGAGATTGGATACAAGGTAAATTTTGATCACAATGTAAAGAATTTTATCTCCATAAACTCAAACAGATAAAATATACGTTTTGATATTATGCTCTATTTATCTAAATCTCAACCGAAAAGCACAAACTTTGATATTCTGCATCAATTAATATAATACCAAAATAACTACAGGATGAAGAAGATTATTTGTGATCTTAGGGCGGCTTTTCAATGCCAAGATACGATAGCGTTGCATAAGAAGGTAAAGAAGCGTGGAAAAACTGAGCAGACAGGAAGCAGTTTGAAGGATGGCAACATATTTATAAGTAGTGTCACTTTCCTATTCGAGGGTAAATAAAATTTCAACATTCAATTTCTATTCAGTAGTTAATTCAAATATCAACCAGACAAAGAGATTTAAGTAAAAAGCAAAAGGAAAGAAGTGGACGAGAGCTAGATATTGTTTTGAGGTTGATATGGTCAAAAAAGTCTTTAATGCAAAACAGACAATGATAAACAGGAAGGAAAAAAGATTATTTTAATGAACCAGAATTGCTGGTTCGAAATGGGAAAGGCTGATCCAATCAATGGTCCGTCGTGGTGGTAAAAGGGTCGAAAGGACAATAGATCTCAGAGCGGGGGTGATATTTCTTAGGGAACAGCCTGGCCCTATTTTCTCCTAAAGGAAACGACACCCTGATCTTTCTTTTCCTGTTTTCATTGAGTAGCAAAATTTGAATCAGGTTGAAACAGAAGCTGAAAAATAAAGATAGGCTTACCTTCCTTTCAAAATACCAATGCAGAGCAAAAAGGAGAAGAGCAATTTGTCTTTTTCAAAAAGAGAACGGCATACATTCACATAAATGCTGAAAAAGAAAATGTCACATGCTAGATATAATAAATATTTGAAAAGTGAGAAATACGTGGTGGTGACGAAATAAATAAAATCATATGCGAATAACTACTGCTTTGAAAAATATAGGAGCAAAATAAATTATGTCTAGGTAACACATTTCCAGCTCGTATCGTTTTTTTTAAAATTGTTTGTGATTCCTTTATCTGGTGACTTTCGTAAGATTATTTTCAAAACGAAGCTAAGAGGCTTGTCTTTTTATCTTGAATTTGCCTGCAATTTGGTTTGAGCTTTCAAGCTGGGTTCTTTAAACACATGAATTTTCCATACAGTTCATGAAGTCTGAAGGTATAAAACAGTTTGCGTCGCAAAATTTAAAACGTATGAAATATAACACTATTGAAAACATGAAGGCCGCGTTCCCAAGCCAATTCAATACAGTGGGAACATTGAAATGTAAAGGGGGTGAAAACGGGGGCAGGTGCCCCTTTTTCGATAAACTGCAACTGGATTCAACATTTAATAACCCTTTTTCACTTGCTGTTATTTTCATGGACAGAAATTTGATCTCAGAGGAAATTATTGACGTTTATGTAAAAATCTGCTTCTCACTTTCCCCTTCCCCTCCCCCCTTCTTCCAGCTTTCTCCAAAAGTGAAAAAGGGCAGTTTCCAATACTTTATAGCTAGTAAGCCTAACATCACAGGTTAACACCAAACTTACAATTTCATTAAAGGAAAACTGCCAGTTAAATATAACTCTTGCTTTTACAGCAAGTGATTTATTATTCAAGATGACAAGTGGTTACCGAAGATTTATAACAAAGAAACAAGATTCGTGAACCCTACGGGTGACATCGCAGCCATGAAAGGGATTCATTTCACCAATGGGTTGTGTCAGTCATGACAATTCATAAAATAACTTAAGCTGATGTACCCGCAGGTAGCCTGGGAACTAAGACGAGCTTTCTTATGTGACTATGGTAACGATGACGTAGAGGGAAATGACATAAATGGCCTAGCTGTTCATCATCAATGAGGCCTTATTGTTTATTGAAGACATTATGAAGACCTTGATTTTATCAAAGATATATTAATTACAATTTGGGATATTGTCATACTTTTGATTTTCCTGTTTCCGACGATTTTCATACAATTACTTTTCATTAGATTACTAAACACATACACATACAATCACTAAACATAAGATACTTAGCAGCTTGGCAGAAGCCATTTGCGCCATTATTCAAGAGAATAGAAGATACGATTATACATTTCCAAGATCAGATTTGGAATAACCATAACCATAATGAAAGAACTGACAAACAGCATGGAGAAACTGCGCAGCGTTGGCTTAAAGTAGCCTCCAAGTAGCCTTGATGTATTACGTATTATAATGTTATGGATGTTTTAATATGTAGTGCCTTTCAGGGCAAGCTCTGTGGATAAACACCAAATGAAACATAACCAAATAGTTTTCTCCTCCCTCTAAAAGTGTAATTGCAATGGCAAAGTCGGATATTCTCTTAAATCATTATGTCCCGTCAGTTAACCGTTCAGAGGCTTTGCAGTGCGTTTATGATTGAGAAGACATTACGAGTTGCCAACTGGATACATAGCGGTAGGTCTATTGTGTTGTCCAACCAATGAAAAACTTAAATTGCAAGTGAAATGCGTCGGTACATAGTGCCTTTAAAGACTGATTGCTAACAACGAGCCTTTGCCAGGGTGGCAAATTATCCAGGCGACAATCCAAACAATGGCAGTAAACTTCTACGGATTAACCATAACTGGTTTCAGACTGTCTGAAATTGCATTATGGGATGCTTGCGTAGCGCAATGGCTCATTGTTAGCAATGAGTCACATTCTCTAGCCCAAAGGCAAAACTTAGTTTGTCGTGCGCCCACTTGAAGGCACAATATAACTTCAATTGAAATCTGATCCCAAACGAATATCGAAAGCAATTTCGATAAAATTTATCGTAATTTAATTGTTATTCGTACATGACAGGCCTTTTCAACATACACTACCAGTACAAAAGTATTGCAACACCCAAACGAAAATGGCATCCAAAAAAATTGAAGTTTTGTAAACAAATATCTTTACGCTGAAATATTCTCCTTAAAAGAGAAAATAATCAGGCTAAACCAGTACTTACTATAACGCATGGCTATAACCTCTTTGCTTCAGACAATTAAATATTGTTTCTTTTATCATATTGTTTCATAAAGGGTTTTAACACCTCCCACAGTTAAAATCCTTTCACAAGGCTATATATTGCTGTAATTGCTTTTTAATCACAATTGAATATGACTACAGGACGAGGAAAATAAGTGGGAGAATTTTCAAATGCAAGAGAAAGAAATTATTGTATCCGGAAGAGGGAATTAAAGAGATTACAAGTTTTATTCTGATTGAAAAAAAAATTTTTTCGAGATTTGATTTGAAGAACGCATGTAAACCTTAATTTGGCAAATAAAACGCTAACTTGAAAATTTGCGGATTGAAAGTGACCTTGAAACTAAGAGCGCCTGAGAATGCTACATTGAGATACCGTCGAAGCACATATTTTTTGTGAGAAAATCCTTTAATTCTACCACATTGGGGTGGACAAATTTACCGCCTGTCGATTGAAAACGCAAATGAAAAAGAAACTCTATACATAGAGTATACAAGTTGAAATAATCATTTGGGGGATAAAAGAACAATGTTACCCGAGATTTAAAGCACCTTTTTGATAAGAATAGCAATTAACTTCCCTCTAGGGTGTGTGCTAATTGTTATTGAAATCGCAAAAAGGATCGTATTGTGTTGTGTCCAACGTGTTCATCAAACAACACACGACAAAACTAGGCAATAAACAACAGTCTGTCTGAAATAACAAACGCTTTGAATAAACGACCAGAGGAATGGGAAATGAAAAAGAATCATTCGGTTTACAACCGCGTTCTGTAATTTATACCTCTGTATTGGATTTAGCGCTGAGTGACAACTTGCAAAATATCCTGTACTGACTTTCTTTACTGGAGGATTGAGTTAATCTTGCTTGAGCAAAGAATCAAAAGATTGAAGCATAAAAGCCAGTATTAGAGGTTACAAGCAGATAAGGGAACCTGCAATTACCAAACGGTATTTTTGGGATCGTTTCGTTAAGTCCGGAGCTTCATGAGAAGTTTAAACTATGGATTCAAAGCGTAGAATTTCAAAGATCGATGACAGGTTGATAAGAGAAAATGAATACATTGGAAGAGTTCTGAACGAAAAGGTTAAAGAAATCGATAAACTCAAGGTCAAATTTGAGAGGAAACTTCAGCAAGAGAAAGAAAAGTTTGCTGTTCAACATCTGAGTGTTACAAGTAGCTTCAATGAAAAGAAGGGTGCCAGAAAGAAAAAAATAAGTCTTGCGTTTGATGAAAGTGAAAGACGGATTGGTGGTTATGCAAGAACTAGACAATTAGTGTCGAAAAGTATTTCTGATAGTGAACTGGCAAGTAGAGAAATTATGGATAATGATGACAAACTGAATTGTTTATTTCCGCCTTTGATTAATAATACAACGACGGAAATGAATAGAAAGTACTCAAGGGCCTTTAGCGAAGGCGTTCGAATACAAAAGGATGTGTCTTCCGGAAAAACTGCTCAAAATCAGAGAAATTCTGGGGATTCTGTACGATCTGGTGAATGTGAAAACCCGAAAAAAGGACGGAGAATAAGCAAATTCAACCAGGGAGTGACACCTCAGAACGAACTTTCAAAAATATTTTCAGGAAGCAAAACAGCCGAGAAAAGTGAACTTTTAACCCCATCAAATATTACAGTTTCAGAGGAAAGTTTACCAGACTGGCAGCGAGAGATTATCGAGGCAAAAAGACAAGAAAAAGAAGGGTCGAAATCGATAAACGAATGGTTTGACACAAATGACAATATCGTGTCCAGCACAGAAAACAAAATTAGACTACCAAGATCCAGTAGACAAAGTTTGGTGACTCAAAACATCGGTGACAAAAGTCTGCAACAAGATGAGCTGGGTCCAATAGAGGAAAAGGTTGCCTTGGAGAACATTTCCAGAGTAAATATGGTGAAAAACTTGACAAAGCAACAACGCTTTGATATGGAACATCGTGTGACATTTTTACCTCCGATGCATAGGATATTTAAAGATGATATTGGCAGTGATCCCAGGGAAAGCGACAAGGACATTAAGAGATTAAGTATGGCAAAGAAAAGGTGGTTGAAGGCATATAATCTCGCGAAAGAGAATTTCCAAGGGTCAGGACCGAAGGAAAGCACAAATCCTATTCATGTGACTAATTTAAAAGAAAGTCAAACTGAGACAAAATGTTCTGAAGACCCCAGACTACTACGGCTGGTTTCATTGCTCTCTAAGAGACGAAGTATTTGTCGAGGCAAAGACGTAGAGACTGGAGCTGCATTGGAACCATTCTCAATGAACCCAATATAAATCGAAGGCAGTAGCAAAATTGCAATAAACAACTGCGAAATAAATGCTTGGATAGAATGCAAAATTGTTGTGTTGGCTTCGAGTCTAAGAAGTAATTCGACTAAAGAACTGGAGGAGAATATTGATGATCATCTATGGTAATGGGGTTGGGTTGAGATTTGCATGAAGTAAAAGTACTTTCCAGGTCTTATCTCTGATAAGCTGCCAAATGCTGCAGTTTTTGGTTGCAGATACTCCGAAATTAAACACCCCATATCGTTTTAAGATCAGCTTACAATGTAAAGAGAAGACTTTAATAATTAAAGATTGAAAGACTTTGTCTGGCACAAAATAAGGTAACTCTGTTAATTGGCACTTATCCTTTAAACGACATCTTAAGATTGTTTCATATAACTTTTTTTTCTTGTTATAATGTTGATTGATATGCCTTTAGAGCTTAATTGTTGCTTAATCTGCTTTGACTCTGAAGGAGAAGGTGCATTTACTGTTGCATGCTACAAGGAACTATTAATTTTAAAAACAACAATTGATGTAATCGGTGTTTCAACTTACGAAGACTTTCGACAAGCGCCGTCAATTGGGATCTAGTGTACCTGTCAATACCTTTGTACAGCTATACCTTTCTTTACAACCAGTCTACTCTACATTCAACTTTCAAGACCGGAAACTGCCTTCAAAGTTCAGCAGAGATGCTTGAATCCTTCGAGCACGTATTATTCGAATTTTCACCCTAACAACGCAAAAATCAGGCAAAACCAAATTTCGACTGTGAAAGAAATGATTACTGTCCCTTTCTTGTAAAGCACGGTCATCCGCCAAAAAGCATTTTATTCATAACTGGGCAGCTTTTAACCTAGATCTGCCAAAAACCTCACAACACTGTAAGACCTATGAACGGAAGACATCTGCCAAATAATTTACCACGAGCATACAAAATTGCTTCAATAAAGTCAAAAGTACGCAGAGATTTGTAGTAAGGTTAAAATAAAGAAAAGAAGAACACTTCACTCTCAAAAGACAAACTCAAGATTAAAGTAATTTTTCGGATGATAAAAGAAAACGTCGCCAAACTACTCAGACCAGTTGAGACACGTTTTATCAAGTTTTTTTAAAGGATTAGAGGTGAAAATTTCTTGCATTATCAAAGATATTTTAGACAAACATAAAGTAAAGATAGCGAATTTCTAGATTGGTATAAAAGTCACATTTAAGACATGTGAGAGACGCTTTCTAAAACGAAAGAATACGTTCATAAACCAGGTCAATTGACGAGAAATCACAACTAGGCCAATATGCACAACGGTGATTTTTTGCGCTGTCTGCTCGGAGCTTCAGACGCTTTTACAATTATCACTTTGAATTACTTCGTATCAATAAGACATTTTGCTTTTTTAACACAAGAGTAAATTTTATAACGCTCGGGTAGATATTCAGATTCTAAACTGTTCAGTTTAACTGCCTAACTTAATTAATGCAGCTGTATACAAAGGGGTCTGGTAAAAAGCTGATGACGTCGGTAACATGCATTTCAAATTTCGAGAAAGCCCTGTTAGTCAATCTAAACAAGTTACGAATAGAAAAGTATGCTGCCGTACGAAATCAGTTAAATAGAGCTGCTTCTGCTAAGATTGCTGTTGCTATCCCCGTTGACATAGCCTTCTAACAACCTTCTACGTCACAATAGTAAACCACCAGTTGAACTGGTCTGTCCGCCCAACTGTTTGTCTACCTGTTTGGCCAACTATATTTCAAGGGGATATAGCTCAGTGGTAGAGCATTCGACTGCAGATCGAGAGGTCCCTGGTTCAATCCCGGGTGTCCCCTGACTTTTTACATATTTTTATCAACTCCTTATTATTATTGGGCCAACAGTCGAAAATCCCGTTAATACCGAGGCCAACTCCCCAGCGGACTCTAGAGCGACATATCATGGTTCTCGATTGTCATTCTAGAGAACCATTCGACAAAAGCCAATTCCTTTCTTTTTACTCACCATATATGATCGTTCAAAGTAGAGCTCACGCGAAAAATGTGCCGGAAATCAGGGCCCACGCCACTGGAGAGGAAAGAATGTTTCCTATTACCCTCTCTAGCCAAATTTCTGGCAAACGTTTTACGGTAGCCATTCTACTTGTGGATTTTGGTTCAATCAATTTGTTGCAATCTACAGGTTTACCTTCATGAAGAATTTGAACTGATTATAATACTTAATTTAGCAAAAAAGGGGGGAGGCCATGGCTCCCTGCCCCCCCCCCCTATGGCGCGGGCCTTAGAATTACTGTGCACGGACGAGATCTCATCGAAAAATGCAATTTTCTGCAATCTAAAGGTCATAGGCAAGGCACGGGGTGAACAAAGACGCCTTGTTAAAAACCAGTGCTTGTGAAAAGAGAGGTAATAGTATGTTCAAGAAGCAAAAAATTCATTTGGAACGAGAGTATGACACAGTCCCCGAGCTTTAAAGCGTCGATTGCTTGTCACATTGCCAGAGCATCTTCAGAAGAGCTACCACATTTAAAAATCTCCAGTGGTTCTTGAATAGGCGCTAATAGGCGTGTAAGCAACGCTTTGTAGGAGTCGAAAAACTGTTTATATGCCTTTGGAATCGCTATGAAAATGACCGATGGGTCAAACCACTGTCAATGATAAGTAGGTCCGAATAGGTCCATTCATTGATTCAAAATTGAGTAGATTTAGGCGTTTCACACTGTATGAATGAGAAAGATTACAATTCCAAATCACTGAATAGAGATGTGATATTTTTTGTTTACGTATAGCACACAAAGAGACAAGGTAGATTTTCAGTGCCAAAAAGGGGATGAACGTTGTTTAGAATGTAATCAGCATGGGTAAGCAAAGAAAGGGCTTCAATTGGACTTTGATATATCACAAGAATGATGTGTATACAGTTTTTAGTACTTCCTGATTCACATATATACACTTATAGCAAGCCACCCAAAGCATGCTACTTTGTTACTTTACATTTTGCTGATTTGCAAATAAACTCACGGTAAGCCACTCAAAGCATGCTACTTTGGAACTTCTCATTTGGCTGATTGCCATACACACTCACATTAGGCCATATAGGACGTGCAACTTTGGTTCTTTACATTTTGCGAATGGATGACTAAACCGGTAGCTAAACAGTTACTCTACCTCTATAATTTAATCTGGTGGTTTCTTCTTTGCTAATTTCGAAGACGAGGATACTGGTCGGAATCAATATACTACATATGTAGCATTACGAAAACAAAAGGATATGATCATACGACCTAGCGATCAGGTAGTTCCTATATAAGGGCATGGAACAGTTAAAAGAGTTTGCATCGTTACAAACATCTCCTTGAAAAGGTATTAACGATAGCGTGAATAAATGAGAGTGGAACCAGAAAAGTTTGAGACAGCAAACCATAGATATTACAGAATGAACGAATATTGCTGGAGAAAAGTAACGCAAGAAAAAAAAGCCTTAGGAAGCTCTACTGATAAGATAATTAAAAAAGGTCCTGGGAAAACCTAAAATGAAAGATCTGTGCCCCCGTGCACTCGTTAAAACAAAGGGCTTAAAGGAACTCCACTGGTAAGACCAACACGAATACGAGATAACACTAGCAAGCCGTACATTTCAAGTAGGGCGACCCCCTTCAGAACTTGCACAATACATTCAATCATTTTTGCGCATGCTCTTTGCATCAAAGACGAGGCGCGTCTCACTACATTCCTTGTTCATTTCGCTGGCAAGGTTCTAAGCCTCGGTGTAGCCATTCCTTTGTAAAGGGTTGGTATTAATATTAAGGCTGATCATAATCAAAGAATAAAATAATAACTTTAGAGGCTGCGAACTCTTACCTGTAAGTAAAATGATCATTCAAGTTGACTATTCGTTCTACCAGCGCATCAGATGGAGCACTTCCTTCTATGGACTACAAAAAGAAACATCAATCAAGCTATATGGAGAATATTTGTGCATAAGCATCATAACCAGACATACATTTCAAACAAACTATTTTTTTCATTCTTTTGTTTTAAATTGGTATATACAAAACAGCTACAAAAGTCTAATTAAAACCAATTAACAAAAACTAACAACATAACAAGATAATGATTTGAGTACAATATCATGATCAATCGACGAATCCAACGACATTAATATGCTGCTTCTACAGGTCGCAGGTTGTTTGTTCTTTGGGGTTTGACTAATCGATAAACATACTTTTATTTTCTCGATAAAATGTGCCAAGTCACACAATCGATGAACAATAAACAGCGTTTCTAACAAATTAACAGAATAAGAGACCGTTTATGGTTTGGAGTTTAAAATAAGAGATCTAGGATACCTCTTAGGAAACCATTAAATGCATAAGATCAAATACATTAGAAGCTGCGCGTCAAATAGCGTGGCATTCACTCAGAACATAACTAATTGAAGTACGAATGTTTGAATATATTAGAAGTGAGATTGATACTCATCTGGCTGCTCACCTGTAGAAATAGGTTTATGAACCAGTTAAGAGAGTACTGGTACATCGGGTCAATGTTTGCCAGATCCGAAATGGTGAAGAAAAGAATAGACGAATGCTTTGCAACCTGAACAGAAAAGTTACAGATAAAAACTGACATAGATGATACAGTGATATTCACAACAAACACATTTTAAAAACAGCAAGCAGTGAAACCTTTTAATATAGTGAGAGGATCTTAATTAACTGGGAGCATAAATGCCCAACGTATCGATAAGTCTAAAATTCCAGAGGTACAGATACAAATTGTGGCATAATAAGGTAAACGTTTCCATAATGCAATAGACATACGAGTTCCAACATAAAAGATCATTTATTAACAACGATCATCGTTGACTCCCATGCACCTTGGGGAGCATTGAAGTTAGAAATCTCTAGTTTGAAAACTGGAAATGACGTAACGCTACAAAAAGAATGCTGAGTCATCACGAAGTATTTGATTGACAAAGTTTGCGGTTCTGCATAAGGCCTTTTGATTTACATTACACTAACTTCAACTCAAAAATACCATAATTTACGATACGTGGATTTTGAGTGATCTTGTTTATTTATATTCATACTCACAGGCTTGTACCCATTTCTAGTTGAATCAATCTCAGTTTCAGTAACTGTGGCAATTTCTTGTTTCAAAGTTATTTCTTCCGATAGCATTTTGCTTGAAGAAAGAACCTACACACAAATGAACCGAGAAAGTAATCTAACTGACAATTTCTAGCACAAATATAAAGCAATTATCATAGACACGAAATAAAACCGAAATAAAAAATGGCGGTCAATTTTTTTGAGGTTGACGTGAAAAAGTTTTGTAGTACAGGTCTGTAGCTCTAGAGAATGTTAGAGAAATTTGGCCTAGAGTGAAGAAAAAAACTCGGATCCCCATTACTGCCAACTTTTAACATCAAATGATGAATTATTCTTGTAAATAGGTTCCATGAACAGTTCCTGCATCATTTCTTATAATTCATTAAAGCAAAAATATTTCTGCACCTCAATAGCAGTTTCATCTTCTAAAATGTTCCCTTTTGATGATGAGAGCACTTCCAGAATTTTGTCTTCGATTTCTTTTAGCTAAAAACGAATTATTTTGAAATAATGCACATCATAAGTGTTAAATGAGTAAATAAACATAATAATTTGAAACAAGCTGAGATTTCTTTGATTTGAAAATAAGTGACACGACAAGACACATTTTATCCAGCCTGCAAATGATTATCAGCCCCATCAATTAGTTTCATCTACCTCCTGGCCTCAGGTTAAACAAATATTCAACAAAAAATAGTCAATATCTTCTACAATTATTAAAGATAACTACAATTGAAAATATGAGAGGCTAACCTCTTTCTTGTTTTTGGCACTTTCAATGATCAATTTGTTCTTTTTCTCTTCCAATTCAGGCTTCTCCTTCGCAGCAACAATTCCCAACAGTTGGTCTTCAAGTCCCATTGGAGTTATCATGAAGTTTATCAGTGTTACCTAGAATTTCAATTAGAAATCTCATATTTAATAAAAATTTGAAAATTAATAGTTGTAGAAACTATCTAAGTGAAACAGAGCATTTTCTGTAAACTTGAATGCTTAAAACAATTTTTCAGAATAGACATCGACCAAATTACACTTTTTATCTTTCCTAAGAATATGTTTAAGAGAATATTCAGGTTCATAATCATCAAATTTCTAGGAATATTATAAGAGTATTGCCCAGCCTCAAGAATAAAACAGAGAATCGCACGAATGGTAACATTTTCCGAAAAGGTGAGTTCTGTTTGAAACGTTCCCCTACTATTTCAGATTTGTAAAAAGTAAAAATATATTTTAAGAATATAACCAGGCTCAAAACCAACATTTGTTAAAATTATTGAGGCTGGCCAAAATCTAGAGTATTCTCCAATTAAAAATATTCTTGGGTATAGCCACATAAAGTAAATTATTTGCCCTTGGTTTTGGAATAAAGAATCCATACTCAATCAACAGTAAAGAATGAACAAATGTTTCTCACTGGTCATATTCTGCCAATTGACAATAGCTAGTTTAAATAAAACACCATTTAACACAAACCTTTACAGAAACTTCAGGGAGATAATGTGGATTGCGGTACTTTGTTGTGATGTACAAACGAAAGTCCTGCAAAAAACCCAAAATATAAACACAATTTTTGTCTCAATGTCAAACATCTTGTGAATTATCACATGCTTGAAATGTACTTCACAGCATATCAAATGAAAAAAGCTTATTTGATTATTTCAAGAAGCAGTTAGTGTCTTCGAGGAAAATAAAGTGTCAAATATAAGACTAAAAGACAAACACTTAGGATATACTGAGCGGCCAGGGTTTTAAAAAAGTTTTTTGTAAAATTTATATATGCATTTCTGAGTTTCCAGGTAAGTCAGGTAAATAGTGGTTTTGTAAAAAAAATAGGGTGCAGATCTGTAAGAAAAAGACACTTTAAGCAGGTATTCCAAAATCTGTCCTTTAATGGGAAAGGCAGAGCGGGCAGGAGACACGTCTCAGATAATTTTGAAAAATTTTCAAGACATTCCCTTGAAAGGGCCAGGACTCTCATCTACGAATTGAAAATATGCAGCTAAATGTGACAGCTTAAAAAAACCAGAAGTGTTTAAGACCAGATAATCTTCGAGATGGTGAAATTCATGTCATAACTTGTCTAAGTAAGTGGCAGCTAGAAATTGAAGACACAAGAATTTCTTGTTATGATATCTTGTTAAGCATACACGGGTGACCTGAAAGAATTTTCTGATTGTATAGGGTAGTATTGCAAGTTTTGATGTTACAATATAAAAGGAATGACATAATGGCATAATAGGGAGTTGAAGCGTTAATCTGCTAATCAAGCTCCAACTTAGCAAAGAATTAAAGGATATCATCAATTCACGGCCAAGCTGAATCGTGAAATCTCGTGATTCTGGTTGCACACTTAACCAAATGCAGAAGCATCCACCAATATTGCTCATTGTTCACTCGAAGCATCAGCTTATTGTTCAGATTCAGAAATAGAAATATCCACGTTCATAAACACTTATTTTTTTATAAGAAACTGGCTTTAAGAAACGAGTACTGGACAGTCAGAAACAATTAAGAAACTTCAGTACTCGAAGCAAAAAATTAAGAAATTATTAAATCGTGATAAAACTGAGAAAAACGAAATTTCGTAAAATCCAAGAACATGATTGCCCTGTTGGCCTAGAACTTAAGACACAAGGGATAAAAATATACTTCCCACATCTAAATACAGCATCGGAAGGGAAGCGAATCTCTTGACGTGATGAAAAAGGTCACGAACATTTCATAACATCATTCATGATATCATAATTAAGAAACTCTTAAAAAACAATGAGTATTGAAATTTCCAGAGCATTAAGAAACTGGAGTACTCAACATCGACCTTTGTTTCTTATAAAAAGTTGAGTGTAGGTCGATGTATCTCTACCGAAAAAGGCATGGGTGTAGCAGATGCAAAACTTTAAAGGGGTTTATTATGCATCTTGTCCGAAAGCCCGAATACCATTGCTTCATTGAGAGAAAACAGCCCGAATGGAGCTTGAAATGCCATAAATGCAACTTTGAGCCCTCAGAATAATTGACGCAATATAAATGTATTTCATTATTCTATTAATTATTATAAATTTTGCCTGATTAAGTGGAGGGCTACAGCTCTCTCACCAGCCCCTTCTGCACCTATGCACAAAGGAGACAGTTTACCCAAGTTTAGCAAGGCACAAATGCTAGGGAAAGAAAGAAATAGATCTGAAACTTCAGCCGACGAAAATTGACACCAGGCATTCAATAGCTCGTTGATTGAAGACTTAAACGCATTTTAACAGAATTGAATTAAATTATTTTTCAAACTAAGCAGCTTTCGATTAAAATTACCTGAATCCCATCAGATTGCTCTACTGGATATTTCTTTGAAATAATCCAAACCGGATAATGAAATGGTTTTAAAAATCTTTTCATACAAGGTTTTACCGCTCTTTCCACATGGGATAATGTTACAAATCTTGAATAACACCTGATGGAAAAAGCAATCAAGGATGGATTTCCACAAAAATCTAGTAAGCTTACCCTTGAATACTGAATAACACTTTCTCCAATTCTAATGTACTCAACACCTCCTTGTTTGAAAATATGTTTCAGCAAAACTGGTTCAAGGACAGCATCAAGTTCCTCGCCAACATTTTCAAGGAGTAAAGGAGTTCCAAACTGAAATAAAATTAAGAATGTAATTAAAATAGATTTTTATGTACCGAGTATCACAATTTCTCGTTTTTTTAATGCTATCATATTTCTTTTAAATTTCAAATAACCAAATATCTTGAATAGAAAAAAATGAATCCAATGTGACCAAGTAGAGAAGGATGCAGTAATTTTTCCATATCATTCCCAGGATAAATTAAAAACAAAAAAGAACAAAAACTTAAACGGAAATCTTAATGAGACAAAATCACAATTTTGTTGCCAAGGGACATATTTCATGTTCTTTATAGCGTTGGGTTGTTTACGTATGCCAGCTAAAACACTCGTTGTATTCCTGTCTCTAAACAGAATATTAATATATATTAAACCAGGTTATGTACTCGAAATATCCTTTTACTTACAAAACACATTAACATAAAAAACCTATATTGGTATGAAAGATAAAATAACTTCATAATAACAAAAGAGATCATCATGAAAATTTCTTCACATATATTTCTCTAGTTTAGTTTATCTGATTTATAGAACAATTCTTTACATTCTAGTACGGCTAAAACTATTCAAAACTGTACTCGAGAGCACTGCAAAGGAAAAGGTAAAGAAAACAATAGAGAAACCACTGTTGAAAAAAACAACTTATATAATCAAATAGCTCTATGTCGTGACCAAATAAAAAATTGCGTACCAGAACACAATATGCGCAAGATACGGGGCCCGAAAGCCAATAATTAACCTTCAGCAATTCATTATGAGACTGATACAAAAAGCATCCGTGATCAACATTTAATTCCTCAGTCATTACACAGTAAGACCTGTTTTAGCCCTTTACAATCTTGTCAATAACCACTGATGGTGATAAAATGCTGAAATGAAATCCGTCTCATGTGAGAATTGAGACATTGGAAGGCTGCAAGATTATTAAGTATCAACTTTTGGTCACATGGCATTATAAAGGTTACAATACATAACCATGAAATCATAGTCTTCAGTTAATCCCATGAAGAGATTTAAAGCTGCAGCTTAATCAGTGTCATATGTATTTAACACACGCCAACAGCTTGAGTTGAAATGATTAATTTAATCAATAGGATGTCTTTGAAATGCTTGCTACCATAGACAACCGTAGTAACAAAAATGAAAATATATGAAAACAAATCAATCATCTGTAGCTGTCATATTAAAAGTGTTTATAAAAGTTTCTATGGTCTTTCTACTGTAACAGATAGCATAGTAATTAAGGCCCTACAATGTTGGTACAGGTAACGAAATTCATCAACCCCAGCTTTCCAATCACGTTTTCCATAATAATTTATGAGGCTTCACTTATGAATGAACCAGAGTATGCTTGAAACCTTCAACAAGTTTGGCAAATCAAGATCGTCATAAATTCACAAGGCTCTTGACAGATGTTATCCGGGGATTTAGGATATGGTAACAATAACAGTCTTGCAATAAGGTAACAAGGGTTTTACAATAAAGTTACAAGGGTCTTACAAAAGGGTAACAAGATTTTTACAATATAGTTATGAAGATCGTTCAAACATCAATCAACGTTTCAAAATTAAAACTAATCACCTGAATGCAATTTTCCAAGGTTCGTATGTAATGTTTGTCTGATAACTTTATAACCTGGAAAGTAAAATATCAAATATTTTCTTAAATTGCAATTCACTGTTGTCTTCACTCCTTTCCGGTTTTCTGTTATTCTTTTAAGGCCTTAGTAATTACACGAAAAATTCCGCTTTTACTCAAAACAGAATTAATGCAACAATCATAGGTTGATAAACAGAATAAATATCATGAAGATACTGGAATCCTTTAGTATCAAAGACCTGAGATCGTACAGGCTACTCAAATTGGAAAAACCGGTACAAAAGTAATGCATCATAAGCTTATTTGGCGGTGGGGGTGAGGGCTGAAAAGAGAATTCTAGACCATTGCTCTCATTTAAAGTCTTAGTTTTCAGGAAGATGCCAATATTTTTAACTGGATGCTATTTTGCTTAAAACTCACTTGCAAATTCGATGATTTTTCCATGTTTTTTATCCATTTATTTGCCTGTCCTTGCGGATCAATCATGAGGGGCCATCGCTGTGAATTATTGACAATTAATGCGTTTTCCTCTGAAAATCTAAAAACAAGGATACTTTTTAAAATGACTAGACTTGAATAACATTTACGATCAACATTGATTTAGTGGGAAGCGAGCAAAAGAGGTAGTATGCAGAAAAAAGAAATGAAAAAGGTAGAAATCTTTATGTCGATGTAGCTAGGTATTATACGTTAAGTAACTAATGGCCCTCTTATTGGTTTTGTGACCTGTTCTAGATAAAGAGTCTTGCCGAAAATTGCATTTTGCTTCCTCTGGGCACTTAGCCATCATTTTATTAATCTGTCCCAAAACTACATTAGAAAAAGGTCCGAAAAAGAAAAGGAAATGAATGTAGATCGGCGTTCTCTTTAAAAGGCAAAGCACAAGAACAAACATGTCTAGAACTAATACAACAAGATTCACCCTAGCTCTTTTTTGAAACACACTGACTTCGATTGTGGCTTTGTTCCAAACCTTTGAATAGGACTGCTGTCTGTAATGGTGAGGGTGCTACCATTTCAAGGAAACCAAAAGCTAAGTTTCGGTCAAATGTTAATATATCTTAATAGAAATCTAAAAAAAATCTTTCTATACATAATCCCAATGAAAGAAAAACCTACCCATCAACTGGCAAACCAGATATATGCCACTGTCGTGTCGTCACCGGGTCGCCGAGGGTCGTTGACATCGAGTAGCGTTCCGAGATTGGAATGTTTTTTTGTTGACATAATTCCTGCCACTTTCGTACGCATTCCTATAAAGTTTGGTAGAATATAATGACATATTTGAGTATAATGTTCTAATACGTCATAGATAAGGTGACAAATGGCTGGTTAGTGTCAGAATCATTGGTGCAATACAAATCTGAGTGAATTTAAAAGGTGCTTTCAGTTTTAACTTACCTGTCTGAATTCAGTTGTAAATGCACCGAGATATGCCACAACGCCAGCCGAAAGCAAAACATCACCAACAATGTTGTTATGGGTCTCGCTCAACTCCCGAGAAACCTAGAAAAAATAAAAGTTTTGATAACATAAATTTGTGTTTAGGTCAAATATAAACTGAAGGAACACTTTGGAATACATCTAATATGTACATAATCAGTTAATCACACAGAAAGAAGATGGGCTCTGAACAACCGACGCTTCAAAATTGCTACACCTTAACAAAACTTACCATAACCCAACGCGTCCTCTCGCCACCAAGACCTCTTAGAAGTTTTTCAGCACGAACCAATTTTTGTGAGCAGAGATCAATATTTCTCTCCAATTCCTACAAAAACAACAATATCGCTAAGAATATTCTTCGAAATTAATTTTACAACTATTAAATGTTAGCAATTGAAAATTGAAAAAAACAACTTTTATTATAAGTAAAAATGGACAATAATCATAAAATGGTGCCTGATTTGCCAGTAATGTAACAGACGTCAAAAGTATGGGCAGAAAAATCAACAAACCTCTTTTTTGGTTGTCTTTGAAGTAAAATCGTCATTTAAAGATTGGAATTTAGCAAGGATCTCATTCAACTCTGCTCTTTTCTTATTCAAATGTTGAACAATAACTGATAGCTCTCCTTCGGCTTGCTCTAGTCTTTTCCGCTTTGGAGCAACAAGCTAAATGAAAATAACAAAGGAAAAAAGTTGAAACATATAGGATATTGTCACATCAAACATAATCACCTCTTTTGGAACTGTTAAAATTAAAAATATTTTCGTGGTTTTTTTTTTGCTTCACTTAGAATGATATGAATAACGGTAACGTCATAAAATTTGGGTGAAGGCGTAATGTCGTAACATGACTGAGAGTAAAGAATTATAATGCTTATCTTAAACAAGGCAAGCCTACCTTAGCTACTCGATCATAAACCTCTATTGCCCTGACCCAGCTGCAAAGACCTTCACAAGCCGATGATACATTCTTTATAAGAGATGGGTGGAAATCTTTGTTACTGGTGTATTTTTCTCTAATTTTCTGTATGACTTTGGAAGGAACATTGTCTTTGTCGAATTCTTTCAGCGATTCCAAGAATTTCATGTCTCCAAGAAGCTGCAAAGATTGAAAATTTAAATTCGTGTTATGAATGGCTAAAATTTCGCTACTCTGAAAGTTACCTTGTCAATTCATTGAAGATAAAGAAGAAGCACAGTTGAAAGGTCATCGATTGAAATAATTCTGGGTTCTGTTCTAAAAAACTTTAAAAAACGCTCTAAAATAACAAGGAAAAGCAAATTGGTACTTTCTGCCGGTCACAAATCAAAGCACCTAACGCTTCAAGTTGGGCTTCCAAATTAACAACATTGTTTTCTTTCTCGTACCACCTGGATCTCGTTGATCCACTCTATGGAAAACCATGGCGGATCACACTGGAGGTATCACAGATCACCTTAATAAATGACGTGAAAGCTTACATGCTAATACTGATCGAAAGAAATGGTAACATTTTCGAACCTTTTTTGATGCAGCCCAGTAGTCTTCGATCTGCTTTCCACTAGCATCAGTCTTGGTAACTGGCTTTACTCCCTAAAAGGCGAAATCATAATCAGTACTTGTAGGTCAGTTTCCATTAGTTGGAGGACGTTCCTTCTTTCTGGTAGCGTAGACAATGTATGAACAAACAATAAACAGTCCAGAAATTCAGCTATGAAAAGTTAAGAGATTTGATGCACCTGAAGTACATTCAAGAGTATGTTATCAGAATAACACACGGATCCCTGAGAATAAAAACCAATTTGGGGGCGGCAAGTTTTGTAAGCAAGTGACAAATCTATTGTGGATAATAAGAGCAATTTTTAAACAATATAAACCCAAGCTTTTGAGCCCATTTTTAAAAACACAATAAATGCTAATTGTATGGACATAGAGCATGCCTTTAGAATGCAAACGGCTTCCATGACCATCTTGACACCCTGTGGAGGGTTGACCATTGATCGGACCAGGGTGATATCAGACGACTTCAATGTGTCCAAAGCATTGACTGACGACTCAAGAGCAGGTAGTGCAACGGCCAGTTTTTCTTGACACTCGTCCTACATATAAAGAAATACACTATAATGATGAAATCTATAAAGCTTACATATGAGCCAACATTCTCAGATGGCATAAATGGGCCTACTTATGAGTGTTCTTATTCTGATAATGTATCTGATCTTCTACCAATAACAACGACATACAAATTATCCTGTAAGCAAAAGCCTACATATGAGCCTATATCCTCAGATGGCATCAATAAGCCTACATATGAAGACTCTTATTTTGATACATATAATCCTGAAGTATAGATATCAAATGCATTCCATACAATCGATAGGGGATGTTTGCTTTAGATTTATTGCCTGATGCAAATCTCAGTCGTATTTTACGGCTATCGAAAGTATCAAAACACAGGACTAATACATGCAGAACTTGTTTGAAAACTTGGATATAGCTGCAAACTATGTTAATACAACAAAGTAAAAATATCGCTATTTGAACAAATTTTATTCTATCTTTTAGACAGAGGGTGGAAAACAATCGGAAACTGTACAGTACTCGTAATAATAAAGAGCATTTGTCAAATGCATTTTAATAGTCTTAGGATTTCTCGCTTATATTTTTGAATACTTGTTATTTAGATTCAAGTATTGTTAGCAAAACCATAAGGTGATAACATATTTGCTAATTAGACTCGAAGTGAAATTTGTAAATCAGACTTCAAAATTGTGTATTTTTATCAAATTATATGAATGACGAAAACCATTATTGTAAGTACTGTTAACAGCCTTTGCCCTTTTTTAAACGACGGTATCATGAAATCGCTACTGGATAGTGGGAATCATGCAAGCTGGTATCAGGAAATGAGGTAGGGGAATCGAGCATCTCAGGTAAATACATTGCCCAATGCAGAGCCTTTTCATAGTCGTGTTTCTCCGAGGGTATCAATCATTTTCTTGTTTTTGAAAATCAGTACAGAATCAATTCAACGTACACGTATTGCTTGTGCCTTCGTCGCTTGGTCGTTAACTGTCGCTTCTTCATCCTCAACAACCTGAAAGAACGAAATTGATATCATTCGTTGCCAAATTCTGTAATAAGTCTCACATGATACAGACTTCTATGTATCTGGTAAATCAGCTGTAAACATCGCAATCTATTATGAACATATATAAGGGAGTGAAGTGTATCTGCTTAAAAAATGGCCCAATAAGTTTTATAAGTCCATCTCTTGGACGATTTTGTTATAGTTTTTATAGTGCCAATCTATAGATATACATACATACATACATACATAAAAAAGAAATCACTTCTAACTTGCACTCCTCTAAATACATTGCAGATCCATAAGCAAAATGTGGAACTTATATGAGGATATAAGCAAACAATCATTAACATTACCTTTTTAATTTTCTCCACTTCTGCTGTTTCTTTTTCGATTTCTTTCAAAAGTTTTTCAGTTTCAATTTTAGTTTCCTTCAGTTCAGGCTGCAGCTCTTTCAACTCCTCTTGCATGATTTCAACCTGAAATGGCGACAAAAAAGATTCAACAAAGACCAGAACGAAGGATATATTTTCCGCAAAATTGGCACAGCCCATCATAAAAGGACCCCAATAGAAGTTTTGATGTCCTGAGACATATTGTTAACATATAGGATATTAAAAATCACATCATGGGAATTTTCCGCAAACAACCTTCAAAACAATAAAGATTGTTTCTAATAAATTTCCAAAATGATGACATCGTACTAAAATTTGCTTTTTTAATGTTTGAACTTGGACAAATCAACCTAAAACACCATCGTGGAATACTCCTTAAAGTGCAAAACCAGTTGACTGTGTCACGAATTGACCTTGATATAGCCACAAGAGAACAGACTCTCTCTATCAAATTACTGTTCTAATTTCTAAACTTTATGAACTAATTCAAAACAAAAGTAATCCATTAACCAACTCCCAATTTCTCATTGCACGTGTCTCAGCCAGTTTCAAACATATTTGTCAACTGTGCACTTCATCTAGAAGAAGTTTTCTTTCGGGTTATGTGGTCAAATGTTATAAAACTTCTTTTACCTAATCCAAAACAAATAGGTCTACAGATCTGAAAAATGACTTTGAAAAAAGCAAAAATTTCAAAGTAAACCTAAGCTTTTCGCCTAACACTCTTCAGTACACTGAACCAGCTACAATGAAAACCAGATGGTGAATTCCATACATATTGATCATCCATTACATGAAAAGCAATATTCTTCTAAGATAAAATACAATTGAAATTGTCCTCACCATCTTAACTTAAAATTTCCTTGTTTACTAGAATGAAAGAAAAAGCGATTCCAAGGCAAGAACAAACCTGTCCCGAAGCGAACTCCAGCTTCTCTAATCCGACTGTATACCGATTTTTCAGCGTTAATAACTGCATCCTTTTCTTTCCAAGTAATAACTTGAATGTTTTGATCAACTCAAGGTATGATGTCGGTGTGACGTAGTTCTGGCGTCTCAGAGTTGCGTAATACCTGGGAAAATGCAAAAGACGTACCAGCTTTGCAAGGATTTAACTAACTTCAATAATATTTAACTTTGAAGCAAGGCAACTCGAGCTAAGGTAAGAATGATTATCAAAACATTTCGTAAGTAACACATAAGAAACCTAAGAAGTAACAGATGTTCGTAATAATTTTATGCCTAATACCTAGAAATGAAATGTAAATATTTGACAGGTGAAGCCAATAGCTGTTTACCAGTTCTGTAGTAAAAAATTCGAAGCAAAAATACAAAGTCAAAATAGCGAATTATGGCAAAGGGAAAAAGCGCAAAAAATTAACAGAGTGGCAGCAGATTCAATTTTCTAAATGCATAGTCTTTAGAAATACATTTCTTGACTCACTTTTCAGAAAGCTCTCTCACGTCAAGGTGAAACCGTTTGCATATTGTGACAGTTTCTGCTCTGACTTCGTTTGACAATTCGACATCTTCAAGGAATTTATTTGCCACTAGCTCGAGAGCATCATCTGGCCAAGCCTGTTTGTTTGAGATGTGAATTCAAGTAAAAATATATCCAAAGAAAATTGAAGAGGTAAGATATTTTAAGTTAAGGGGAATGGAAAATTCAATAAATGACTGAATTGCCTAATTTTTATAGATTCCTGTTTGATAGCATTCCCCGTTATCTGTTTTTAAAAATTCGTCAAATAGGCCCTTCTAAAAGTGGTAACTGTTCTAAAAAAGCAGTTGCATTTATCAACGATATAGATAACGGGCTTTTGAGTGCAAGTTCTCTTTTGATTTTCTCTGTACAAGAACTTTCAATTGAAAAAAACTACTATTTTGTAGAATGCAGGTTCAAGTGAGTGTCTAAAGAAGTTTCTACTTAGGAAATAGCAAACGGGGTTGGAGAACAGGAGAATCCTTCTGGCACAGGAAATATCGCTGCCTTTTCATAAAAGCATGAATAACTGAATGGTGATAGTGCATAGCTTAGGCATTGCGGCTAGATAGAGGGGTCCCCATAAACATGCACGCTCGGAGGGGTCAAGGGAGGGTGTCCATTGATGTCTATCGCGTACAGGGAGATTTTCGAAGGAAAATGTTCGAGCGCTTAAAGAAATTTGCTATTGAAAGAAAAGCTTGGGTTAAGGTTGAAAAACAAGGGCTGGAAATGCACATTCTGATATCCATATTTCTGAAGAATATATTTAATCATCAAGCGAAAAGGTCCAACATCCTTTTTTGTGTGAAACATATTGAAACAGTACAGGAGAAGGGAATAGCAAGTCACTCCTTGGCATACAAGTCTGTACAGGAGAAAAAAGGTTCATAAAAACAGCAAGAAAGAAGAAGGCATTTTGAGTAAGCATGGATGCCCGTCTCAGTGCACGTATGAAAGCTTCGTACCTGAAACCAGTCTATTGTACAACAATTAATAAGCGATGGAAACATTCTCAATCTGTTACGGAAAGTATCGCCAATTGGGCTCATTGTTAGCACAACATGGAGATTCTGGCGAACGCGTTCGATGAAAAAATTGTACATCGCTAAAGGAGACGAGTCGACCTTAAGGTTCATCTCATGGACAATGTTCTGCATCTGAAAAATAATAAAATTTGTCTTGAGAATCATGACAAAAAACACTGTGAAAGATTTATTCAGTTCTTAAACCAACGTAAGAATGGCCTTATTTTTTGCATTTTTTTTCATATTAGCACCAAATTTGAAATTTTATCAACAATGTAGGTATTTGATGGAAAATAACAAGAATAAATATGTTTGAACAAATTTCACAGAATAACTGTACTCTTCGAGTTTAAGGTTTCATAAGTTCAATACCAACGAGACAAGCAATTTCAAAAAAACGATAGATAAAAAGTGGCATTATACACAAACTAAAGTTACATTTTTCTTTGACTTCATTCACAATCATCTGAAATACATTGTCAGAGTTGTTTATGCCTTTTATTAAACTTCAACTCACTCTTTCAACTATTTCCGCCTTCTCGTCATGCTGAAAAAGATTCGGAATGTCCCCCGTGTTCAGAATAACATTCACATCTTCCAAGAATGCCAAATTCTGTAACAAACATTTTATTATGAAGTTTAAACATCAAGCATAATAATAGATGTAAACAATCACCTATGGTATAAATACGATCAAGGTACATAAATTTATATAATTTAGACATTTTCATTAAAGTAAGAGTTCCAATGAAAAAAGGAAATATTTTTAAGAGGCAATATACTTTTGCAAAGTAAAAAAGAAGAAAAAAGTCCTCGAGAAAGATTAAAAAGACACTTGTAAAGCCGAGGTTAAGAAACAGATAGGATAATGTTTTAGTAAATGGCAAAATTAAGGTGAGGGGAAGATTATGATCAATAATAATGATGGATAAACTGGGTAATTAAGGATGTAAAAGGAATACTGTATTTCAATAGAGTAACAAAAATTGTTCTTTCCAAAACTTTTTTAGAAATTATAAACATAATAAATGGAAGTCAAACAAAAAAATTGAGATTTATAAACATGGAACAGGACAGCCTGTAGTCGTAATTTTTCCACAAAAATCAAACCCTGAGAACAAACTTGGAGATCGGATGAGGGTTGGATGCGTGCTAACAGCTTCGCCATTCTTTATGCAAAACATCTCAATTAACAATCAGCAAACCGGTCATTTACCTTAATTTGGTGATCCCCAAGCAAGAAGACTGTCGGCATTCCTGAGATCGCAGCTTGCCTGAATAACTTCTGAATGTCTTCCCTCCACTCATTGAAACCGTAGTTCTTAGACACTTCAATCTGGTATAAGTCATAGTCTCCCATAAAGGCAGCTAATCTGCAAGCACTGGACCGACCTGACCCACCTATGCCTAAAAAAGAAAAGAAAGTGGAGGTAAGCTCCTTATAAAATGTCTGTACAATAAGTAGGAACACATTTTGGAAAGCTAGTGGATATGTTTGCCTCAAACGGCATACTGCTCAAACATGCTCACGGCGTATTTAAAACTTCAAAAAACTTCTACTACTTTGAATCGCTTATTGACCAAAATACTGTCTTTAAGAATTATTTCTGAAGGGGGACAGCAAAAACTCTTTTATAGAAAGGGGTTTCGAAACTTTGTAGAGAGGTCTGCTATTTTATAAAATATTATGTATTGTGATTTAGTATGGCCTAGAAATTCATCTTTGAATCCATTAATCAAACTTCATACAAAAACTCACCAACTAGGAGCGCATGACCGTTCGGTTGCTTCAAAACGCGGCTGATTCTTGAGATATGCTCGATGGCAAACCTGAACATTACCAAATCCATGGGGGCCTTGCTTACCAAATTGTAGTCGTGTAAATAATTAAGCATCACCTAAAAAATCAAATATAATTTCCAGACGAAAGGTTTACACAAACGAAGAAATTTCTAGACAGTGTATTTATTATATTTGCTAAAATTCTACATTCAAAGTCAAACATACTTTTCAGAAGAGAGCGTACGACCTGTTATATAAACCGATCATTAAAACCGATCTTAAAATAAAACTAAAACTAAATCTGTTTAATATCAGAATAAAATTAAACAATTAACAACCCCTGTTTCATTAGGCAAAACCTTTTATTCCCCATTTCAAAAAATTCAACTTTATCTCAACGAAAGGTTAATTTAAATAGCAAGAAGTAACAATAAACCAAATTTTTTAAACATAAAACATGCATTAAACATCAAAATTTCGCAAACATAGCAAACATAGTTTGAATGTAAATATATTACCGTCTGCAAAGCTTCAATATCAGTTATTTCATCGTAGAGTTTGCCAGATTTTTTTCCTTTCAAATAATCTCCAAAGAAAAGACTACAAAGCGAACAAATATTAAGACCCTCTTTTGATGATAAAGTAATTCAGCAATTTTATAAAAAAATGCTTTCCTTGGGCGTTTTTTTCTTCTATTAGCATCAAAGATGTGAACGAAAAAACTATCATATAATGATTAATTAACGGATCCATGACTAGAATAAAATGGAGTTAAGCACTTAATGGAGTCTAGAATAAAAGCTTTCATAATGATAAAATCATTTTCTCAAATGAGATATCTTGCAAGATATTTGAATTTTGCGATGTTAACAATGCTATGCGGTTAATTAATTGATAACTTCGCAGTCTCTTAAAAGGACATTTGTCCAAAAGTTTTCTTTGCTATCAAATATGTTACAGCGTGATGAAAAAGCCATTCTTGCTGTTACGCTTTTAACTGACTTATCTTAGACAGAGCTTGTATAACAAAAAAACATGCAAATGAAAACGAGGTTCATATAAACCGCACCTTCTGACGTCATCATCCAGAACGTTTCCACCAGTTTTTGTTAGATGTGAAAGTGAAACGTGGATTTTCTCTTTAAACTCTGTAGCTAATACATTCTGCAACAACAAAATTAATTTTGTAGGACATCTTGGTACAGATATAGTGCTATATCTTCAGCCAAAGTTAGAAATTTACACAAGGGGAGGGAGAAGTTGAGAGGCCAGCATAGCCCACAAATCTCTACAAACATATTTTTGATAATGTTTTATAGCTAGATAATCCTGAATCTTGCATCTAAAGATCTACGTGCACAATTACTCGATTTGCTTAATTTTAGCAACGCTGTTGGTGGATGTTTTGGGGGATTCCCAAGAAGGGAATCTAGCAAAATGTCAGCTAAGATTTCTCCGCTACTGTTGTGAAGTCGTGGATATCTAATTTCTGAAATTTTTCGTTTGGACAAAACAGTCTAAAAAGCACCAAAAAATATCGTTGCGGATAAACGCTATTCAGTTTTATGAATGGAGAGCTTTGACACTGACAAATTGTCTAGCATATGGCAGACACTGAATCCGCTTACGGCTCAGACATCATTTTCGACAGCACCAAACAAACTGATCATCATACCTTGACAATTTCAAAGAATTTTTGTCGGTCTTGTTGGTCTGTTAGCCGGTCATAAAAAACTCTGTAGACTTCGTGGATCCATAACCGCGTTATCTTATCCGGTGAAGCACCTACCCTTGGGTCAAGCAAGAGGATTCCCTGAAAAGAACAAAATTAAAACTAAAACCGGAGGCCATCTTTCATCAATGTTTCTTCATGGTTTTTAAATTCAGATGGCATCACGACCATAGACAAAAGTCTAAGGTAACATTTATTCCATTCGTGCTTAAGTTAGCGCATCAAGCCTATCTAAGAAAGGAGGATAAACAAACCCTTCTATATACAAGATGAGGTGACTGAATCAGCTTTTACAACTTTTACATGCCACTATGTTCTACCTTTTGCGTGACACTTCTGTTGAGCAGATATCTTGTTCAAGCATTTAAGCAATAACATTAAATATCACAATATAGACTTATGACTTTATTAAGAGACATAAGACGGAAAAAATGTCCTTTAGCGAATAGAATATAAGTGGGTAAACACCTGAATAACTCTCGAAAAATCTCTCAAGTTGAAAACGTAATGAGATTTTGTCGGAGTAGGCAGAAAACTTGAGATTGCTTCAGTATAAACGGCAGTGGTTGCATGTAAAATGATCTGCAGAGAGAAAGAAAGCCTTTCATTTTAAAAGAATTTGATACTTACCATTGCAAGGTATTTTTACAAACATTCTAAATTCTGAATTTAAATGGCATGAGGTTATTAGCTTTATTTGAAATCCTTACAAAAATCCTTACAAAAACTTGATTAAAATATTCAAACTATAATTTAATGTTGATTAAAGTGGAAAATTACTGACCACATAAATCGTTGAAAAAAAATTAATATAAAAGGAAATTGCAACGTTAACTACTTCTAAAATTTGAATAATTCTATGATGAATATGTAAGATGTAGACGATATATATTTAGAATAACAAAAGCTTTGAAAAGATAGTATCTGGCAAAAAAAGCTTATGCAAATCTCACATTGAAAAAATATTGAAAATTTTAAAACTATACTGGGAAACTTATCAAAGAAGGAATGATTTCTAGATTTCAACTTTTCAACAAAAATTTTAAAAATTTCGTGAAATTCAAGGGAATCAATTTGTGAACCTGTGTTTTTGAAATATTATACAACTTTGAATGATTTAGTTCGCTAAACAGACTGACCCGTGAAAACCGCTTCAATGACGTTTCGAATCCTCTGTTAAAGTGCCAATCGGTGATTGGTGCGAATATCTTTTTCATTGTTTCAGTGTCAAAAGAATCGATTCCTATTATGTTGAAATGTCGGAGAAGTCTTGGTGTCACGTGATTTCGTCCACCTCCAGGAGGCCCCATTGCTGCAAGTATTATTTGATCCACGATGTTCAAAGTTGAAGTATCTTTTCTAAAAATGAAGGATTAAATGAAGAAGGAGAACAATATAAGATATTTTTCTTCCTTGGTCCTTATAATAATATTTCCAACGTTTCCTCATATCAGGACGAAAGAAGTGCCTTTAAACGAGCAAACATGAGTTAAGGAAATGTAAAAACGATTTTCAAACAAATCGATTTTTTTGTATATTTTATTATACATCGATTACAAATAGTTAGCCTACAAAATACAAATGTACAGGTAAATTAATCTAAATCGATGGCAAAGGTAAATTTAAAATACGTTTGCTAAAACAATACGTTGGTTAAAGTAAAGTTCAAAAAATCGTATAATTTTTTACTTGGTTTATACATTTTTTACAATAAAACGACAGGCATTTCAGTTGCACGTAAGAACATCCCATTCTTTTATCAAACGTTTGAACGTGTCTAGGTTGTCTGACGATTTTAGTTCATTTGGCAAAAAGTTCCAGATCTGTGGTCCTAAGAACTTGGGACTGTTGTTGCTGAAAGCAACCTGATTTGGCAGATAATGACTTATATTATAAGGATTTCGCAATGTATAATTAGAAAATCTAACTTGAAAATATCTTTCATGAAGGGTGGATTCAGACTATTCAGAGTCTTAAGAATTTCCAAAGAGAGACCTCTAAGTCGGGAAATTTGCATTGTGCATCGCTGAAACTTTCAGATCGATGATGATTTTAAACTGATAGCAACAAATTGATGTATATTTTGAGCAAATTATGACAATCGGTGACAATTTTAAAAACCAAATACTTGCTAGATATGTTTAATCTTCGTTCACATATTAACATACTGATGAGCGACATCATAAGATTTTGAAATGCAAAAGAAATTGAAGCTCCGGCAACATTTGGCTAGAAGCGTTTTGCACTCTATAAAACATAGAGAGATTCTGAATTCTACAAAACCATTGGAAAAGTTTTTCTAAGGAAAGTTACAGATGTGGAAGGGATATAAAAGTTACAGTTACACTAATGGTAATTTTTGAAAATGTGAGCATCAAACCTACCTGTCGAATAGGAAACCATGATCGATTACTTGACGTAAAACTTCAATCGGAGGTTGAGCTCCGTATCGCTCTTTCCCAGGCATATTCAAGTCATCGACAAATGACACGACCCTTTTCCCAATTGGTGGGCCGAAAACCCCTTTTCTTCGTCTAAAAAATAAAGCATTACTTAGTCAACCGTTGAGAATAAATTTTTTTGTTCATGTCCTATTTGCAACTAAAATTGCAGATTCTATTTTGCAGCTCAATATATTTCCTTAAAAACTTTGCAAGTTGAAACTTTCAGCGCCATTAAAGAGCTCAAGAGTTTTTTTAAAACTCCCAAAAGCTTGTTTTTCTGGTGTAGTTGATTTTCTAATTGATAAATATGATTTTTCCTTGTTACTGAGTTTCCTAGTTTTTTGAAAAATTTCAACCGTACAAAGTAAACCTGTGATTTCTGGTTTTGTATTTGAAATAAAAAATCTTGATTTATCAAAAAGGAATATACAGCAAACCATGTCAAAAGATCTTAGCATCTAACCCAAAAAAATGTTGAGGGTATTTTAAAACAAGTAGTATTACCTGTCTAGCTTTGAGAGGATCATATCTTGTGTCTGGTTGCTCGATGTCTGAGCTGAGAAATTCATGAAATTCGCAATATACCTGAGACAAAAAACCATGCACTGGCATTAATGGTTTAGCCATTACAAAATCGCTATCTTTAAATGCTCACTTGCACCTCTCTTTGCTAGATCAGAAATATATAAATACAAATATTTAATCTGCACATGTCACATAAGGATGATCAAATGAATCCCAGAATTTGACCTGCAATGAAATGAGGACTTGCCGTTGTTGAATCCACGACCAGGTAATAGGATTCAACAAAAATTTTGCAAAATTTACTTCGAGTTTTTAAGTTTATAGGCCTAGGGCAATATTCACAAAAATTAATCTCCCTAGCCTGTAAGACTCATTTAAAGACATTTCTTTCAAAATAAGAAAAACTTTATAATATTGCTGCTTAATAAATCTTTAAATCCATTGCGTTGAATATTTGGAACACGACATTTGCAAATTTTGACTGTTTCGTAAAAGAAACGTCATGAAAATTTCTGTCAAAGCAATTTGCAAAAAGCTCTAACAAGTTCAACGATGGCTTAATGTTACATATTATCTAAATGTATAGCTCTATAAGAATAGAAAACGGTCGATTACCAACAGGATACTGCAAAATGTTGACTAACATCAATCTCACTAAAACCAACTTCAAAATGTTTACTAACGCTAAAAGAGACAGGAATTTCAAAGTTGAGTACCTTTCTCGATCGAGCTTGACAATGAAGTTATTAGTGATGGCTGACTTTCCAGTCCCAGTTGGCCCGACAAACATCAAAGGTGTTTCATGGGACAAAAAGACTTCCAAGAAGTACTTCTGCCGCACGGTCTGTGTAGTGGAGATGATGACTTCGTGTGGCTAAGAGAAAAAATTAGAGAATCTTTTTTAGATTACTCCAGGAGTAAATTTTCTAATTGTGCAAAGAAATTCATCAAGGAATGAGGAGATGTAAGTTAGAGCTGAATTCATTTTTGTGTATATGGATTAAGTTTGAATTGTACAGATGAATAAATTGTACCATTCACAATCAACTTATGCTATTCTTACCCAGTGTTTATAATCTATTGCACTTTGCAATCATATTCCAATGAATGGCGCTGACTGTCCGACAATCAACCACAATATGGCACATAGCACTAAGCAGCATACAAATATTTTCTCCCTAAACATTCATTTTCTTTGCAATTAACGCTAGATTAAAACAAGAAATGTTGTTTCTATCGATAGGTTTCATATGTAATTCAATACCTGGGCATCTTTCGGTATGCGATCTTCGGTTACAATTTTCTCCCATGGATGCCATGTACCAAAAGTAGCTTTATCGAAATAATAATCGTAAATAGTCCCTCTACCTGGGAACTGTACGTTTCTTGGCAGCTTGAGATTATTTGGCCTACAGATTAAACAATAACAAAAATTGACATCTGTGACTTAAATCAGCGATATTTCATCAGAGATATTGCCACAGATCTTTATTGGTTAACTTCGTGCGCAATGTATCTTATGGAGAGCCATTAACTACAAAGGATTAGTGGTAAAGTAATTCGGGGTAGTTGCAAAAATTAGAGCTCAATGCTCCTAGGTCTCATATTGAAAATAAATTTAAATTTCATTTCAACTTCAAAAGATTGCCATTGGTAATTGATTAATTTAAATTTTTATTACCGTGGGTGTTCCTTGCTATTTCCACTACAAAGATTCTTGAAATATTCACTGAATCTAGTAAAATAGAAAACAGCAATTAATTTTGACAAAGATCAGCTAAGCTTTATTTTTGATTCAACAAAGTCTCTAAAATCTCAAAAGTGAAGGGATATGAATTTCATAATATCACTACAACATAACAAACAACACAACCTGCAATATTGATATAAAATATAGGTCTTTACGAACCTAATCAATATTTAAAAGCTACCCAGATACTTGTCCGTCTACTTTGGCACTTATTTGAGCAGTTATTCTTCAAATTTTTTAAGTTGAGATGTCGCTTCAGCTATAGTTTCAGAGGTAGGTTTTTATATTCTGAAAATGCAGGACAGAAATTGCAAACTGTTCCCCATTATATCAGAATTCTGCCTCAAATAATTCAGGTAACAGATGCGCTGTTTTCATAATTCTAAAAAAAACTGCTCTATCTAAAGTGGACAACTCTCCCTTTACGTCATTGAGCAGAATATGACAGACCGGTAGAAAGTTATTTTCATTATTCTAAAGGTAAATGATCTTACTTGACACTTGAGTCGCCATCTAGGGTACCTCCAAATGACCACGAAATGGCAAATAGTAACAGACTCTGTAGCCACTGAATGGTCTCGGATTCAGTTCTTTCAGGTCGTTCTAGTTGCGCTGGTATTTCAAATTCCTCTTCCTGTGAGACCTCTGAATTTTCATTTGGTCTTTATGGGTAAACAAAATTGAATGGCTTGCATAAATACACAAATGTACTTCTCAATTGTAGTTGATGCCCAACAAAAATTATCATGAATTTTTTCACCGCTTATTGTTTGATCTCCGTGTGGAATCAGCACAAAATGATGTATCCTTTAATCTAAAGACCTTAATTTAACTTTGTATTTTGTAAACCTTATCAAAAAAAATAGTGGATTGATAGTAATTATACTCCAGCTCATTTTCTTTATCTATATTGAGATCAATTCTAAATCGAAAGCTCTGAAAAAATGAAAATTTGTCAAGACCCTCAATCGTGTTTCTAGTGCTTTAGCTCCTTTTCCTTATTAAATAGCCTCGACCTAAGCTTCAAGACATCTGTATTCCCCTAGCTCATACCATATAACCAAAAGGAAAACTATGTTAAGGCAAACCTCAGTTCATCAAGAGTGTTTCCGAACAATCTGAGCATAGAATGAACCATCAATGTCGAAGAAATAGTTACAAACTGCTTGCAATTTCTTGATATATAGTCGGCAATTGGTGGTAGAAGCCAGCTCAGCATCATCTATGAAAGACAGCCGATTAGAATATATAAAACTTTGCCATGTGCTTGATACATTTTCAACATGGGTTGAAGGTACAGTGTGGATATGATATAGAAAACGCAGCAGAGTTCCCAACTTTCAAAATGCAACACTGAAAACGTTACCCTGATAGAAAACTCGGCTCTTTTTTTTAAAGTGTTTACTTTAATGACACCTACACAAACAATACGGGAGAAGATTGTAGATTTTAAGTAGCTCTGGTCGAGAAATAAAACTCCAATACAATGTGATACCGTAAATCCCCGATTAAATATATTTCTAAGATATTGCGACATTGACAGACTATTTAAGTTCTAAGAGGATTTCATTTCTCAATTAAAAATAGTACCATGTCATCTGATTTTGCTATAAATTGGGCAAATAAAAAATTCGCCTTTGCAGAAGTGTATTCTTTCATTGTGAAAAATTCTTAAATTTCTTCGTTCTGAGGCTAGTACGTCCAAAGACCACATTTTAAAGCTCAACATCAACTTGGCTGAAAATATTAACAGTGATTATGAGCCAGAAGAATACAGCTTTGAAGGTTGCCTGTTTTGTAGTCTTACGCTAAACAGAGCCTAATAAAAAGATCAACAGAAAATGAGGATAGCCTTCTGCCGAGATATCTTTATTTTTCAAAATTTTCAGAAATCAAATAATTTGCAATCTTTTTCGTTTACAAATTTTGATAAGAGATATGAGGATAAATAGCTTATGATCACCTCAATGACCTGACGCTGTTCCGCCGTCAAATTCTTTGGCAGCTCCTTGTTCAGCCAAGAAGTGATAGGGGGATCCATACCTAATTGCTTCGGTTCCATGTAAATCATGCCACATCTAAAACATCATAGATCATAATATTGGCAAACAAAGTAAGGTTAGACAACCAATGACAAAGAATTCCAAAAGCTTAAACCATCTTATAAGTGAAGTCAGAGAATGTCGGCACAATGACAAGTTTGCGTTTCTGTAACAAATTTTCTGTTTAGAATAGGTAAGATATATATATATATATATATATATCTACGATCAATGCACAGGCAATGTACAAAATTTCGATTATGTCAGCTTCAGTTGTACATAATATTAGTGTCATCCGTGAAATGCTTCTGTGTGTTTTGTACAGTAAAGCTGGGACAAAAATGCTAAGTTAATTGTCGATGTCGAGTCTCCTTGTCATAACATTTTATGCAATATTTAGCAAGACATGTAATTCTAAACAACAAAGATTACCGGCTAACTGTTGCAGGGGATGCTTGCTCAAGATCTTGCGGTTCAAAAATCATTGTTTGGCTAGCATTCATCTGTATGATTTCGCCACTCATTAGACAAAGCTTGAAACAAAACATAATTTAGGACAAATCAGAATATAACTCAAAACATACATATAACTATAGGTTGAAGACGACCAATTCAGCATGTTATCAATTAAACAAATATGAATCTTTTTATCAACTAGCATCTATCTTGATAAAAGGCTCAAATGTTCACAGGTGACTCCAACTGATAATGGTAAAATACCATGAAATGATCATCCTTAAGACTAAATTCAACAAAATTGAAGAATAACAGGCTTCCACTTTTTCATGAATTTTGTCTTCAACAGAAAAACTACATCAAATGGCAGAGGGGGAAGGTAGCTTAAGAAAATGCTCTAGGCTCTCAAACCCTGAGAAAAAGGTCATGATTTGCAGGCATCGGAAAGTATTACCAATACCACTAATATCGAGAAATTGTGAAGGACTAGTAGGCGCTTACGATTCTAGTGGGATCCTTTTGGAATAGGTAATCAAGAGGAATTTTAAAGAAAAATGCCATTAAAAGAAGGGTTTAATAAAGAAACTTTTGTCAAGGCCTTGCAAAGTGTATCATTCAGGTGGATTTTATTTCTTTGTACTTACCTTTTTATTGTCGTCTAGAACCGTATTCATGTTCTCAATCCAAATAGCATCAACAGGTCCATCAAAGATAATCCACTTGCGCTCCTTAGTAGTGGAGTCAGCATGTGCACGAAAAGTGTTTGCTAGCACACCTATGACGAGAATAAGTGAGAATTACTGCTAGTTGGTATGTTGCAGACAGCTCAATGCCGTATTCGCAGAGCTTGGCAAGTTTTGGTGGTAAGAACATAGTGGCTTTCAATTACTATTAAGTTTCACACTTAATGTAATCAAAGAACTGTTGTAAGATTAGTCTGCAAGCAGACGATGCAAAAGCCCTGAAAAATGAAAAGCTAAATTAAATCAAAGCAGCTTTAACACTATGTTTCGTTATCATCAGTTGCACTTGAAACATAAGTAGCATCTCTAGCATAATTTAACGGAAAATTTGATGAAGTATACATCCTTTACAAACAGCATATCAAATCCTCAAACGTTGTAAAAATCTGAAAACACATATTCATGAAAACAGTGACAACAGGCTTCAACGTTCGATCTAAAACCCTCTCATGAAGAAATATTATTTCATGTCACATACCATCAGACCATTCATGGGATACTGGATCAAAATGTCCATATAATTCTCCCATTGTGATTGCTTTAGGGTTTATCACTCTATACTTGACCTGCAAGAAAATGTAAACTTAGAGAGTCCTAAACACCGAAAGCCTTCCATTAGTCAACCTACTGTGGAAGCTAAATGTTTGCTCATAAAATTAAACTTAATAAAACGCGTCAAAAGAAAAAAAAGGAATTACAAGAACATCATTCTTTGTCTGTTTTATCATGTTTCGAAGAGCTGCATGACAATCGTGGCCTGACCTGAACCCTTATGAAACAAAAACACATAACAATAGCTGACTTCTACAAAGAAATGTAAATTAGAAAATAACAGGTAGGTCAAATTTATGATTTCAGAAACCTTCAATAAAAATTTGCCGTTGAAGAAAAACTTACAGCTTGCTCATTTCCTGTGTTACTCATTTCTGTCAGCGTTCTAGCCAAGGCGACATATGATGACGTTTTGCCTCCTAATGGATCACCAACTATCATGAAACCGTGACGAACCAACATCATCTCGTGAATCTATATTTAAGAAAAATAAATTGTAACATAAGAACGGAAGAAGTTTGGATTTGATCTTATACTGATAACATATTTATTAGTCACAAGATAAGAACAGTAAGACTGAAGTAACTACAGTAAAATTGTGAGTTGTGTTTAATGAAAATAAAATACTCGACCATGACCAAAATAAAGGCTTCTATCAACACAATGGCAATATATAGAAAGTATTTTTAAGTAAACCTATGATACAAGCGTGCAAATACTTAATTGAAATGCTTAAGAAAATCAAGAATGCAAAAGTAACATGCAAGTTTAATCCGTGGCTCAATGCATTTCCATCTTACCTGGATAATTTTCTCAACGAACCATGGAACAGGCTGCAGCCCCATTTTCTCTATCTCTTCAACGACCGCATGCTGCAACCGGCCATGATCCGGAGTTGGAAGGATGACATCCGGGAACAGGTCTGATATGATTCCTTCAAATAGTGGCAAATCTTGGGACAGGAACTATATAGGTAACAGAAATTAAAGTATTGACAGTCTTGTAAACCACAGCAAACAATGCATTGCAAAACTGGAAATACACACAAAACTAAAAAATTAACTGAAGGATTTTTTCTGGATTTTCTTCCTTGTCAAATAAAATTTCCTCCTTCAAGCATAACATCAAAGAGAACTTTCTCTAAAATATAGTTAAAAAGGAAAATGACATATATTTCTACTACTAAGGGTCGGTTTATAACTAACAACAGTAAAAAATTACTGTATCATCCTTTATCCCTCCTTTTATACCTGTTAAACTAGCAACTCTAAGAGGACCATTATGGAAATAAGTCAGCTTGACCATTCATTGCTATCCCTGCCACTGATATAAGGGGTGTTTATTGTGGCGAATTACTCGTATGCACACAGACATACATAACACTAATCATTAGGCCAATGGCTAAGAAGCATTTACCTTAGGCATATTGACGTCATTTATTGACCTTAGAAGTATGACTTCTTCTGTTTCTTTCGGGTATTTCAACTTCAAATTTCCTGCTGCAGTCAACACAGATTTAACAGCACGCATGCCGTAATCATAATGATGTTGGGAAGAAAGCTAGTAAGAAAAGAAAGAACGAATAAAAATGTACATAATGCAAACATAAAAGTTTATGTAAATAGGTCTGATCATTGTCATTATACATCATTGTTTATAAATATGATGTAAAAATTGCACGATATCAATTTCAGTACATTTATACAGGGTTATTTCTTTCACCCAGATTCAAAGTGTTGATCATAATTTTGCGACCCTTTCTTTATAGCCACCATAAAATTGAAGTCATTGGCGTATAAATTTGACTGATAGCCATATTGTCGAATCTACTGTCATGCACAAACACTCGTGGGTCTAAGTCTATGAACTGAGTATCCAATAAAGAACGTTAATTTCTTATCCCAAAGTGTCGGCTTTTTGCCAATATTTGCCAGACCAGCAATATTTTCCTATATAAAGGCAAAATTCTACATGGGAAAAGAGTGTTCCCGGTCTTAGTTGCAACCACAATAACAAAATAGAATCAGACGGTTTCATTCACTTAAAGGTTTTTCTGCTATAATTTTGGTCACAATGAAATATGTTGAAATGATAATACGACAGGAAATTTTCGGAGGCCTGAACTCTATCTTAGGAATCCAAGCTAAAATTATGAAGCATGACATCGTTGTGATTATTGAGGAAAACCCACAATTTGCCATAGCGTTTCACATGAAAAACAGAGGATTTCGAAAAGACAGAATAAGGATACAAAAACACTTAGCAAATATTTAATTATAAACATTAATGCATATAAAGCTCTACTTGTTGGGAACAGAGTCGATACACAGCAACAATCTTTGCTGCCAGATCTTTCGCTTTCACGAAACTCATTGAATATAAACTTATTTCAGCTATCATGGCGTAATCTGGAACCATCATGGCGACGGTGCGAAATAGAACCTAAAAGATCCAATTGAGCAAGTTATTTCGCAATGGGAATCGTAAAGGGAGTTTTGAAGGAAATAAGAAGTGCGACTAAACTTTAAAATGCAAATATTTAACCATTCTGCCAATGTGGAAGCGCAAAAAGGAAACTTTAGTGCCATCTAAGATAAAATTCTGCTAATTCTATTATTTTATAATAGCATAAAGATTCAAACGACAACTTTAAAATAAAAACACATATCAAAATGTCGCTTCTTTAAACAACCTTAAGAAATTAAAACCCACTGAATGGTAGCACAAAATTACAATAGCCCTGTAGTTGTAATTTGATTCAATTTCATATAAACTTCGAGTCTTTTTATTTAAGTTGTTTATTTGTAAGCATACGACTGTGTTGGAGAGAATAATGTTGCCTCGAAGAGACAAAGGTACAAAGGTAAGCAAAAACAAGGGGTTATCCAAACAAAATTGAAGACATACTTTCAGATTATCTGGTAATTCAGCTCTGCCTGCATAACCTGGGTTCATTGTAATGAAAATTGTGCACGTGGGATCAAGTCGTAGTTCTGTGCCCTCGAATACAAATATTTTGAGTTGTTCCATGACAGCACGTTGGATCGTTTGGATCTGTTGCGCGACGACCGACAAAACCTTGAAAAAATTACATATTTTGTGAGATAGAAACACAAAGCAGAAAGCATGTCAAGGTTATAGCTAAAAAAACGATTATCATAAAGGTTCGAGCCAGGAAAACATATGAAAATAACAAAGTTTTGTCGACATATTTATGAGTAAGAAAGAAAATAGCATCAAAACAAAGATCGATGTTTGTAAGTCCATGGTTTTAGATAATGTAAATACAATGTTTACTCAAAACGTATAGATAATCATAGCAGTCAAGAAAATGAAGTCAAGTCACGAAAGTCAAGAAAACTTAAATCTGAAACTTTTAAGAAAGAAAGTTTAAGTTTAAGTTGACATTAACCGTTTTGAAACAACAAAATGTAATAACGAAACTAGCAAAATATGAAGCAAAATATGTCCAGGCTGGAAAACAAAACATGTGCATGATGGCGATAACATAAAGATGATGCACAGACACATGCCAAAAAATCTAGAAAGTTGGGATTGTTCCAAATGAATTCAAAACTTCAAGAAATTGAGTCATTGCATTTCACTTGCTAAAAATCTTGAATTATCAGTAGGTACAACAAAAAGATTTATAAGCGTAAATGCAAACCTCAAGCTCAATTCTGTTGAACTCGTCAAAACAGGCCCAAGCCCCAGCCTGCGCGAGGCCTTTGAAGAATTTACCCATAGCTTTATAGTCCAAGCCATCAGAACAGTTGAATACTACACACTGTGACAAGGAAAGAAAGTTGATCAATTAAACATATTGATTTTAAGTTGGGAAAGGAGACAAAATGATAACAGTAGGTATGTTGGCCGTGTCAAAGATCTTCAGAAAATGTATATTCTGTGCCCAGAAAATTGTCTTAATGTCTATAGAAACTGATAACCTAGATATCTGGAGGTCAGGAATAAAGGAAACAACGACAAAGAGTGTGACCTTACTGTGTTTAAGTCGTGTTTGTCGCTTAGTGCATATGTGACAATTGTGACAAACGTGTTTGCTAAGAAAATTGCAGCAACTGGTTCTTTTGACGATAATAGTGGTTTTGAGAATAGTTGGGAAATAGGCAGACAAAGGACACTGTTTGAAAACACTAAATAGCCGAGATAAAGGAGCCAGTGTAAAATGCATTCCTGAGAGGCAAAATATAAATCCTAGGTACAATATCAGAGCAATTGAAGACCAACAAAAAGTCCACCTGTTTTGCAACTGCCTTTGCCAAGTCTTTGCAGGTTTCAGTTTTACCAGTTCCAGCTGGTCCTTCAGGTGCACCTCCAAGACTTAGTTGTATGGCTCCCATTAATGTCCTGCACAAAATAGAAATTGTCAGTTGAAGCAACCGCATTTTGATATCTAACTAAAAAACACAATCGGGTCTTGAAAATGGAGGATCATATGAGCAACAAGAGAAATTCCACCAAGAGATATGGTCAAAGAAGAATATACCGCACGCTGAATTTTGAATTGGCATTCATAAGTAAACAAACAATTTTGAAAGTAGTTTTGCAAGCAATTCTTTGAGAAAGAAAGTAGAACTTATGAATACAGAGAAATATAATGTCCTAGTCCACGGTCCTGCTAAACATGGAGGGTAAAACGAGGGTAATAGGGCTGACAGTTTTCTAATGTAAATGGCACTATAAATCTTTACTTCTGAAGGACAAAAAAAAGCTGATTCGAAGTACAAATTTACCTGTAGCAGCGATCCGTCAGAGGCGTAATTACGAGTCTGCTTGTATTTCCTAAATACTCGTAACCGTAGCGTAACGATGTGGTTATCATACATACTGACACAATGTCATCCTCCAAATAGTATCGCAGCTGGCTAATCCAATTGAAGTCCATTGTATCTGAAACTTTGTTCTTACACAGCTGTTCGACAACGTCTCGAGCTGCAAGGCAAAAACCGCTTATTAAGAGAACGGGTATCAAGCTATGCTTTCAAATGAAGATATCAAATAGTCAAGAAGGCTTCACAAGAAGAATTTATGTTATACGAAGGAACAATCAACCTTTCCTTATGCTTCTCTGGCCTTTCTTTATCCTTCTTTCAATATTAAGAATAAAAAACATTGGTGTAAAAATGGCACCATAAAGATGAATTTTTTGCATTTTTCCCTTGCTGATAGGCGGTTGTTAGATAAAATTGTATGATTTGAAAATGTTGCATAATCTATCCCCGCTGTAGTTTGCTGCGAATGCTGTGTCTACTCTCCCTTGCCAGACACATTTTCTTTGATCGTTATCCAAGATTTTATATTCTGATTAAAGCTGGATAAATCCATCCTCTTAAACAGTTTAGCACCCTTCTTTGACTCTATAGCATGACAAGATTTAGTATGTGGGGTTTCAAAGGAGGAGCGTTCATCCAAGCTCAAAGCATTTTTTGGCTAAACCCTATTCCTATTACCTGTAGTTTAAATTTGTTCATCTTTGCAGTGTGGTCGCAAAAGGTCAAGTATTCAGCACCAACATCATCTAAGCCCTAGAGTGCTTCTTCCAGCCTCAGCTGCCAAAAAAATTCCCAGTGCCAAAATCCCATTTCACAGTTTACCCCCTCCAGGCCCCTTGTATAAAGGAGTACGTTAGTAAATTGGGTATTAAAACAAGCTGGATATTCTTGGCAGCATGAATAGAACCTAGAACTATAGTACTAGGAGAAGCATTGAATTATCATGTTATTGTGTGCCTGCTTACCATGAACATCCATAACGATCAAAGCACCCAGTGTTATACGTGTCATTTGAGTCAATTCACCACGGACAAGCTCGACAATTTGCTCAATTTGCTCGTTGGACTTTTTGAGATAGTCAGGAAGGTATGTGCCCTGGATTGCCTGAAGAAATTGAAACAACAAATGAAAAAACAAAAGGTTATTTTGCTGAATTCCAGATTTTCATAGGGCGAGGTGTAAATTCTGAATAAACTATGATAAGATCTCTGAAAAAGAAAGCAGAAAGGAAGAATTAGAGGTATGAAGATAAAAACGTATAAAAAAGGGGGCCACTCTTTAAAAATGCAACTCCACCTCATGTTAAGTATTAAAGATAACTTGTCAAGGTTGTGGGATAATATGTAACGTCTTTACGCACCTTTGTTACCTCTGCCGTCCAATAAATGGCACAGCATGCCAGCACAATTTGTCCAGGCCATGACTGCACCCACTCATCCCGACTCGTTTTGGCATAGGCATCGCAAGCCTCTTTCAGAACATTTTTCAGGCTGTCTTTCATGTTATGTTCAACCTGAAAAAAACAGTCGAGAAAATAAACAACTATCTGCAAAAATTACGTAAATAAGATTTCAGTTCAAAGTAGCTGCCTTTCATACAAGGGAATAACAATTGCGTAGAGCAAAAACTAACAAAAGCTAACCTGGAAGAGCCATTTTTCAACAAGACCTTTGGCATCGGCTGGGTAGATTGAATCTGTAAACATGACTCTTTCTCCTTCTGCAGACTTCATCCCATGAATCTGTTTCTTCGAATCGAAGTCGAGGCTCGCTATCCCTTCAAAACACTTTTTCAGATGAGGTTGCACTCGAAGTGGATCTTTTGTTTCTGATAGAATCTCCAAAAGTTCATCATTGGACAAAAAGAAAAACCTGAGGAAAAGGCACTGGTTGTTAAAAAATATAGAGACCGATTCTTAACGAAAAAATTAGTTTAGATGCATCCAAACTACCTTTACACGTATCATGTAGACACACTGCCTATCAACAACTGACAACAAAAACTGATAAGACATAGAGCAATACGATTTTCATTTAACACCTCTCGAAGAAAACAAGTTGAGCAACCTGCTAAAAATCTTTTATCAAGCGTACTAATCATTACAGGAAATATATGCCACAAATCTCAACTTTACCGAGTATACGCAAACTTCTTTTGACAAAACTAGAACAAGAGTTAATTGATTAGGATACTTTATTTGATCTAATATGAAGACAAAGTGTTATGCATCGGTACTAAAATGATAATTAACAGCAAAATCCGCTTGTAAAAACAAAACAATATCAATTACCTTGGAAAGTAAAGACGTTTTTGCTCAAGATAATTATTCAGCCCGCGTTGAATATCCTTAAGTAAAACCTACAAAAAAGGTAATGTGGCGTATTTGCAATGACTTTTATATGTATATTTTTAGCACCGGTCATAATTTGCTGTCTAATATTAAACACAAAAATATAATGAGGCAAAATGTTAAGTTGAAACGTTCCTTGACTAGCAACATGAAAAACAGCAGCTAATATAACATGTTAGCATATAACATAATAATATAACATAATATAACATAATGTTACCTCTGAATGCTGAAGTTTCTTAAGCATATCTTCTTGTGACGTTACTTTTAATGCATGGGGATCTTCAGAAGACTCTCTCATTATCTTTCTCCTGAATCAAGCAAATTGTTCAACAAATACAATGATTGCAAGCAATGTAATTAAATTTTTCTAACTTCTTTTCTATAAGTTAGAATTACGATTGAAACAAAATAAAAAAGAAGGTCAAAAGTTAATTCGTATAGAGCTATGCATAGCATGATCTAAAAATTTTTAAATTAAGAAAGAATTTAAAGTATATAGTATTTAAAAATATTCAAAAGACTTTTTGTTAGACAATTCTCCCCGAGTATAAAAGTCGGATAATGACTAAGTGTAATCATAGATTGAGAAAGACAAAAAACTTCCTAGTATCTAAATGTATCACTTGGTACAATATCAATTTCATGTAAAAATTTTAATCATTTTTTAAGTAAATCAATCAGAAGATAATATCACATTATTTCTTGTGGTATCTGCTTAAAGAATTGACAATTGTTTATTACTGACTCACCAGTAAGAATCGACATCTCTGAATTTCTCTCCTTCCAATGGCATCTGTTGCTGTATATCCTCTGAGCTAAATATGGGCTCCAAGTAAAGCCAAGTGGCTTGCACCTAGCAACAGATGATGATATATGTTTTCGAAGCAGAAAATTATAATCACCTTGCAGTAAGATTTGAAAAAATCCCGAGTGCCAAAGTTGCTTATCAGCAAAATACAAATCATGTTCATCTAAAGCCATTGTCGAAATGTTTACATATCAAATTCTAGTTATGAAAATTAAAGTTTTACTGGTCTATAATACAGTGATCGATAGCGTATAGGCAGAGCTGTACACAACCTAGCGTAAGGAATAGGACGAATCTAAGTTACAACTCTGAGTTTCACGCTAAAAGCAATCAACTGCTAGATATGGACTAAATATCTTTCAATGTTTACATCTCACTCGCAGGTCGTCCGAAGAAAAAAGGGAATTGTGGACAGATGGAATAACATGTTTGATATCATTAAACTTTATTCTGTACTTCAAGAAAGAATTATAAAATTTCGATGTTTGTTAGGGGTTTGTCATTTTATCCAACATTCCATCCAATATCTAAGCTACTGTGCATTGCCCAGTGACATACTGACAAACCTTTTAAACGTTGTAATATAATTTTCGATAAAATGGTTACAAAATCAATCGAACCTGCCATCCTACATTTGCGATTGAAAATGGTATTCATGATATCGTAAATATCAAAAGTCTATCTTGGAAAAGCCAGAGAGACGAAAACGGAGAAAACTCTGGCCCCTTATGGCCTATTCTTTGTCACCCAGGTATGTGTTTACGGTTTCTCTTCTGCATTCAAAAAGTTTTTTAGATACATTGAATAATCTTTATATAACTTGTCTGAATCTCATAAATGCTGAAACTAATATAAAATTTATTACACTGTAAAAAACTACAACTTTTATACAAATAAAATAATTTCTGAACTTCCTTACCCTGAGCCATGAGTCCAAAATATTTCGTATATTAATCTACAAAAGTACAAAGAAATATTTCGTATATTAATCTACAGAAAAGCAAAGAAATATTTCTTATAGTAATCTACAGAAAACAAAAAAATATTTCGTATATTAATCTACAGAAAAGCAAAACAATGTTTTGTATAGTAATCTACACAAAAGCAAAAAACACATCATATAATTACTATCAATTAATATCAAACTATCAATGAAATACCTTGAAAAACAAAACAGAAAAGTTGCTATATGGAAATAATGGGCGCGTCTTTTACTTGTTTCAGAAAAAATCATAAAATCTTAAAGCTATTCTTTTATCATAATCTAGTGAACACAAAAAATTCAATAAACATAGAGAGATCAGGTAACACAGTGAAATAATGCAAGTACTGTTTCATATTTTCTGTAGATGTACTCCTTTAATGTAGAATAAAAATGTACTCCTTTTCTAACGAAAAATGCAGCTGCTTGAAAACTTAGTTAAACAAGATATGCTGACAGCATAAGCCAGTCTAAAATTTCATCTTATTTTATCCGTTTTGTTGAAACAGATACATTTATATTTAATTTTTATCTTGCCAAATGAATCAACCAAAAAAGAATATACAAACCAGCCGTGCTTCCCAGTCTTTGATTTCGTCTTCAAAAGGTTCGATAAAAGGAGAACCACGCATTGTTTGTGTTTTGACAATATGATCATCAAGAATGACCTGCAAACGAATAGTTATATAATCAGGCAATTTAATCAATTTCAAACTAAACAAAGCAAAAATTATGAAACAGTCAATGTCTTAAACGAGTTAACAACGCTTCAGTGAGCTACGAACTCGATTTGAAAATACTTTTGATAATGAAAGCTAAGTGACCATATCAATTTCTGCAAATAAATGTGTGGCCACTAAAGAGTTCTGTAATAAGTCTCTTTTTGGCGATGCAAAAGAGCTTGATTTCATTACAAATCTTAAACCTTATTATTTACTTCGATTGTACAATTCTTGTCTCATAATTTCTCCTGACAACAGAAACCTGAAGACGTGTTGCACGGGGGGGGGAGGGGTTTACTTAGTAGGTATATTGTCATAAATTGAAATTTGTAAAAACATCAGTAGGCTTAATCCTGATACTCAAATAATGTGTAGTTAAGCCTTATAGAGAAGAATCTGTTCCTTATCTTTTTGTCAACAATCCACATTTTTCTCATAATGGCACCTCTCCTGCACTTCCGAGCTATTTTGATTACATAACTCTTTTATGGCTTTGAAAAAAGCAAACATCTCACAACATACTAAAAGCTTTTTAGTCTGACACTGTTCAGAGTATAAAACGTTAGATAAAGGGTCCAAGAGTTGTGAAGTATTTGCTTTTTTCAAGGCCAGTTCTGTAATTTTTTGCAAGTTTGCAAAAGTGAGTATCATTTGTTTTGGGGGAGGGAGGATTTATCTGCGAAGTTGGGCTTGCAGAAAAACACGACAAAACAGTATTGTTTTCTTGAAAACGCACCTGCATGTCTTCAACAGCAGATAAAATGTTTACTCCTGTATCTTTGTACGGCACAAAATTAAAGCTGAGGTCATCCCATTCTCCATACATCTTGATAAGAGCCTAGAATAAGAGATTATAAAACTCAAAATTTAAATCAAACAGAACAGCACTATGCTTCAATGGAAAATAAATTCTAATGCCAAAACACATGTGGTCAAACTGATGTTAAAAGGAATTATGTAAAATCATTTAATATCGGAATTTATTGAAATGATTCCAATTTTGCATCATATCGGGCCAAATTTATAAAATCTTTGAGAATGGTTTTTAATTTTATCCAGTCCTGATAAAGGTTTGTCCGCAAGAACTTGCATTTAAAAGATCAACATCAGGCCAGGTCTTGTTTGGAAGAGCATAATTCTTCAACAATGTTAACTTCGACGATTAAAAGCATAACGAGACGACAATGTTAACTACTGTTTAGCGATTAAATGAATTAATTAATGATGGGATTAAAAATGTGGTAAGTTACAATCAATGGTCTTGGAAAGGTTTTTATTGGCATCCTTCATCCTTCAAGTTCACCTTTTAATCCAGATAAATTCTAAACTCCTAACGTAATTTAGGACAGGTTATCGGTTGTATTAAATGTTTATCGCTTATCTTATCTGCCACAAATGAAGTTGATATTGAAGACGACCCATTTACACACAAGATAATTGAGTAATAATTCAGTCACTGGCTGGACCTTGATTTGTCCCTGAAGTTTTAGGCATTTGAGTTTCCTGAGCCAGACCACACTGCAGCAAGTCATTAAGAAAAATGTCAAAGTCTATCGAAAAAGCAAAAACAAGAAATCAAAAAACCTTTTCGAGAGCATATTCTTTACTGGCTTGAGAACTTATTTCGGTGAGCTCGTCGACATATCTCTCGAGACCAAGTGCCAACATCTCGCTAAGTGGAGTGTCAATCTTAGGAGCAATATTGTAGCCGACCTAGAAAAACGAAAGATGATGTAGGAGATCGGAAAGTAATGTGTCTCAACTATCAAATTGTATAGGGGGGGGGGGGAAGTAGAAACATTTGGGGAAAGAGCGACAACTACAAAGTACAATAAAAACTGCTCGTTGATACAAGTAATTTTGGCGCTGTTTACTAAGCAATCTTGAATAACAAATAGAAAGGAAATAAACCTACTTTGAGACTCATCTGTTCCCAGTGACGCTGCTTGATTCCCGGAGTACATAACGCCGTAATCAATGGCATGTTAATCTTGAACTTCTCGATTCGTGTCTTAATTGTTGCAGCCGCCCTTAACGGACCCATTAAATCAGGATGATTGAAGAGCTTTGTTAACTTGTAACTGACTTTCCACAGTGTTGATACCTTAAAAAAAATGAGATAATTCAGCAATCTTGATTCTAACTCACTCTAAGTAAAATAATTGCAAACCTTCTTGAATGAAAAAACGATTCTTCGTATGAAATTATGTAAAGGATTTCATGCTTGCCTCTTATGTTTATTTCTTTATAAACTAAGAATCTAGAACTCTTTAAAAACCTTTCAAATAGACCTGTTACATTCAAATAGAATAATGAATACTTTAAGTTTAATTAATTAGCATGATTATTTCAATTTGGGCAATTGACCAGCAATAATTTTTATATTTTTTAAAAATTATTTCTGATAAACTTAAAGCTGTAGGAAAGCTATTAAAAAACGAAAACACCCCCGCAAAGCAATGGCAAGGCTCTATAGATTGATACCCAAGTTCTTAATTAACATTTTTCCAAATACATTGGCCACTTTTATTCAACGTCTCTTAATTTTCATCCACATACTGACTTTAACGGTACTAAAAAGCAAACTTCTTTGCAGAGAAAAAAAAGAAAATACTTTTCAAGACAGAGTCTAGAAAAGCACATTTTCAGTTCTAAGCAAACTAAAAAATGCTTGTAGGTTGGCACCTGGTCCTCGATTTCCTCGGCATTCAACTTGAGCATTGGGCCATTTAGCCATTTTTCCTGGCTGCTTGTAAATGATACTATAGTTCTCCACAACTGATCATAAGGTGCTTTAGACTGGATGATTTCTTGAATCTGAGGGTATGGACTCAGTTCCTCTGCTCGTAAAAGTTCTTCTTCGTGATTTATTTGCTTTTTCTAAAAATTAAAGAAAATGATATTCTTATGAACATCAGCAAGGATTTTCGCCGAACATTGTCAGTTGGCGCTTAACAATAAAGAAATGAAGTTTGCATTGCAATTGCGTCTTCAAAGTAGGATATTACAACGTTATTCATTATAGGATCTACTTAATTTAAGAAAAAGAAAATGATCCTCTTTCGAAGAAGAAGGCATACCTCAGCAATGAACTCTTCCACTCGTCTTTTCAATTGGTCAAATACCTCGACATACTGTGGAGCATCTGACATTCGCTCTCTGTTTTTAAATTCAACAACAATCCTCTGAGCTTCACTAAGTTTCATTTCAAATCTTCCCCTTCTTTCTTTGAGCTTGTTCATAGCGGTTTCTTGTTCTCGAAGCATTCTCATCTCACTATTAAGGAAAGAATTACGTCTAATGTGATGACCCTTAAACAATTTTGACGTAAGTTAAAACTAGACAAAAACCAGCATCCACAACATAAGGTCTTTTTACAAAAGAGTTGCAGCAGAGATTTCTTTGTTTAGGGTACAAGGAGCCTAAAGGCCAAAGTAAATCATACTTTTTTAAAAGGTGGCATTATCAATTAGTGGAGTTGGTCAACATATTACTGTCTTTCATGTCCACAAAAACCTAGATCTCATTCTGTTTTAATAACTTATGAACAGTTAAACAATGCTTCGGTACACGTGCAAGATCGAAAATCAGAAGATAGCAGAAAATTTGCATTGCAAACACGATACGGTCCTGTCCTCAAAGGCATTGAGTCGTGGTAAATAGACCTTTCTATAGGGGGCCATTTGCTTTCCGCGTATTCGCTGTAGTTTCACCTGATATCGGTATCCGTTGTTGACAAATTGACGGAAGCTTTTTGTAGATCAGTACGATGTGAGTTCACGTGACCAAGGCCAGGACAACTATTAGCATTGCGGCACAAAAATCATGACTTAGCGTATTTGGGTTACCCTTTCTTTTTACCACGACTCAATGCCTATAAATCATTTTACTTTGAAATGGTTAAATTTTAATTGATACTACTTAAAAGGAGCACCTGTTTTTAATTAGGGGCTGTAGTTTCTCATTCCAGTTGAATGTTGTGTAGTTCAAATGGATATGCTCTTCTGTAAGATCAGCATAGTCAACCAGAAATAGCAGATCGCTTGCAGCTTTCTTTAACTGGGCCTGAAAAAGGTTTCCAGTTAGCAATGAAGCAATTCGTATTACAAATTTTTATTCATGTATTTTGAAGCAGAAAAGCAGAAATTTGTGGCTTGATAAAGGATTGAGGCATTGAACCGAGGCTTTATCATCTAGACCGAGATACTGAAGATTTCCAGATTAAATTCTTTTCCAGTAGCAATTGCATATGAGTAAAAATATCCTTTTGGCAAAAAGTAACTAAACGATATTAAAGCAATGCCCCCATTCACACACTTATAGCTTGTATAAGGAAAATTGCAAAAACACTATGAAATATGATAATGCATTTTTTCTTTCTGTTTTATAGCGATTTTCGGTAAATTAATTTCTAATTGTAGTAGGAAACAGATAAAACGTGATGTTCAGTTCTTTGGATTCGCAATTGTACACACAAGCAAGGGGCATTTTTGTCAAATAATAATTCAAAATTCAGATGTTTACAGGAAGAATCCGCAGCTCAGGTAAGCATAATATAAAACTGTTACAACCTACACAACTGAGGGTGTTAAATGTTGGATCGAAATAAAATTTTCATAAAAAAGTTGGTTCAGATGCACGGTACAGTAATTAGGTAATATTTCATTGCCATAAAAAACTCAAAACGCTTACTGTCTACAAAAGCCAATTACTGAATGCAATTTCTGTGTTTTCTTAATTGCAAGTAAAGGTAAGAAATTACAAAGGTTGCTCACCTTTAAAGATAAAAGAGGCCCAAATCGAAGATTGTCGATGTAATTTGATAATTCAACCAATTGATCAGTATCATGAGTTATACTGTTTATTTTGTTCAGTATTTCTTCGTATTGACTACAAATCTTTTTGTTAAAATAGAAACTGTTCGTCGTGATCTGGTCTAGTATTTTTTGTGACAACATATTTGCACGTGTGATCAGGAACTGAAACACAAAAGTAGCATAGTTCAACAATTCAAAAATATTGGAGCGGCACAAAAAAAACGACTTGGATACAAAGTACTTTGAAAAAGTTACAAGAAATTCTCAAGAGAGTCGATGATAATGAAATAAGCTGATAAAAAATATCTTACAATTTGAGTATCTTAACAAAGGATTGAAAAAATTCCAAATCAATATATAAACGGGCTGTCTAATGCACTTTGGCCTACGTTGCCATGTAATTGTATAACATCAGATGTGTTTTTGCGTGTTGTTTAATTAACAGAAAATGGTCTTCCGCCAGTTTCTGACCCTGTTCTGGAGCGCAAGTGCTTGAACCAATTTACCAACAATAATACATAGATGATGATATACTAAAAAGGCAGTGCATCAATTTATTGTCAAGCAAAGTTTACGATTGCTCCGTTTTCGGAAATAGAAATCAATAATCACTCAAAAGATCGAAAGATTCAACGTACCTCCTTTACAGGTGTGCAATTGATCAGGAACAAATGGAAAGGGACAAAATTATCCATTGACGTAATCTCAGACGCCAGATTTTTAAAATGATCAATTTTATCTCTGTACTCTTTCAGACTGTGATCAGCTTTGAGAAATCTGTCGACTTCTTCCTGTGCTTCGTGGGAGTATAAAGCCCTGTAGTTCTTGTATACAGAACAAAATCTGCAAAAATTTTTAAAGACTCATAAAAGAACGAAAACTTTATCAAGCAAAGTATGAGGCTAAACATTGAGCTGCATGGTAAATACACGCATTGATACCAGAACTCTAGAGGGCTAAATGACAGTCCTGGCAATATAGTGCCCTGTAGTTGCTTTTTGGATTCTTGCATGGCCTTAGATTTAATAACATATTAATTTGAAGGAAACTGTTACTAGTAGGTCCAAGATCTTAACTTTACTTACAAAGATCATAAGAGAAGCTGAAATGTAAAAAAATCACTTACTTTTCTGGGCCGGCAGTGTTTTTTCTAACAACTTTTTCGATTCCAATTTTTGCTTCTTCAACTGGCTCCTCGCTTGTTTGCATGACGCTAATGTTATTAATTTCAACATCATCTTGAGGTTGAAACAAATGATCTTCTGCACGCTTTATTCCTTCGCAGCTTTCGACAATATGCTCAATTAGCCCATCTATTTCAAAAACTAACTCCTCAAAAGATGGTGAAAACTCAAGCTCGTCAGTGCTTTCGTTAACCACCTACAAATGAAGCAAATGTCATCTATTACTTTTAATCAGTCATAGTAACCCCAAAACCTATCTTTTCCTCGTTTCAAAAAAGCAATGTAGCCAATGCTACCCATCACCCTGACAGGCCAGTTTTTATGGTGTTTTGACCTGCATCTTCACGTGCCTCTGTCCTAGGTTTCATTTCTACTAGTAGTCATTTTTTCCCGAATGAACTATTTCTCAACTGAGACGTTCATTCAATTTGAAATATTGCCAAAACTACTGGAACATAAGAAAGGAAAGGGAATAACAGGAAGGTCTCACGAGTTTAGAAAACTAATAAGACCTCTCTCTTCGTAAAAATGGGATAATCTTCTTTACAAAAATCTTTGCACAAGATTCCTCTTGAATTTGCAAATTAAAGGAAAAACTATTGTTGCCAAATCCTTTGAGTTTGGACCAATATGATATCGCTCAATAACTAACTATGATGTCTGTATTTTCAGTAACGGTTGAGCAAGAAGGATTAAGTCATAAAAACATGCAGGTTGGCCTCAAAACGAACAATAAGAACCTAAAACTTGCTTCGTTTACAAAGAAAGAAGATTGTGCAGACGACAAGGTCAGCAGGCAATATTGTGGTGAAGAGATCAATAGTCATTGTTATTTCAACAGCAAGAGGGCAGTAAATGGGATTACTGATAATTCGCGAATTCAAGGGAAGCAGTCGAAATTTTATTTCTACAAAGCAATTTTTATGAATTATGCAAGCAAGATTATGAATGTGGTTGAGACAGTTTCTATTGGGTCATTCGAGGTATAGAACTAGAGGAAAATGATTTAAAGGTGAAAACAGTAAAGATTGTCTGAAAGCAGGCGAGACCAACCAGGCTGGATGGAAACCTAAAGGCTGTTCTTCAACTAATAAGGCATTATTTGAGTTCAAAATACCAATCTGAATACAGAGAAGGCAGCAGTCGTTGGAAACCTACAAGATCTCTGATATTCGCAGGTAAAAAACTGTTTGAATACGACATGGTCACTTTAAAGATTTATATTTTGTTACAAGAAAACTTAGGAATAGAGCGTGTACGAAATGATCTAATACAGTTAGCCATTAAGAGGAAAAGCTGATCTTATACATTTTGAAACCTCAATCAATTGACTCCTCTCCCTCCATCCCTTCTCTCTACAGTTAATTTCAAAATTTCTTCAACACAGTCAAAGACTTATACAGGATGTCCTATTAAAAAGGCTTGAATGTAAATCTGAATAATACTCTTGCAATACAAATCTTTGAGTTTGCATTTAAGACAGTTTACAGCAACTTGTATTGACAAACTACAGTATAGTAATAGCGACTTTAATGATAGTCCTATACACTTAAATGCGCTATGATGGAGTGACTTTAATTATATTTTGATAGTATATGGCAGTCTGATTAGTTAGTTTGCAAACATTAAGCATGGTAGCTGATCGGGTGGTGGTAAACAGTCGAATTAATGCTATGTGCTCATCATCTGATTAATAGTGAGCTGGCAAGTGTGACTATCTACATATCGGGACTGCAAAGGAGCTTAGTTACATACTGAACTTACGGACTTCGCATGTTTAAGTCAAAATTATATGTAACTGTAATCAGAAGTATTGTGAGCTAGTAGCAAAAATGATGTTCTAAATCACCATCAAAAATCTTCCTCAATAGTAACTTCTTAACCATCTACAATAGTCAATCATCTATAGAAAATCATTTTAAATAGTAATTTCAAAAGTAAAATCATCTTGCGTTTCTGATTGGCCTATTTCGATCCATAACTGGGTATATATATTTCCTAGCGTAGAGTTTTCGGTCTATGTTCTGACGTTTTGTATTCTGAAGAGTGTCAGACAAAAAGCGTCAGTAGACTCAAATGTTTGCTTTTTCAAAGCCATTTACAATTTTGTACCACCAAAAAATTGACTACCAAAAATACAAATTCTAAATAAGAAAACATTTAATAGGTGTAATAGAAACTGCAGTACTTGTTTGTGTACGGCCACGAAATAAATAGATGAAGCATGGTAAGAGTGCTAGCAAATGAGTGCCAAAAATTCTCAAATATATATCCAAAACTTAAAAAAGTATTAAGAGAAATGGAAAGATAAAGCATAGAAAAGGAAACAGAAGAAAAATACCGCCTTTCTATCATCCATAAGCCTTTCTATCAGAGAGACTACTTTTTGGTGTATCCAGAAAGCGTAAGCTTTTTTTGTTACGATGACGAACGATGAAGACCTCAAATACTGCTATCGTGGTTTCAGAATAATTCAAAATAGATCGGTACATATTTTAAAGGCCATAAAACAGCCACCTACCAAACGAATTATGATTGGTTGTCCTAATGTAGAGATAGGTGTCTCCGCTCCTCCTTCGTAGTAACTTCCCTCAGAGTACTGCTCAAAGAAAGCAACAAGATCTTCCAAAGTGTGGCTCACTGCCAAACGAAGATGTCTTGACATCAACATTGCAACACAACCAAAAAAGTGATCCATTTTCTCAATTCGAAGGCGCTGAAAGATAAAAAAAACTTCCATCACTTATACCGAAATACAATTAATTCCATTTCCTAACATAGTTTTTTTAAAACACTTTGCACTTTAACTTTAAGTAAATAATTGAGCAAGAAAGCAAAGGATTTACACTTTTCCATCAAAACAAAGAAATTTAGCTGCACTTAAAGGCCTGGCTTTATGCAAATGCCTTATGCAAAAAAAGTTCCGGCCTATAGCATTTATCAAAATGAATGAGACAGATTTGTTCCTTTGCTTTCATAACGGTGTACATAGAAAGGCTGTGGAGTTCAGCTGCAATCCAAAGAAACAAAGATGAGACAATATAAAATATTCTTATGCGAAAAGCATGCATTTTTATTATGTTAATGCATTTTTTCATGCGATGAATCTTAAACAATTTGTACGAAATGAAGGACTATAAAAATCGATTGCTTTCATATCTATTTGGAAAAGCTATTCCGAATTTATCATGCACATGAATTGCATGACTGCTTCGTCTAGATTGCTATTTTTGAAGTAATTCTTCAGAAAGCTAAATACTAAGTGAGAGATCTGGAAATATTTCAATATGTCAAAATGAGCTAATTATTATTTAACTCTGAATCTATTCAGTTTTTTCCACAATCATGCTTCATACATGGTCAGTGCTCGATAGACGCTTTCGCTGGTAGTGCACTTAAATGCTGATTTGGTTCTTTTTCTCATTCGACTTGTTTAGTCGAATGACAGTTTGTTTATTCGTTCTCTACATTGCATTAACTGCATGCTGGGGTATACCTATAAAAAATTTTGCCTTTCTTTGGGTTTTTGAAATCATTGAATTTTGTTCCATATTTTTGTTATTTCTATTAATGTTGCCTTAGCTCTTCGTTTTAACATATAATTACTCATGCTCTGTCTGCTATGGTTTCATAGTGTTATTTTAAGAAATTACACCATACCTCGCTACCAGGCATCATCTCTTCCACTGATGTTCTTCGATCACCGATTATCTTCGCACACTGAAAAACCCAGGTTTCCGCTAATTCTTCCTTGCTCTTCGCACAACTGTCTTCAACTTGCTTCTGTAGCTCAGGCAATGTCAGAGGCATTGACAAAGATAGCAAGTGTACATCAATCATTCTGAAGTCAATGTAGCTGGAAATATCATAGGATACTAGCTTAAATGCAAGACATCAGCTGGATTAAGTCTTGACATTATAGAAACACCTGACAACGTACGATTCTTCCCTTCCCGTGCACTTCCGGCCTTACATAAAATTGATTTTCTCTTTAATCACGTGTCGTCTTAAAAATCTTACTACAATCACTACCCTCTTTACACATTAACTTTGCAGATCATCAAAGAACCCTTCTCAAAAAACTGTCTGCTTAACAATGTTGAAGCGCTTTTTGACAAATAATTTAAAAAAATTTAAAGTAGATATATACAGTTTGTTCAGCAAAAAATATACGCAAGATCATCTTGATTATTCTAGGTTTAATATCGCGGCAGTTTAGGCTTTAAGAACAGTGCATGCTTCTGCAGCGGAAAGTAAGGGAGTGATAGATCAATAATCACAGTTTTCTCTAAAATGCAGACTTCGTTCAACGAAACATATATTTGAATCGCATTTAATTGTACAGTGTGCACAATAAAAAGATTCTAGGGTTCTGTTTTTTAACTGCATTAAATTAAGACCTACTTTTCAAACCAAAGTTTTTGGATTTCTTTGATGACTTCATGTGTTATAAATAGGTTACTGAGCATCCGTGCTTTAGCATTTTGAAAGGCATCGTGCCAAGGAAACCATTCCCTGCCTGCAGGGTACACAACCTTCAAACGGGAAAAAACAGCTTAGCACAAATAGTTTCATAAATTCTTGAATTAAACATCCGAAAAAAACACTATAGGATACAATGAATGCCAGATTCACATTTAACTTTTTTCGAAATTGGCTGATATGGAGACAAGATATTCGAGATATTGCCAGCGTGAGTTGATTGGCAAATACAGCAGACACACCTCCCAGTATTCAATTTTGAAAAAAATAAATATGTCACAGTGTATTTGACAATATCTTTTTCAACTAAAGATGAATATAAATTAAATCTTGTTTACCAAACGCAGAAATGAATTTTGGACGCGAACGTCTTCAAAATTCTTAATACTTCATAAACTCAAGAGTTTAAGACAAAAAACTGATTCCTATAATCTTTTCTCTTAAAATACCCTACGCTGTTGGGAAAAGATGGAAAGTATACACAAGTATTCGAAAAACCGTTTCTTTTAGACTTCTGCAAAAGAAAAGAATTTTAGAAACGCTATCGCGAGAAGTCTCTTTATGTTCATTTATAAACACGGTTTATAATACTTGATTTCTATAGCGAACAAATGGAGCCCATATACTTTCCAAGATACTGGCGAAATGAAATAACTTGTATCTTATTGGTCAATACTAGGGTTCTGCCTGCTGTATTAGCCAATCAGAGATATGTGAACATGCTAGTTTTAATACCAAATTACAGTGATTTGATAGAAAACGATTCGGCTATAGTTATGACACCATTTGTCAGATTGAACTAAGATATATCTATTATAAAATGTTCTTTAAAACAACATTACACAAATTTTGAGAAATTCTTCAAATAGATCTTTATGATGTCATCATTTCTTATGCCGGTTCTGTTGTCTCTTTCTACGAATTCTGTCCTATGCTACAATAGCGTCAAAGGGCAGCCTTAGTGTCTTCTAACCTTTGACGTTGTGAATCATGATATGTACCTTACGCACAGTCTTGACAATCTAATATTACAGGTGACAAGGTGTGAGGATGGCTCTTTGGTTAGGGGCACAGGCTACCTGTGCAGGGGTCTGGGTGTTCGTTCGAGTCCCTCAGATGATTAAACTTTCATTCAGCGCGAGGAAGCTGTGAGATCCCTGTAATTCCAGGTGTAGCAATCACGAGATATTGTCACATTGAGGAAAGTACTAGGAAATCTACCTTCGGAAATTCGATAGTAACAATGGCTTAAAAGATACACAATATATCAAAACCACCAATTACAAAAATGTTTTTCTGCAAACCTGGGGTGAAACCGACACACCAACGCGTTCTTGTTCTGATGGATCTAGCAAAATATAGTCAAGGATGCTTCTTTTGAGACTTTGCAGGTAGTTTTCTTTGGCAGCCTATGGCAAAATAAGATTTTCAATGATCTAATTGTTGACCATGCAAAAGTAATTACATTTCTTTCTAAAAAACCTCAAATCAAGCTCAGATCTTGTCAAGCCATTTTCCTTCAGCAATCGCACAACAAATCAAATTCATAAACCTGCCTAAAACATTCTCCAACTTTCGTTAAATAAAGTTATGCGATCTACAATGCAAATATCAGATACCTTGTTACTCTAAAACATAACAATAAGACCGCACACTTTAAAATATACTTCAGAAATCTTGGTTGTAGGATGATGATATTAATAGAGATGGGCTGATTGCTGAAAAGAACGGGGAGATCCCTCTGTAGCTACACACTATATGAAAAATATCTCATTCATCCTAAGAAAGGTTTTTTGTCTACTGCAATATATGAATGACAGCTAAATTTTTTTCAGGCGTTTGTTCAGATTCTAGTATTGTCCGATTCTGATATTGTCAGATTCTAGTATTGCCACAATAAATAAACTTGAAAATCTCATACTGAAAATGAGAAAAATACTCCAAAAAACAAACATCGATAAAAGAAGAAACCTTTCACACTTTTCTGTAAGCTAAGTCTCATTTCCCAAGAATATCTGCAACCCTACCTCATCAAGTTCTTTTAGAACTCCCTTGAAATTCTTAATCAAAGGCTTTGGTAAGTTGCGATGGGTTCCTGCTACAAGCTCATCGCTTATTGGTGCAACCATGTGATCAGCAATGCTGCTCTCAATAAGCTTTGAGTATCGTTCAAGATCAGGTTCATGCGGAGTCACTGATCTTGGCAAGCCAAAAGTAGGATTCATATTCGACGGGAATGATATTTCAATTACACTCATGCTTTCTGGATCGTGTTCAGTAAAGTCACACTCAGAGAATGATTCATGTTTTCCAATTTGGCTTGGTATCTGCGTCTTTGAGACACCGGATAAAAGGTACATATCTCTCCAAGATTCCGGTGTATGGGGTCTTGAATTCGCAGCCTCAATATTCCCATCGTTGGATATTTTATTCCCACCAAATCCCTGCGTATTTCCAATTTTGGGTAATGGCCTGCCATGGTGGCCTGGAGCTTTCTGTTCATCAGGTGGTTTCGGCTTGATAACTCGAGTTTTTGAGATTGTGCTTTGTTCAATATGCGGAACTTTGCCCAATCGATCCGCTAAAGGAACCGGATCATATAACGGAGGGTGCGTATGACGTTTCAAGTTTTGTTTGGACTGGTTTATGGCGAGTGTCTCCTCAATAACCACATTTGCTTTACCATTAAAGACATGACTGCTTGTGTCATCAGCAGGTCTTTGCGATAAACCATGCCCTTGTTTGAAAATAGATTTACTGTCTTAAACACTCAGAGAAGGGGAATAAATTTCTAGCATTAAGAATGGTTAGAAAGCTCGATCATACTTTAGATTTATTCCCTTCTTAATAAATTACACTACGGTGATTAGCTAAATCCTTAGATGGCAAATATTTCGTGACCGATGGAAGGCTTCAGCTACTAAGATGTCGTTTGTCATTAATTTAAGACAATGATTAGAAATGCAGCAAGCCGGCAATTCTAGCGGCAAGGTACAATTAGAATTTGAGAGCAAGGCGACGCATTTTAGCGCTAAACAGATAGTAGCTCTGTTCAGAGATGTAGTAGAGGGATTTATTTCACTTAAGTGCTTTGCCCAAATGAAGTTGTAACTGTCTTTGAAAATAATTTGATGCGAGTCTCTTTAAATTAGATGCGATGCGAATTAAGAAATAGACAATTAGAACAACGCTTTAGTTTATCTTGTCTACCTTGCGATCCCTTTTTATCCCTTTGAATGGTGGTATTATATTTGAAATTCAGAAAAAAACCAATTTGCTTGGTAGAATTCAACTGGTAAGCCTCAGAATGGCAAATAAATCTTAATTAACGAGCCAATAACGATTTGCATCACACAATGAAGACAATGAAATATAAAAATTAAGCAGTGTAAGTACCAAACCTACAGAAGTGTTGTACACTGAAAAGTTACTGTGGTGCACTTTATGCATATTTCTTTTACCAAAATACCTTCTTACTTTCTAAGCAAAAATAAATCTAGAAAAAATTTGGGAATGTTTTTCAATGCTCTTGCCATTTTCTAATCAATAAAAAGAAAAGATAGAAACATAAGATATTAGTTGACTATGAAAAACTATAAAATATACTTTAAACGTCACTCACCATGAGGTTTGACTTTTTTGTAAACATAGCGTGTGCTCAGATGCTTTGCAAATGGACTATAGTTGTTGGCAATCGAGTCACTGGAAAATTTAAAAAACAAAAAATGTGCTCATAAACCACTTTATCAAAGAGACAAGTCAATTGGCAATAGCGAGTTGGGAAAACACACCTTTCTTTTTCAAAATCGTAACTTTCATAAAAGATTGAATTACATCTATTTTTTTATACCTTATTTGTGAGAGTTAAAGCTAATACTTTCTCTTCAAAGAAATGGCATACCTGTGTTATGAGGCCATTCTATCTGCAGATAGCAAATAGCATCACTTGGAAACAAGACACACACACACACACCTTAAAACATTCAGCCCCTTCTAAAGATAATGTGTATCTAATATCCTCCTTCTTATCCATAATAACAGCCATGTTGCTAGGAGGTGGTACTGGGGGTAATTACCTTCCACTTTAGTAAAAACATTGACAATACAATAATTATTCTAAAAAAATTCAAGAATGTATAGGTAGGAGAAGGTCATATTTTTAAGATATGCCTAAAGAAAGTGAACATGGTATAAAAAACTGAAATGAGGCAAAAGCTGTCTCATGGTGACCCAATTGCCATTACTCTCCCATTCTGCAGTAGCTGTTGCCATCACTGAACAAAAAATAATTTAGCATCAACAGAAAGGAGTCTTGAGGAGCCTTGGGTTGAAATAGCAGTTCATTATAATTGTAACATTCAGTCCATATTTGTCTTAAACACAACATCAAAAAACATAACCTGTATTTCGTTTGCACTTTATTTCTGCCCTTAAACTCTGACCATCTCATTTTCCAGGAATGAAATTAATAAACTTAACATTATCTAAAAAGAGAGCTAAGAAATGATAGCATGAAAGAAGCAAAATCAGGCAGATGAAAGGAAGGAAAGAATGTGCCAGGTGATTCAATTATATAAAGTAATAATGTTTATTTTCCTCTTCAAACCTCATCATGTCAATTTGATAGTTGAGAAACCAGCAAAATATATGATTCATATTTACCTAACACCTCTATGATGTTTTTCTTCCTTAACAGGTACTGCTTGGGTATATGCACCACAATGAATAATCTTTGGCTTTTCACTATACCCTAGCTGTTATATAAAATAATTTTTTTTAAATTACTACAAAAACAGTGGTTTTGAAGAGGAACAAATTTTTTAAATTTAAAGGGGAAAGATTTTAAACTGAAAGGTGAATTCTAGAATGAAAACTTAAGAATTGTTAGGGTTTCAGAATTGTTTATGAACATCTTTTTGTGTAAAGCACCTTCTGAATAACTTTCATTATTTCTGCATTAAAAAAGGCTGAAATATTTTACTTTAATTTCTAGCATGTTTGCATAAATCAGAGCAATAAATCTACAGGGTCAAATGACAGAAAACATGGCTGTAGAGAAAATTACAAAAAAAATTCTAAAATTTTCTAAAATTACCTTTGATCCTGCCAAAGGAGGGAGATGTGATAATATTCCAGGACCATGTTTTGCCTCTTGCTTTTGCTCTGGAAAAATTCATGATGATATTAAAAACAAAAGCTTATTACAAGATAGATTACAAATAACTGACAACTAATCTATGTTAATATGGAAAAGACAATTTCAAACTTTTCTAAAAAAACAAATAAAGAAAAATGTGGTTGGAAAAAGAGTGTAAAGAGTATAACATATTATATAATTAAAATCATGGGCAGAATTTTTCATGTCTTTCCCAGTTTTACCAAATTATAAAACTAACAACTAGGAAGACTTTTGCTTCATTACCATTTTATATTTTTTTTCTTGACATTCAATGGTGCTTTGAGAAATCAAATTGTCCCTTTTGACTTCAACCAGGAACAAAAACCATAAATTTTATTGCCTGATGCAAGATTTCCAACTAAATCATCTTTCTATACAGAGAATAATTCCCAGGGGGGGCTTATTTGAGATGGAGACATATTCAATAGTTGATCTTATCTAAAAAATGGCAAGACTGGTGACCTTAAAAATCAAATCAATGAAAAAGCTCTTAGAAAATATTACATGATATTTATATGGTAATTTCCATAATGCAGAAATCATTGTAAGGATATCCAAATCAATTGAATGTTTTTTCTGTAAGCATTATAAGTGGGGCATATATGCAAGAAAAGCATAGCCAATACTTCTGATGATTTAGAGATGAGATTAATCAAAAGGTGTTTGAACAAGATAGGAGGGCTTAATTGAATTATTATGGTAAATTCCATATTTTATATTTACATTTTGACTCTGAAGGTTTCAATACTGCTGCTTAAAAACATGATGAAAATTTTCCTGCCCTCATCCACATTAAGGGCACCTTTCATGGAAGTTCAAATTAGTATACCACTTAATATATGTTGCTGTTACCACAAACCATTGAAATTAGAGCATTACACTTTATTCTTGATGCTTCTTTACTGATATGAAAAAATTACATTACATTTATACAAAATAATGGTCAGAAAAATGATATTAATTTTCTCAACGTGTCTCTTCTTTTGGAGTAGAACTTGCAGTATTCTATTATCAACTTGAAATTTCAGGTTGGCAATGAACTTATTTTACATTCAACATCTTATATAGATTTCTGCAAAATATGGCAACATTTTGACAGAATTTGATATTTCATATCAAATAAAAGAACAAATTTTTACACCAGAGTCTTTCTGCATACCAATGGTGGATAAAAAGAGGTTTATATGTGGCATTTTTCACAGTTGTAATGATATTTAAGAGTAGTCATACTTCTAGTTTAGCCTGTCCAAACTAATTAACCATACTTAACTTACTATACATTAATATGCTTTTATGTGTCTATTTTTCAATTATTACCATATATTTACTCTAGCACTTTTGTTTGTCTTCAACCCATATAGGGATTGGCAAAAATTGATTAAGGCCTAGGCAATAGGGGATATTTCAAAATGCCGAATAAAGTAATGGAAGGAATTTGATAGATGTTTAATGCCATAAAAATGATGTAAAGCACGGAATAACAACAAAACCTTTTGCTAATGTACATAAGGTACAAATATACAAGTGTACAAATTTTGAAGCAAAATGATCAATGGCACTTGAATTGGATACAGACTATTTATTTGGCAATGGAAGGAGGGATAGATTTCCTAGAATAAAATCTTTATGGGAGATTGTAAATTCTATCTCAATGCCCCTATGGTGCTCAACTCACTGCACCCAAAGAGGAAAAGTATCAACTTTTGCTCCAAGAAACTGGTGTTGTAAGCTTAGAAAAGGCACCCCCTGTGAGATGAGCAATGTTAAAGTAATTTATAGATATTTTTTATGCTAATGTTGGACCAGAAATTAGAGAGAAAATGTAATAATAGAGATATACTGGTGTCAAAATTGTCCATGGTATTGTCTGCCACAGATCTGTGGTGTCAGGCCCTGATTCTAGTATAGTGACATCAGCTACAAACCATGTTAAAACTCAAGACTTGTTAGCTTAATCAAAGGAGTTCATAATTCAGTTGTTTTGATAAAGTTTTGTATCTAAAAGTATTTCTAAAGATAGAATGTTAAAAATTTAGTAACTGCTTTACTATGTAGAAAAAGAAATTATAAAATATGGACCTGTTTCAAACCAAATGAATATAACCTCCAACTATGATGATGTATTTTTAGTTCAATATTATCATTTTATTTCAAAACAATAATGAAGCTAGATATTTCATTTGCCTACGCTTATTTTTGCAAACAATGAATCCCTAAAAAATTACGTATTTTCTTTTGATCAGGATCAACACGGTGAACAAATGGTTCATATACAAATGAATCTCACTAAAGATAACTCAACACATCAGGACAAGTAAGAGTGCAGGATCAAAGCATGGCTCTCTGGCTTAGAGAAATGGTACAAAGGCTAAAGCCATTTTAATCGTCTTATATCAAAAATTGTTGATTGATAAAAACGTCGTATGACAGCGCGTAAGTTAAGCTGCAAGTAAAGACTGAGACTTGCGCCCTCCAGCTCTTTGTCTCTCGCTTCTTTAAATCCTATTATATAATTTCCAATCATTCTAATCCTAACTTTAAAGAAATCTTTAAATCATAATTGTGGCAATCACGTTCGAAAAGAACTGACGGGCCTAGCCATTTCTAACCTAATTGGATCTCAGGGTTTAAGAATCTTTCAGCAAAGTTAGGATATTTACTTTAAGCTGCAAATGCGTATTGTTGGGAGTATTAGAATACTTGGCTTACCTTCAATTTTTCTAGATATGTAAACATTCTCACACTTGCATTGTGCGTAACCCCTCAAGGGTCTATAGAAATAAGATAGTTTTCTAAAACAAATTACCTATTCATCTCCATGGTAGCATGCTTTGAACTCCGCATCGCAGCGAAATTCAAAACAAACATGCGCTGAAACATTCTGATGTTTAGACTACTGTGGAGGCGAAAAGTGGAAAAGAAGCCCTACTTCTTCCGGTTCAGAGGGGCGGGGCATGAAGGGGTCAGCTACGGATATAGTGCCTAAGGTTACGCGCAAAGGATTGAGAAGGCTCGTAGTATATATTACTAGCTGTGGAGTAACTGAGATGGTTGGATTTGCCTGATGGCACCTCGCTCTTATGGATGCTGGAAACGCCCATTTTTCAAAACAAATCTTAAAAAAAGCTATGCCATTGGCTGTTATTGGCTTGCAGTAGATTGGCAGTTTTCTTTTATGGTAACTTTGTGATGATTGGAGGGTGGGGTCGACTGCCCCCTTGCCCCCTCTCTTTGCACTAGCTTTTTCTGATTCTTTATGACTCGTTTGTAAAGCTGGTAAAAACTGTGAAAACAAGAAATTACCGAGAATCACCATGTACTTCTCAATACCCCCAGTCATTAGAAGAATTCCTCGGTGGGAATGAATCAATGCGCATGCTAAGCATTTGATTTTTATTGATTTGAAGTCTACATTTAGAATAATGCAAAGTACCAAACATATAACGATCTGATATAAAATAATACTTTATTTGATTGGGTAAATTTTGCTGGAGAAAAAACATAACAGAGCACTTGGTATATCACTCGAGGAGCGCAAAGCAGTTGACAAAACCATGTTTGTAAACTAACTGAGATATGGTTTTACATTTCTCGTTGTTTTTAGACCCCGTTTACACGGGCAACGTAAGATCGATCCTAAACTGGAGCGGAACAGCCTTCCATTTACACTAGAAAACTCGATATGGATCCGCTGTCCTATCTGGTGTAAATGGGCGAAAAAGATGGGGTCGATCCTTGGTTTGCAAGGATAGGAAACGAGGCTAATGAATTATTCAACTTACTCCTGTCTCTGAACATTGGCACAACCTGCAAAGTGCCATGCCACGACCACGCACTCAGGGTACAACGCTGTGTTTTTGAAAACAGCTATCATACGACAGCAAATTTTGTCAAGGAGCCCTGATTTACTATGGACAGGATATTCTAGAAGTGCCATGCAACTGAATGTTTGTTTCTAATGCATATTCGTGTTGCTCTTTCTTATAATATCTGCTTCCTGTTTTTAGAGTCTGAACAGCCTTTAGACAAAATTTCGAAATTTGTATCGTACTTTTTTCTAAAAATCGGGACAGAATAATGGCGGTCCTTCCTGTTGCAGTAATTCTTTTGACAATGAAAGTGCTTGATCGATTCAGCTTCGGAAGCAAAAAAATTTCTTCAACTTAGGTGTGTGCTAGATTGGTGTCACTAAACAGGATATTTTACAAACCAACTTCCATCCGACGTAGAGGCACTGAAAGGGAAATAACCATACCATACATTGGGGAAGCGGGGGATAAGCACCAAAAATTAATGTAATTGTGAAAAAAATAGCCGATGGAAAAAAACATGGCAAAAGTGTTGTTAAAAATTAGATCAAAAAAGCATTCGTGAGAGAACATTTCAATGTATCTCCTGTTTATGCTTTCTTGTGAAAATCAAATGTAAAAGTAAGGTAAGTGACATTGGGTCACCGTGTCAAAACATTGCAAGAAATTCTAAGAACTAGAACTAACAAGTCAAAAAGATTAATTGAAAATTTAAATACATAGTTTCAAACCCATTCTCAACGTGAAAAGATACATTGCAAAAAACACGAAAGCCTAAATACAAATAATGTCAATTGTTCATTTGGTTTTTCATTTAATATTTTATTGAATTTGAAGCGAGAAAATACGGGAAAGCAAGAAGTAGTCAGCAATGCCAGGGTGGGTCTTGTTCTAAAACCGGATCAAAGTCGCCTTAGAGTACTACAGGGAAATAATAAACTAATGCCGGAAAAGAACAATCGTTAAACATGCAATATCTGGTTTGTCATTAAATAGCAGAGCGAGCGTATACAGATATGCGATAATCTGTGAACATCTGCATTCCAATGTTAATGAAAACAAATTCATAGAAGATGGGGATAATCATGGCCACAGTTGAGATTATCGTCCTAAACATTTCGTGCGCTTTGCGGGGCGACCAGGATTATGGTATTAATAATCGCAGATTGTCGTTGACGCAAGGAGACGATACAATGTTAATCGATCAACGACGCTCACAGATTGTCGCTGATCTCTGACCCGGTTAAAATTTAATGAAAACCAGGCTGAAGAAAAAATCACAGCGAGCGATAATAGTTATGCGGCATATGCCGTCTGGTAAGACCTGTAAGAATAAGTTTTCATACAAAGCTATTCAGACTATACTAGACAGAATATGAATACATAGCTTCAGCACAGATGTAAATTACCCTTGCAGCTTTCCAATACGTTATATCCAGGTAACTAATAAGCAGTTTTGTCTACAGCAACAAAGTGTAATTCTAAAGTCTAGATAATTATTCTAAATTCAAGCAATCTCTAGCAAACAACAGCAATAAACTCTAAATATTCTAATTTCTACCTTCAAGAAAACATAATTCTATTACTTTCTTCTCAGTTTAGAGAAAATTGATTTTCTTTTAGAAAGATCAGATCCATCAGTACTTTTTAATGATATTTGATCTGCTGATTGTTGTCTTTTAGACTTAAAAGATTTCAAAATTCCTTTCTTGGACTCTTTACCAGAATATGACAGCTCTTCAACAGAACCACTGCAACGGTTCACTTTAGAACAACTCCCAAATTGCTTTTCTTTAGACCCAATAACCAGATTTTCATCAGAGGAAAATATTTCAAATGATAACATATCTTTACTACTTTCAGATTCGTTAAAGTTTATTTCATCTTTTCCTCTTGCCAGAGTTTCTTTAGAAATCAGCGTATTTTCGTCACTGACCGGCAAGGACAAGCTCCTTACATGCGTGTGATCCATCGTGGAAAATGCAGGTGTGGACTGGCTCGAGTGAAAAGTGCACCTTGAACCATTAGAGGGACGCACTTCCGGCTTGGTCTCATTTTGGATGGATAAATCTTCAACTTCACACGACTGGCTTTCTGGTGCACAGATCGACTCTGCTCTTTCGCCCTGCAAGCTTCTCAAATCATATTTCGAATCAGTGCAGCCTTCCAAAACACTTGAATCTATCGATGCTGACTTCCCAAGTTGTTCAACCAGTGAGCTGCATTTCAGAATTTCTCTCTTATCCTGAGCGCTTACAATGCAAGCTGGCGAAGAACGACCACTAACCGAGCCTCCATCACTTGCTAATGAAGTGTTCCTCTGGAAAGTTTTCTTCAAATCTGAGTCGCTCTTCAACGGATTTTGTTTAAAATGCACACTGCTCCTTGGAGATTCCAGCTGACCGTCCCATGAGTACATTATTCGACGGCTTGGGTCTGGCAGCGAGCCGATACCACCCAGATTTGCACAAACTGCCAAGGCCTGTGCAATGGAACTGCGACGGGTATGTTCTTCGACTTCCACTGAGTGGCCTAACAGACCATCGCTAACGATGGGGAAGCCACATAGCTCCTCGATCATTCGCCACCTTTGCTGACGTTCTTGAAGGTCGTTAGTCACCTCAGCAAGTGCACTCCTGTTATATTTGGAAAACAGTCAAATCAGTACGGCTTTTAGGTCTCAATATATTGTACCATTAGATTAAAGAAAAAATGTGGTTTGGGTCATAAAATTTTTCTTGAAGTCGAGCTGGTTAGAATGTTTTAAAACCTTCAACACTGTATGAAATATGCATATTCCAAGTAAATACAAATTTAATGCTGCCGTCAAGTCGAATAGTTATCAAAACAATTTTTTAGATGTTGGATGCGATGTTGGATGCGATGTTGGATGCGATGTTGGATGCTTTTGGCTATTTCCAATAATAGATAGCTGCATAAAACAAGAATTCTGTATGTTTAGTATACAATACTTCATTAACAGAAAATTAGAATTCCAAAAAGTCGCCAAAATGCAATACAAACCTCGCTTGTAAAATTTTTTGATCTACATCATCGATTGTTTGACCATGAACAAGGCGCAAGGGTCCAAAGAAAGAGCTTCGTTTCTTGCGAATTTTGTCACACTGCGAAAGTAAGAACAATTGAACTCAAAAACGTATCCAGCTGGACTAAAAATAGCAACAAATGTGCCAAGAGCAGGTAAGACATACTAACTTTGAATGCAGATACTTAAAAGTTTTAGGCGAATTTTCCATAAATGTTTCTGTTTAAATTCATTTTATATCAATCCTTTGATTTCTATGTATTACTGGCTCCGGCGGATCTAATTATGACCCATGCTCTGCCCCATATCACATTACTGCAATTTTATACTCAAAGAGGCCTAACCTCAACATAGCAGTCTGAATGAACATAAATAACTTACCGCGTCTTTTGCTTCCTCCATTTGTTTGAGAGCCTTGGATTTCTTGGCAATAAAATGTTTCGATTCCCTTTTATACGTAATATGCAGCCATTGTTGAAGAGATTTGGGTGATTTAGATGTAACTGATTCCAATTCAACTTCCGCTTTTTGTAACGCTCGCCTGAGCTCGTTTAATTCTTGTTCGACCAACATCATTTTAGTCCTCTCTTCCTCGTGATACGTTCTCTCCATGTGCAACCTCTCAGCCTCTTTCTAAAAAGGTAAACAAAATAACACTGACTGATTATTGGTGTAAGAAACCATGAGGAGTATCCAGGGCAGGGCACATCCACTTGAAAACTTGAATACGACAAAAGAGCGCCGTGGCATCTAATCTGTTTGTAAATCTTATTTGTAGGACATAGGGGAGTGTCCTATGTGTACAAAATTTGTTTACTTTGTCTTTTCGAAAATACCTCCAACACGCTCAAAGCATAAAGCAGGGAATGAAAACCAATCCGACCATGCGACCGGGCGGACGCAGGAAATTCTAAACTCTGCAGGAAATTCTTAAAATATGCTCTTTTCTATAAAAAACACAAAGATAAAACAAATGTATCTTATGTATGTGCCTTGTACAGGTTCAAAAGGTTCTTCTACCTAAGAACCCTTGAGAATGTTTTTAAAAATTTTTGTTTGATAAGAGTTGATAGCTTTTCATTTGTTTTTAGGATCTTTGCTATAATTTGCAAATTTCTTGAAATTTCGCAAATCTTTGCTATGTTGATCCATGCAAGACCCCTACTGTATATTGACTATCACAGTGATTTTTACTGATTGAAGCAAATTTTCTTTTATGCTTTTTGCAATTGATTATTTCTCAAAATTCTGACCTATATCTTAATCAAATAGTTTGTTCGAAACTTCCATGGATACAAGAACAGCATATTATTAATCTTTTAAGCTCATTTTTTTAATGCTGTTTATTTTATGCTTGCCTCCATCTCCCAAAGAAAGCATCTACCCCGAATTTGATCTCCATTTGTACTTTTCCACCTGCATTCTAGCAAACTTTAATATTTTGAGTGGATATTCTCACTAGTTAGGGGGTAAATATCATAGCTAAGCCCCTATTCCAGATCAATTTAGGCCTTCGTAAAAAAATGATTTTTAAATGGTAGTAAACTTGCTTAAAATTTCATAAATGTAGCTTATGATTTCATAAAACTGGTGAAAAATCATTATGGCTTTTAGACAGTGACCCTTTCTTCTTTCATCTTTACATTCTCGCAGGAAATTTTTGCATGATATTTGCCCGGTCGCATGAAGGAAACAAAAAGCGTGAAAATCGACATTTTTGGAAGCAGTCCATGTACAAGCAAAACACAGGAGAGGAATTCCATTTTTCATTTTTCGCTGGCAGTCTTGCTGAGCCATCGCTAAATGACATTTAGATTCAAATAATGCGAAAACCTGTGTTGAGTCGTGTTGATTTTTTTATCCATGGTCAACGACTCAAATCCGATCAAACCAGCATATGAACGTTTCGCTTACAGTCATCTAAACTCCCGGTGATGCAGTGCAACAAAACCTATACGAAGTGCTAGGCGACCTAATTTCCTTTATGCAATATCTTACTTGACGATTTCCCGTCTGAAAATTTCACTAGAGCTACTAAGCTATCTTTAAATTATGTGAGGCAAACCCTTCTTATTTGCTATGGATGGTCTCTATTAAGTGTTGATATGTCAGTAAAAATAAAACTAGGAATTTAAGTAATTTTGGACTAGGTAAAATAAAAGAATTTTTATACAACGTTGAGCTACGCTCGAAACATCGTATAAAGATTCCTTTTCCTTGTACAATTTAACTTAAATTCTTAGTTTTATTCTATTACATTGTGCATTATGCAATCTAGTTTATAGATATGTTACTGTACGAGAATATTCCTAAACTCGTCCCCATCCTTTGACAAACAAAAATGCTTTGATAAATATGCCCTTAAATGGCCTAAACGAAATTTGAATTGATAAACATTTGCTTACTTTGGCAACTTCTATTTCCTCTCTGAGCTTCTCTTCGACGTCTCTCTTACTCTGCACAGTGGAAATGTGTTCCAGCTCCGCCTTCATTAACCTAAAATATCAAAGCAAGTTAACTTGCTACAAAAATGCATTCCTCTATATAGATTCACGTGCTGGTGCAAGTCTCGGTCTGTACACTCTCGTTTAGTGGTGTACACAAGATCATCCGAGAGATCTAAAGAAAAACCCTCTCCTTTGACTTCTATGTGAATCAATTATACCCTCTCCCTGAGATTAATAAAATATAATAATGAACTTTGTACAAAAAAACCAAGTGAACAGGAGTTCCTGCCCTGCTACACTATGATTCTCTCACACGATTGTGGCTGTACTTAAAACTGTACTTATTCTAGAATGCTGAAGTTGTAGTTATATGATTCTTATTTTTATACGTTTATAGGTTTATCTAGAATAGCGATAATTGAAAGAGGAACATACTGTCAAAAAAACTGCCAGCATTTTTATTATGAGTTGCAAATGACCCTTATTCATACAAAAGTCTTTTCTCCCAAATGTTGAATTGAGGTGGTGCACTTTCTGAAGAACTTATGGGTTTCATAATTATATAAATGGGCAAAACACATGCACAGATTTAATTTTATGTATCAGATGCTGTCATATTTTCAGCAAAAGGAATCTAAATTGGTTTTAAAAAACGCCGTATTTCAGTGATTTTTTCTAGATTCCCAAAGGTACCCCTTTTTCAAAGTTTCCCTGTCCTAGATTTGAGGAAAAAATCACCCCTTTCTCAGAGGTTTTCCGAATGAGCTTGGGTACACCCCCGAATGAGAGTGGACACGCCGAGGTGCAAGCGAGCGTACTACTTTCGCCGGGGCTGCTTGGGTCTACATGCGGTTTTTTTTATTAAATTCATCTGGTACGAAGAACTTGCAAAACCAATCAGAAGTAGCACGGACGTACAACAGTTGCGAGGCAGCACTTTTCATTCCTTTTTTGTCACTTTAGTAGCCACATACCAAGATTTTTCAAAAATCGAACAGGCGTGGGCGATGCAGCTGGCGATTTAGCACCTAATTGCAAACATTTCAACGTGGATAAACCAGCATTGTGGATAAAGATGATAAGATGGCGTCTTCAACACTGAAACTATTTCGAAAAAGGCAATTTGGTAGACGCATGCTGATTAAGTAACAGAACTACACTTCAAGGAGCCTGTAAAACCTCTTTGTCCAGCAAATCTGGGCATGAATTATGCAACATCATATTTCCATGAAGCTTCCATTTTGCAATACACATCGTTTTAAGAAACAAAGGTCTATATTGAAATATTTATACTCATTGTTTCTTGAGAGCTTCTAAATATGACTTCATTGATTTTAACATTAGGTTCCTATATCTGCTTTTTCATAATTTCTTAACAAAAAACATTCTAGCGATGGTTTTTGTAGCTGCAAACAGTGCATGACGTCAATGATTCTCATTTTCAAATAATCGAGACATTTCTGTCAAGAGATTCGCTTTTTTGCTTTCGAGCGTTGATGTTTCTTAACTTTTTCTGGTTGCCTAGTTTACGCTTCTTGTAGCAGGTTTCTTACTCCAAAAAAAGGTGTATAGCACCAATGAAGGGCTACGATTTTATCCTTCAATGTTTATCTCACATTTAGGTTGAGCTTTCTGTTGTTATAACATTCTCTAAAAAATTTTCAGTAGAAGGCTTCTTCAAGAAAAGCATACGTGTGACTAGACATCGTAAAAGCCTGCATCCTTGGAAGCATCGATAACTTTTACAATGGTTTATGAAAGGGGCAACATCTTACAATGGTTTATGAAGGTTGGCTACATCTTACAATGGTTTGAGAAGGTTGGCTGCATCTTACCATGGTTTCTGAATGTTGGCTACATTTTACAATGGTTTATGGAGATTGGCTACATTTTACAATGGCTTATGAAGGTTGGCTGCATCTTACAATGATTTATAAAGGTTGGCTACATTTTACAATGGTTTATGGAGGTTGGCTACATTTTACAATGGTTTGAGAAGGTTGGCTGCATCTTACCATGGTTTCTGAATGTTGGCTACATTTTACAATGGCTTATGAAGGTTGGCTACATTTTACAATGGTTTGAGAAGGTTGGCTGCATCTTACCATGGTTTCTGAATGTTGGCTACATTTTACAATGGTTTATGGAGGTTGGCTACATTTTACAATGGTTTGAGAAGGTTGGCTGCATCTTACCATGGTTTCTGAATGTTGGCTACATTTTACAATGGCTTATGAAGGTTGGCTACATTTTACAATGGTTTGAGAAGGTTGGCTGCATCTTACCATGGTTTCTGAATGTTGGCTACATTTTACAATGGCTTATGAAGGTTGGCTACATTTTACAATGGTTTGAGAAGGTTGGCTGCATCTTACCATGGTTTCTGAATATTGGCTACATTTTACAATGGTTTATGAAGGTTTGTCACATTTTACAATGGTTTATGGAGGTTGGCTACATTTTACAATGGTTTGAGAAGGTTGGCTGCATCTTACCATGGTTTCTGAATGTTGGCTACATTTTACAATGGTTTAAGAAGGTTGGCTACATCTTAAAATGGTTTATGAAGGCTGGCTACATCTTACAATGGTTTATGAAGGTTGGCTACATGTTACAATGGTTTATAAAGGTTTGCTGCATCTTACAATGGTTTAAGAAGGTTGGCTACATTTTAAAATGGTTTATGAAGGTTGGATACATCTTAAAATGGTTTATGAAGGTTGGCTACATCTTAAAATGGTTTATGAAGGTTGGCTGCGTCTTACAATGGTTTATGAAGGTTGGCTACATCTTTATATAGTTTCTGAAGGTTGGCTACATCTTACAATGATTTATGAAGGTTGGCTGCATCTTAAAATGGTTTGTGAAGGTTGGCTGCATCATACAATGGTTTATGAAAGTTGGCTGCATCTTACAATGGTTTATGAAGGTGGGCTATATCTTACAATGGTTTGTGAAGGTTGGCTACATCTTAAAATGGTTTATAAAGGTGGGCTGCATCCAGGTACATTTTAGGTTTTCGACAGCAGTGTTTGTTGATTGTTGAAGGATCTTTGCCGAGCATTTCTACACAAATTCATCTGTTTTAAACAACTACAGAATGAATTTATTCTCTATTATTGATCAAAATCTTATATGGATGGCTGGAATAAATGTTATATTTTTCACAGCCTGTCTATGAAGTCTTTTCCCTTAAGACGTCCCGATGATGTTTTTGAAATTTGTCTTGATCTTTACGTACAAGGAAGAATAACCTAGGGCACAGGGGTGTAACATATTCCAAGTTATCGAGCAAAAGTTTACCAGATAATTTAGAAACAAAACATGTTTGCGATCTCATCATGCCGATTGTAATAAAGTTGAGGCAGGATCCTACTAATGCGTAAATAGCATACTTCTCTTGAGTGCTCTTCAAATTATCCTCAGCCTGCTGCATAAATTCTACATCTTTTATCATCTGCTCAATCTGTTTCTTCGCATACTTTCTTTCGTTGAATGCATAGATGCAAGCCAATGTCATCAGAATGACAATCACAGTTAATATGATATCTTTCACGTAACCTGAAGAGTAACATCAAAATACTTAATAATTAGAAATTTATTTATAGTATGTTCTTTAGATGGGGAAAACATAAACTCTCCACATACGTATCTTGAAGATTGTTTAAATAAACTTAAATATATTGGGTAAATGAACGTAAACAGGATCCAATGCTGCAATAAGCTTTAACGGTAAATTTGTACTAATGCATTGCATTGAAACGTAAATTTCAGAAAAACCTCCCTAAAATCTATAAATTTTCTTAAGAATTACCTTTCCAAAGAAAGGTAATAAGGGGAAAAGATTTACGTAAAAAAGCAAAGCTACTGAAGATAACCAGCTTAAACTTTAAAAGATATGTAGCTTGACCTTCCAGACTAGAGGGTGGAGGGTCATGAGCAGTAAAATTTACCAACGAAGACATTGATAAAGAGAAATTTATGTGCTATTTCACCTACTGACAGACGATTTTACCAACAAACCAGGGAATTTTTGCACCAACTTAAAATTTACCGACAAACTCGTGAAGAATTTCACCCCTTTCACCAAGCCGCCCCTCCCCAGCTAGCTACGCCCCTGCAGATATCCGATTTTGAGAAAAATTCAACAATTGGCTTCTCTAAAGTAATATCAACATCATTGTAACCAATTCAAACATAACTTTTCACCTTTGAGTAAATATTTACATTTCACTATGGAAATTATCTGGCGGTAAACTTTCAAAATACCAATAATTTTCCCAGCATACCTTTTGTCCTTGGTGGTCCAAACAGAACAATATCAGTGGCACATAAATAAATCTTTTTACGATGTTTCACATTAGATATGCCAAGATCGATGTAGAGACCTGAGGATTCATTCGTGAATCTAAAAAAAAGTTTCAATGTATCTATCTTCAACTGATATACTGCATATTTCAAAATTGAGATACCCAAGCGATCTCTATTTTATAGAACTCGATGTGTTTACTTGGTTAAAAGTTCCGCTCCGCAAACCATTGAAGGTGGGTTGTCAGAAAAATATTCAGAAATTATAAAGCAAAGGTCTTTTCTAAGCTAGCGGACAAGAAATATTTGAAAAAATCGAAGAAAAGCTATCAATGTCTTTAGATGTTTGTGAAGTTACTTCCTTAGATATGAATAAGAACGGGTTGATTTCTTCAAATAACTTAGGTAAATTTCGAATCTGTAGAGACCAGCAATATATTACGTAATTTCAAAAATGGTTCGAATGAACGAACGCTAGAGTTATTGGGGGCTCGAGCTTTGGGGAGGGTACAAGGAGAATGCAAAAATAGTTCATTTTATCGGAGGCTCAGAGTTTTAGGGAAGGCGAAAGTTAACGATAGTCTGAGCATATAGGGGAGCGTTCCAGAGGAAGGAAATACAATTAATGTAAACAAAAGTAACATTGACACAGGTCAAATCGACTGTTTTGATTACAGCGACAATGCGTGTATGATTCTTTTTGGACAATTGGTTGTTGGCGCATTTTGGACAATCTAACTTGTCAGCAATAATCTAATTTTTTTTTCAACCGACATGAAGACAGGCAACATTCGATACAATTTTGCTCATTAGGATGGCATACGAATTTCCGAAATTCGACTAAAAATCGGTAAGTAGAGACTGTAACGAAGAATTATAAAAAGCTCTATCAAGACCGCGGGCTTATCTAGTTTTGAGGCTCCAGAAGAGCTTAATATAGATGGGGCTTAAAGAATGATAGGGCTTATTAGAGAAAGGGCTTGTTTAAAAAGTTGGATTATGAGATCACGTCTACGAAGTTGAGATATGACTCCACAGCTTTCATGGGTGCACTGAGAATACGACTCCACAGCTTTCATGGGTGCACTGAGAATACGACTCCACAGCTTTCATGGGTGCACTGAGAATACGACTCCACAGCTTTCATGGGTGCACTGAGAATACGACTCCACAGCTTTCATGGGTGCACTGAGAATACGACTCCACAGCTTTCATGGGTGCACTGAGAATCTACTTTGCCAAACTATTGTTGCTTTTCAAACTTCTGGGGTGCGGAGGCAGATTCCTCAGATTCACATAAACTGAACTAAGGGTGCTTGGATATGAACTGGTTGCTGTAAGAACCACAACACTGTTTCTGTCAGTCTCAAATGCAGTCAGAGGAAATAGGGGCAGAACTAAGCAGATCTCATTTGACTTGAGAAATATCACGTGCATGCACATAGACTGGAAATATCACGTGCATATTTTTAATAATCGGCTACTAAAATCTTGCATTTATCTCTAGCATAATGTTGTTAGAGATTTCGGGTGGGGGCTAAATAGAGATGAGGGCCAAATGGAGGGTGATTGCGTCACATTTTTCCTCCGAACAGAGGTAGGGCTAAAGGGCTTTTACGATAAGCAACTTTGACACAGACTAGATTATACATATTAAATTTTGCTGCAAAAAAAGCTACAGTACAAGAGAAAAGGTTTGTGCAACGCAAGGCCTTACCTCGGTAGCATTCTGCCATCGATATTACGCTTTGAGAAACTGTTGGCATATTGCGGCAGTCCAACAATGTTATTTAGCCATCCTATTACATCCTCTGTTGTCCAGTTGTGAACTAGGGTTTCAAAAGATAAGTTCTTATGAAAACACTCGATTTTGTAATAAGAAGCAAAAATTAGAGAAAATATCTAAGTTAATCGATTCCACAAGGCCCCTTTTTGTTTCCCAGGACTCATGCGAGTGAGTAAGCTATGTTGTCCGCGTAAGTCCTCTCATCAAATTCTCTATGAATTTAGCTTGGGGCCTGTGAAGATACATTTCTTTTTTTGTCATCTAAGATTGCTATGTCTGTCATCAAAGATTGCTCCAGTCTGGTGTCATCTATGTAGACTTTCATTCAACATTATTCATTCCAAAACCAATTTGGCAAAGAACTACAAATTGTACATTGGCGTAGTGTGAGCGAAAAACTAAGGCATGCAGTAACATATAATATATGTTTGTGTTGAATAAATGTAATCGTAATTTCAGCTTCTCAAAAATACAACCGGTAATTAATGATAATCGTGATAATAAATTTTGATTTCGAAAGAAACAAATCATTTGCACTCTAATTCTAATCAATCAAGGTGTCTATTCTCTGCATCAGAGGTTCCGACACAGGTTGGGAAGCGAAGGGGGGGGGCAAGGGAAAAATTATCACCCATGCGAAAGTTTTTTAAAAAAAGCTTAATTGTTTTGCAAATTTTTCAGAATAACTTCTAGTGCTAAAACTGTTTCGCAAAAGATCTTATTCAAATTCATATTCGTCAAGAAAAGGCATAACCTAATACCCACCTAATGTAAGAATTTTTGATGCTATAATGCATCTGGGGATTCCCGCCGCAAGGAGGAGCTCTCCACATTGCGAAATTGTTAACACACTGCAAAGCCTAATAGTCAGGGCTGTTAGTCCCAGATTTTGAAACAGTTGTGCAAAATCGGATACCAGCATGAAACATCGTCCACAAGGGTAGTTTTGGGCACAGACCCCAGCTAAGAAATGCTCCCAACTGCTATTTTTAGACCCCAAAATCATTTATTTTAATAATATCGCTGCTAGTAGTGATATCAGCATGAAAATTGGAAGAGATTGGCAGTTTGATATGCTCAAAAAGATAGGATGCAGATCCCAACTGATAAATAACCCCAAGTGCTATTTTTAGACTTTCACTAGGTCCCAGGCCCCAAAAACGTTCATTCTAAATATGTTGCTGCAAGTTGTGATGCCAGCGTAAAAATTGGTAGAGATGGGTAGTTTGATATTCTAAAAAAGATAGTATGCAGAACCCAGCTGAAAATTGCCCCAATTGCGATTTTTAGACTGTTGTACTAGTTCCCAGGCCCCAAAGCGGTTTTTCTACTACAACTAGCAGCTGTTCGTTGTGATTCCAGCATGAAGATTGGTAGATATGGGCAGTTTGATATGCACAAAAAGATAAAATGCAGACCTCAACTGATAAATGCCCCCAAATGCTATTTATAGACCGTTGTACTATGTCCCAGGCCCCAAAAGCGGTTTTCTACTACAACTAGCAGCTGCTAGTTGCAATACCAGCATGAAGATTGATAGAGATGGGCAGCTTGATATGCTCAAAAAGATAACATGCAGACCCCAACTGACAAATGCCCCCAAATGCTATTTATAGACTGCTGTACTATGTCCTGCTCATTTTCTCCTCTCATAGTTAACAAAGATGACAATAATAAGCTGTGAGAGTTGTTAGAATTGAAGATGCTTTTATGTGTAATGGTTTCAGAAAGTTGTTCCCTGCAAATCATCAACTATTTGGCAAGGCTTGCGCTCAGGTCTACCACATGGTCTGTAAATTCTAACTATACTGCCAAGCCTTTTGACTTGAATTACAGAATGCAGATCATGGCAGATAGACTTTGACGAAACTTTTCTTTTTTTAACAGTTACAAAATAAAGAAAGGAAAATAATTTGATGTGAGATGATGTATCACGCAAACAATATTCGCAAAAAGCAGTTTATAGGCAGAAAAATGTAGTGGATTATCAAACATTTGGGAATGCTTGCGCTCAGGCCCACTGTAAGCTCCAGTCTGGAAATTCTCATTTCTCTCAGAAGCTTCTCTCGAGCTGCACTGAAGCTGCACTGGGGCCTCGCATGTTTTTCTCATTTTAGACAGGCAAAAAGAGTGATGTGGATGGGCTTCAGTTTTTCATTTTTCGAATTTCACCATTTTTAGCAATCTGTTTACTTGGAAGAATAGCAAATTTGCATGTTGGCGCTGGAGTTTCACTGCATGCTGCTCATCACCAGAAAGAGAAGCCAAATATTGCGGAAAATATTATGCACTGACTTTAACACTACAACGCATTAATTACCGGTAAAAGTATTGCAAGAATTTTAGAATTTGACTAGAACTTTTTATGCTTGTGCTGCAAGCGTAGCATACATAGACGCCACGCCAACTGACACTCATTTACCACACAAAAACGGAACTCTTGCAGTTAAGGGCGATTTATTTGCAATTCTACACTTTTTTCATAAAATCTCTCAAACTTGTTAGATCACTTTGCCACAAACAAAAACACTGCTAACAAAAGAGTACAGATTGTATTTAACAAACACAAACCTTTGCTCTGTTTCCAGCTATTCCACAAATCTTCGACCGATATCAAACTATCATTACCATGAAATTTTGAGTGTCTCTTTTTATCATCTAGATGTAGTTCATCTAACATAAACTGTGAAGAAAATAAAGAACATAAATAAGACAAAGCTGGATCAGATTTCTATATGCATTATTGTTGCAAAAAAACAGAGATCAAAGTATGTAAAAATGGCTGTAGCATCAGATGCTTTGACTGAAAACAAATTATACCTACAAGCAGAAAAAACAAAATCTTGAAATATACAATAATTTTGTTACAAAATTATTCACCTGTTATCAATAAAAAGCAGGTAAAATCTGAGGCAACAATAGGTTTTCTCCTCTCTTGAACCACAGTCTTTAATGACAAAACTCATAGTGAACAACCTAAATTTCCTTCCCAATAACAGCTTTGCAAAATTTTGCATGGTAAACCAGATTAATGCAATTCAGTAATTTTCACTTGAAGAAAGGCCCTAAAAACTTGACGATATAATTAAAAAATCAAAAAGGCCAGTCTAGAAAACAATAATATTGAGGTTTTTCAGACAGAGAGTCTGGCAAGCAAAATAAAGGCAATGCAAAGGACAAATAGTCCAAAGAGTTGGATACCAGCAATACAAGTCACATGGGGGCTTGAATTCCCTGGCAATTTTTGGGACAGTACACAACCACAAATCAGAGAATTTTAACATGGAGAAACAATATGCATTCTACATATAAGAAGTGGTAAATCAAAAAGGGCATTATTTGGCATTCATATATCAGGTCAATCTTAAAAACATTTGAAGGTCACTTTGACCCCCAAGAAGTCTTACTTTGCATCAGTGACCTATCCTGCTGCATGCTCATATTAATCTAAGTCTTCCAGTCTTAAAACAGCAAAACCACAGGGGAGGTGACCTTGGTATGAGGTGCTTCAAATCCTTAAACAGACCTTTTATCAGAATCCACCAAGTTCTATCAAATAGGTTTAGATAAAAGAATATTGATTTCCAATCCGTAAATGATCATTGATTATCCTAACCTCATTAGACTCTTGCAGGTTAACATCTCCATCTTGGTCATCGTCAAGATGCCTGTGTATTTCTTTTATTGCTTTAAGACTGTGCTCCTCTATTTCCTTATGTGACATCCCAACTTAAACAAAAAAAAGTGACCTTAAGTAAAATGCACATAAAAATTAAAATATCTTGATAACAATGAATGTAAATGTAAATAATGTATTGTGAACACACTTTGGAATCCCTTTTTTGCATACTGGAAGCAATTACATACACATTGTTAAAAAGATGCAAAACATTTCAAGAAAGTTGTCTTTGCCTTGTGAAAATGCTATGAAAAAAACTTACTTTGCAATTTTGTTGACTAAATTTAAAAGAAAATAATCCTTTCTTTGAGTACATAAAAAAGCAACATATCAAAAATTAACTTTGAATTTGGAATAAAATTGTACATAAAGGGGTCAGGTAAATAAATTGATGATGTTACAAGCATAGTCCTGTGATTAAACGATGAAGACTATGATAACAGGCCAGGCCCCAAAAAATGTCAATTATTGAATATATTGTCTCTCCAGGTACAATTTCTTTGCAATTCAAAGTTATACATGTGACCAAGTACTGTCACATACTAATTACTATTGTATCAGTGTTAAATAACCTTTATCCCTTATAAATATCAAAATTATTGGTGCCGACCCATGGAAAAATGAAACTTTTAATTATGTTGCCAAACAGTCTGAAGCAAAAACATTTCTTGGGTACTGCTTCCAAAAATCACAGCGAGAGAACCATCAATTTTTAGTTATAGGTAAATGTTTGTTAAATAAAAGACTTCTCTACTAGAGGAATCAAAACCTAAACCTAATCTTAATCAGTTTATGGAAAGAAAACAAGCTCAATGCAGATCACCAGATCTATTGTCTGAAACAAAATGGTGATCGAAGACTGTTTTCTACTTAATTAACAGTTTAAAAAATTCTAACCTGCCAAGGTAGTGTGATAGAGCAGTGCAGATGTTACAGATACCGTTCAAATTTTGAATAATTGTAGGCAATTTTCTAGGGTATATATTGAAAAGTTCTCCTTTTATTATTCTCAAAAAGACTCTCAATTTGATCTTTCTTTGGGTATTGCAAAGTTACATATATATTCTCTCTTGGAATAATTTTAAAAGCTTTTCCCCTTAAACAAGAAATATTTTTCTTTTGGTGTAACGAATGGGGATAAAATTTATGTGAAAATTATAACATTTCCCAATATTACATCAATCAAGATTGATATTAGATGGTTTGTTTACTGATAATAATCTTCAACATGAAACCTGGATAGCCAGAAAGAGTTTTTTTGCTCTATACACTTAAATTGCCCAAGAATGGTCCTTATTTAAAAAAGCAAGACACAATAACACATCCAATGAGAACTTCAACTTTAAGCTAAAGCGTCCATGTTAGTTCTTTGAAAATTGGATCACTGTTTAAATGTGTATCGCATCAAAATCTCATACATAATTTATTATAAATATCACAGTTTATTATGTTTATCAAATTATGCCATATTTAAACATAGATATTCATATCGTACTCTTTGTTATCGCTCTCCTGTCATGCATATATGATATATCATAGCAAAACGAAATACATTTAAAAACGAATAAATATCTGAGAATAACAAAAAATCAAAATAAACTGAAACAGAAGAATCAAAAACAGGAGCTAAGATCACAAATTACTTGAAGGACTTTGATGATTTCTGTATCATTTCGTTATTATTTTCACATAATTCCAGTACAAAGTTAGTTAATAATTCAAGCAGAGTAATGTTATAAATAATGAAAGCCAAAACGGAGTGTAATATGGTCGACAGTGATAAAACAATGCCGATTAATGATTTAAAACTAGAAATAACTGATCCAATACTCAGAATACCCAAAATGGTACTTACGGATTTTCTCACCAGCACCGTTACATGAACTCACAACCAAAGACAGGAAAATAACTGTTATCACATGCCATGAGGATGGAGGCATAACGCTCAGTTTCACCATTATTTTCCTTCTTTACACTTGCCTTTCAATTGCTTTATTCACCTTTCAAAAAGTATTTAGCAATCTGCGTCCCAAGTACAGTTTCAAGAACTTCAACATCGTGTTGCAGTCCCTTGACCTCGTTCAAAATGAACGGGTTATCTCGTCATAATTCCTTGCGCAGAACAGTATGGCATAAATATGTTAATTAGGAATCAGATGATGTTTACGACGGAAATAAAAACATATGTGATGCGCATTAAATGAAAATTGATGAATAAACGCCGGTGCTCTGTGAAAATTGTACAAAAAATGACAATAATCTCCCAGTGGTTCCATCTGGCCTCTACATTTCCTTCTTGTAGGCCAAGTATACATACCTATGATGCATGTTGTTGTTGCGGTGTGAAATAATCATAGATTACGGAAATAACCATAGAAATAGTAGCGCTAATATTTCTATGGAAATAACCCACAACTTTATCGTATCGAATCGTTTTCTCACGCAAACATGGGATTAGAACAAAAAAAGGGGTTGTTTTCTGAACTTTTCTCCTTGTTGAAGCGTGCAACTTGAATTATTTAACTTTCTACTCAATTTCTAGATAGAAAAAGCCCAAGACATGAAAATGATGAATAAAAACAGCAGTGGCGTAGCGTCTATGTATGCTACGCTTGCGGCGCAAGCGTAAAAATTTATAGACAAATTCTAAAATTCTTGCAACACTTTCAATGCATAACAATTTCCGCAATAAACGGCTTCTCTTTCATGTCATGAGCAGCATGCAGTGAACTCTAGCGCCAACAGGCCAATTGGCCCCAAATTGGCTATTTTTCCAAGTAAACAGATCGCTAAAAATTATGAAATTCGAAAAATCTGAAAAACTGAAGCCCCTCCACATCACTCTTTTTGCCTGTCCAAAATAAGAGAAACATGTGATGCTCCAGTGCAGCTTCAGTGCAACTCGAGAGAAGCTTCTGAGAGAAGTGAGAATTTTCCGGACTGGAGCTTGCGGTCGGCCTGAGCGCAAGCCTTCCCAAATATTTGATAATCCACAACATTTTTCTACCTATAAGCTGCTTTTTGCGAATACTCTTTGCGTGATACATCATTTCAAATCCAATTATTTTCCTTTCTTTACTTTGTGACTGTTGAAAAGAGAAAAAGTTTCGTCAAAGTGGGGTCAGAGTCTATTTGTCATGATCCGCATTCCGTAATTCAAGTCAAAAGGCTTGCCAGTATAGTCAGAATTTACGGACCAGGGCATGCGGTAGACCTGAGCGCAAGCCTTGCTAAATACATGATGATTTGCCGGGACTAACTTTCTGCAACTTTACACATGGAAGCATCTTCAATTCTAACAACTCTCACAGCTCACTATTTTCATCTTAGTTAACTATGAGAGTAAAAAATGAGCAGAAACTGTTGCTCCTGTTCGCTTAGGCTCTGCAGTGTGTTAACAATTTCGCAATGTGGAGAGCTCCTTCTTGCGGGAATCCCCAGCTTCATTATAGCATAAAAAATTCTTACATTAGGTGGGCATTAGGTGATGCCTTTTCTTGAGGAATATGAATAAGAATAAAATCTTTTGCAAAGCAGTTTTAGCACTAGGAGTTATTCTGAAAAGTCTTGCTAAACAATTGAGCTTTTTTTAAAAACTTTCGCATGGGTGATAATTTTTCCCTTGGCCCCCCTTCACTTTCCAACCTCTGTCGGAGCCTCTGATGCAAAGAATAAACACCTTGATTGATTAGAATTAGAGTACAAATGATTTGTTACTTTGAAAATCAAAATTTGCTATCACGATTATCATTAATTACCGCTTGTATTTTTTAGAAACTGAAATTACCATTACATTTATTCAACATAGCCGTATATTTTATGTTACCGCATGCCTAAGTTCTGCGCTCACGCTACGCCACTGAAAAACAGCAACTATGCAAACAATCACGCACAGCGGAGCAAGGGCTGGGGAGGGGGCTATAGCTAAAGTGAAAAGGACCTGTTTTTATCGTGTTTTAGCCCCGACAATATTTGTTTCTTTAGGCCCCTGCTAAAGCTCCTTTTTTGGTACATTTTTTCCATAAATTGTCGCATTGAAGAGGCGGATCCAGAGTGAGTTCCTTGGTGCACACAGGGGCGTCACTTCATACTTTGTGTTGGGGGGGGGGGAGGCTGCATATTTGCCCTGCAGAAAAAATTTTGCCCTGGCAAAAGTTGGAATCGTTGGGAACTAGTGCTCAGTTCCCGTAACACTAAAATACTTTTTTAGGTAAGTTGTTCCCGCTTACGTCCTTGATCAGTATGTCCAGAAGTTAACCGATGTGTTTGCCTAACCTAGGGGAGACAAGCAAGAGAAAGTTTTTTAATGAGTGAGGCAACACTCCATCCAGGATTCAAAGAGCATGCGCTCATTTTTTACAACACACTTTCGATAAACACACTAGCATTTCACAAGATGAGGGTATCAAAGCTTCCCTCGATGTCATAAAAAATCATTATAGGGAAACTACCGTGCTGCAGTCCGATGATATATCATAGATGCCGTCCAACACGGGCTGAGAAGAGATTGTGTTTTCGACATTGGTGGATATCTCACGCTTTATGATCATGATCGTTTGAAACACAATAGAAGACGTCCCACAATTCAACGCTTTACTTCCACACCAATTTTCTGTGTGCGAATTCTCGGTTCCGGGTTGACGTCATTGATTTTGTATCTCGCCATCCATGGATCTTTCTCAGAAATGGGCTTCAGAATTGAGATCCTCATCTTTAAAATAGTTTAAAATGAAAAAATTATGTTGTTTGGACCGTTCGGTTGCGAGTTACTTTGCTTTGAATATTTAGATATTTCTTTAGATTTGAACGAAATTGGCTGCTGCAGTGAAAAAAATTCACTTGAGTCAGTCCGGATTGAGTGGGCCTGGTTTGAGTCAGACCGGGCTGAGTGGGCCCGGTTTGAGTCAGCCCAGGCTGAGTGGACCCGGGTTGAGTCAGCCTGGGCTGAGTGGGCCCGGTTTGAGTGAGCCCAGGCTGAGTGGGCCCGGTTTGAGTGAGCCCGGGCTGAGTGGATCCGGTTTGAGTCAGCCCGGGCTGAGTGGGCCCGGTTTGAGTGAGCCCAGGCTGAGTGGACCCGGGTTGAGTCAGCCTGGGCTGAGTGGGCCCGGTTTGAGTGAGCCCGGGCTGAGTGGACCCGTTTTGAGTCAGCCCGGGCTGAGTGGACCCGGTTTGAGTCAGCCCGGGCTGGTCAGCCCGGGCTGAGTGGGCCTGGGTTGAGTGGGTATCATCATACTCTCTCTTATTCACACACTTAAAGGTAATGTGTCCAGCTATAGCAAGCGACTCTGCGGGGGTTTTTAGAAACATGTGATTTTCCATGTCATCGCCCCAGTCATTACGGTCGTTCTGTTTATTTATCCTGCTGCGAGGTAAGCTTTTCATGTGAGCAGTTTTGCATTGCAAGAATACTAACCAATCGCAAACTGTTATTTTGATAGGTGGCTTGACAAGTTAGGTATAGGCAGTCCTTTGATATCGATACATTACCTTTAATGATTTTGCATCGATAGAATTTGCAATATAAAATTAAAATATTCAGCAAGAGGATCAACCATTTTCTCCGCGCGCTTTTCAATATTTACTCATCCCACTCTGTTTCTGCCCAATCACCACTTATTTGCATATTCTAAGGGTACGTATGTTAAATAAAAGTAATTCAGCATGAAATTATCTTTCAAAAGATGGTTTTAGCAACATTAAAATTTTGAACCACTACTGATCAGTGCGCCATTATGGTATTTGCCAAAATAAGGAATTCCCAATGTCAAATTTATGGGGCATTTTTTCTGGTCATTTCCAACTTAGTATAGAACATCTGTGCCAAATTACAGCTTTATAGTATTTTTTATCCGGGTTAGGCCGTTTTTATATCTAATTCCACTACACTATATATTGCCAAATTGAGAACAAGCTGAGGCTGAGTTACTGTAAAATGTAACTTTGAACAATGTTTCATCTCAAAAACGAGGAGTTTTTTGTTGGCAAATGAAGCCTGCATACCTCCCTAGAGCGAAAAACTAGCAGTTGCACTGCTTATACCTTATATTATAGATTAATTTAAGAACAAATTAAGAACAATTCAGCCTCAGATTTTCGAAAAAATTAAGAACAACCAGCCTGAGCTTCAATTTACTGACTCTTATAAAGAAGAGAAATTTTATTTTATTAAATGCACCGCAATGGGGAAACCCTTTGTCTCAAATTAACTAACATTATAGGCTTATAACTCATTATTTGACTTTTGTACTAGGTTTTTACTAATTTTCATTTCCTTATTGGTCAAATTCAGATTATTTGTACTTTTAATTTGTGAACCAAACTGAAAACAAGTTTTCAAACATAGTTTGTTATTCACATTAAAAATTATTATACATACATACATACATACATACATACACAATTATGCTAACAAATTAATGACCACAATAGAACAGCATATCTTGAGTAATGCCCCGATGGGTTGTAGTCGGATATTTTGGAAAAGATTCATCGTTGACATAATCTTCATCTGCCAAACACAAGCTTGAAAAACTACAGGAATTTATACAATACACCCTATATCATCCACAAAAATAGATATAAAAACAGTATATAATCGACCCCCTTCTTAAAATTACGCTTCTGGTTACAGTCAAAGCAAATTTAGACCCAAATATGCAAAACAATTCCATCAAATTTTGACCCAAATAGCCCCGTTTACAGTGTCTTAATTTTCTGGCAAGCGCTGCTTGTCTTTTTAGTATGGTTTTAAATAAGACAGAGACACAGAATAAGAATAACCATAAGGGTCACTCTAGGCGGTTCCTTTGTTGTTTTTGAAGCTTAGAATCTTTGGCGCCAGCAATAAAATACATATAATTTAAGAAATACAGTATATTTCTTAAATTTAACTTATTTTGAAAATTTTATCTCGTGACATTGGATTCTCGTCGTCGTATTGCTTTGTTCCTGTATATCTTTCATAACAACATTCACAGAATCCAGCGGACAGCCTATCCTGCGGTTCTTCCTTCTTACACAATAAAATACATGCTAGAACTCGTTTTCAACTCGAGATTATGCAAGTCTTGTCGATGGAAAGAGTGCAAGATGAGAAAAATGAGAGGCCCAAAAACTGATTTTTCTGGAAAAATTTCCAAAGACGTTTCCCATAAATGGTTCAAAGATCAAAGCAAGACATAAAGCTGGTTGCTGCGAGAAAGATTGTTTGTTGTTTTTACAGATTTACTAGCCACGAAGTTGGACAACAACTTTAGAGGGAGCTGAATGGATTTCGCAATTCGAACTCTTTATCTAGGTTCTCTTATCAGATACTTCAGACTGCTGGATAAATTCCACATGA